AGGTTGGGATAATTGACCTTCTTTTCCAAGTTCAGTATGTTAACCCTGTCGCCAGGCGCAAAGACCTCAATGTACGAAGTAGGAGAAGACGCGGGTGTATGGTGGTACCTTGGTCTGTGAGTCAAATCCTTGCTTGCATACGGAAAGATCATTGTAGATTGGTGGGTCCCAGAGCTGTCCGCTTCTCAATGAACTGGCTGGCCATCTGCTCATTGGTGCAATTCGAGGACCCAGGGTTGTTCCACTCCTGGTTCCTGCACTGGCAGAAGTTGAAGGTTTTTCGGGGGTGCTTCTAAGCGACTGCCGTTGACGAGTAGGCAGGCATCAGGGAACTCGGATACTTGCTCATCAGGTTGTGCAAGTCTGAGCATGTGGGCCCAAAACCTCTCTTCCCACCCACGGGGCTTTGCTTTTTTCCTTCAAGCAGTGTCAAGAACTTGAAAATGAGCTTGTCTTGTTAAGCCTTTGTCGGTGATGGGTTCTCGGAAAAAACACTCGATCGAGTTATACGCGGGCACACCTTCTCATCTGGACAATTCTCTTGATGAGGGAAGCTCCTATTACCGACTCAGCTTTTACATGTGAAGGACTCCAATCCCGTCGTCGCCTCGGCGCGCTGTGGAGATACTTGCGAGGTCATTGGTGCTTGATGATGCTTATCCCTAGCAATACCTTTAATATTCACCTGCCCGATAGATCCTGGGGCCATGGTGTGTACATGGTACCAGACCCCCAAAGTTCCTGACGTGCCAAAAATGGAAGTAATAATGGACAAGAAGAAAAAGTAAACCCGCAGCTTCCCTTTGTAGGGTCTGTTCACCATTCATGAGAAAAGAACAACTCACACCCTGCAGCAGACTTGCGCTCCTGCCGTCTCCCTTTTGCAGAAAATAGATTGAGGAGTGTGCGTGCAAAGAGGAGGTGCCCATGGTTGGCTGACACACGACAAAGAGACTGCGAGATCTCGGCACCGGGCAAGCTCGATGCTATTTTGACACTCTGACGCTCTGGGAAAGCGTTATTCCTGCCGTCACGGGGCTAGCCCATCAATGAATCCGGTGTGCTTTGGGATTTGTGAGGGACGAGTCGAGCCTCCTTGGTTCCAGTCGCCCGACTAGTCGTGGTTCCGAGGTTGTTGCGCTGCCTGCAGCAAAATACCGTGCCGAAGCTCAAGTATCCGGGCCGGACAATGGTGGGATGCGAATGGGAATTCGCCTGTTACGCGATATGCCATTCGAAAGTTCTGGTACCTCCGTTGCGATATTGAAGCAAACGTGTCCCTCGAGGCTTGTCGTTTGCTACAGCCCTAATGATGTGCTCGTTAAGGATCAGTAGCCCCTTCTACCCGATAGCTCCTCAACTTCACGAAGCGCAGGGAAACAGTCCTTCTCCCACTAATGCAGATTCATTCTTGGGTACTTGATCGGGGTTCGTGAGGATTAACAGTATCGCTTCATGTCAACGCTGAAGTCTCGATCGGCATTTATAGTGAGATACGCCCACGCGACCGATTCTTCATCAGCACCTTCTTTTTATCTGTTACATTCTTTCTTGTCCCTATCTCGGCCACCCCTTCTAAGGGGTAAAGGAAAGCAGATCGGGGACGGAGAAGCTGGAAAAGAAATGCCATTTGGCCTCGGAATCCTCTGAGCGGCCCAAGGAGTTACCATGGCTGGTCGCTGGATAATAAAGAATCTTGAATCGCGGTAGGCGGTGCCTGGTCAATCCCAGAGCACAGATATACACTTTTGCATCATCAGGACAACACAATTTTTGCCCTCTACGGAGGAAAAGCAGGTTCATGGTGCAAGCTTCGTGCACAAAGAAATTGCAGACGGTTATCCCAGGGCCTAACGTGGAAACGAGATGAAGCTGGGAAATTGAACAATGGCTCGAGACGGGGAACGGTGTGCCACAGCAGCAGGACGAGCCACAGCCGGATGGGTCACTCAATTGTTTTCGAATCAACTGCTTTCAAACAAAGTATATATCTACTATTCTGGGTAATTGCTTGCACGAACCTGGTCTTTTTGGCATTCTACTGTCGTCCAGCAGAGCTCCTACTCCGCCTATCAATTCTAGGAGGCGATGGAGGGCCAAGGACGGTCCACAAAGGGGTTGATCGATGGTGAAAATACGAATACTGCTTGCCTGTGTGTATGTGTGTGTGTGTGTGTGTGTGTGTGTGTGTGTGTGTGTGTGTGTGTGTGGGTGGGTGGGTGGGTGTGTCTAGACGTAGCCGTGTGAGTGCGTAGGTGGGTGCGCGCGGCAAGACTTGTTGAAAAGTGAGGGGTGGGCCTTGAAGCTCCTTGGCCTATTTCTGACAGTTATCAATGGAGACCGGCCTCCACGCGATTTCTTCTCCCCACCTTTATCATAGTACTTTCGGTCCATTTCCCGTCATAGGCCATGAGCCGTCCCCATTCAGATGATTCTCAGTGAGATCCCCGTTGGTTTTGAGCTATATTGGCCTGCATTATAGACTTCTCCCTTTCGACTGACTGCACAATGCCTGTTGCCCCCAAGCGACCCTCTCGCCCACTTCAACCCTGGTCATCTGCAATTTCATGAACCGACTTTCCCTCACCCTCCGCCCCCCGGCCCAAATCCGAAGTACTCCACAACCCTGCCAGCCACCATTCCCTTCTTGTCTCTCATCGGCGCAACTGCCCAACGGTTTCTAGAAAATTGCGGGCCAAGAACCTCCCTGAGCCGTCGGAGGATTCTTCTCTCGAAACTAATCCTCAGCGTGACTTCGCTTTTCAAGGAGGGAGGCATGGGTGAATGTGGGCGGGGCTCGGTGGCTTTCCCGTTGTCGAGCGCTCCGCCCTCACCCACATCCCCCATCACCCTACTCTCCCCCTAAATCCCTGCGAGGTTGTAGTAGGCCCTGGTTCCCGCTTGGTGTGAAGGGAGTGGATGCGATCTTTCTCTTTGCCCTGGCTTTCTAGCGGGTCTCGATGTTTTTCTCTTGTCGCGAGGGGCATAGCTCCAGATGATCCTGGCTGGCGCAAGATGCCCCTGAGATCCTTCTATCAGAGGCCAGAGACTTTTGGGAGACACGCGCACAACCACGGCCACCATCCGAGGTACTAGCCGAGGATGAGGTACTTCCAACGTGGGAGAACCTGCCCTAGAGGGGAAAGGTTGGAGTTCCTTATCCCTTTCCCCTTGGTCGACGAGGCACTTCAATCCCCGTTATGATTTCTGCTACGAGACGCCTCCTTCTTGACTGGGGGCCTCTCTCCGTTTCTACCCCCAAACCTCGAGGGACTCTTTGCGAGTTGGGTATCTGTCCTTGTAGCTTGTCGTCTGGTGTACTCTGGCTCTGCCCCTCCAAAAACCACCTTCCCCTCCCCAGTCAAAGACCTTTGCACTCGGCAGACACGAAGTTAGCGAGACCCCAATTCCCAACTTGGCTTGGAACCCTACCCCCGTACGTGGAAAAGCTTTCCCGTGCAAGTGGGTTTGGCAGGCACTTCGGGTCATCGTAGTCGTTCACAAAAGATTGCGACGGGGGTCAAGACACAAAACCTGGTCCGCACTTTCCCACATCCACAGGCCTTTTGTACTCGAAGGAACAAGGAGCATCACTGGGCTTGTGCTACACCTGCATGTCTCTTTCTTGTTTTCCTTTTTCTTTCCTCGTTTTCTCAACTTCTGATATATCTCCATCTGTTATTGATACCCCCAAATTATCCCATTTCCCTGGCCCCATCTTCAAATAGGCGCATTGTTGAAGAGAAGACGAAGCAGGCCACGCGCCCGAAAAGGTCATCAAAGCTCAGATTCGCCATTGCTGGGATTCCTGAGAGCCGAATTCTATTTCATCCTCGTTGCGGCCGGATCATCCTGTTTCTTCGGGGACGTTTCCTTCTTTTCAACCCCTTGTCCCACCGCCGAATATTACCTCTTCTCGCCATCTCGCACTTCAACATACTTTGTCTCTGCGCTTCATCACCATTGTCTCGCCCTACCGCCCGCGCGCGCTTGGCTGGCCTCCCGACACCCTGCGAACCTTGGTTGGACGTGCAACTACGTGCATGAGAACCTGCACTATCGTCTGTTGGGGTCGTTGAGAAGGGCCATTGTGGTTCTAAAAGCACCAAAAAGCCGTGCTCAGGTCGAGACTTCTTGACAACAAGGTCCATCCAACCCCTCGCCTTCCTTGCGGGAGAGAGCAAGCAACAGAGCTGCTTGTCAAAGTCTCCACTATCAGGAGACACCTGTCGACTTTGTTCCCTCTCACTTCACACCTTCCCTGTTCCTCGCACCCCTAGTGTACTGTGACAGTACACCACGGAGGTCCTCTTTGAAAAGAGAGTATACACTCCCCCGGCCACCCTCCGTGTCCCTCACACCCCCTCCCGACGATTCAACTCCTCCCATCGACCATAAGTCTTGGGAGTATACAAGTATACTATCTCCCTGCAACCTTTAAGCCCATCAACCCATAAGACTCTCAATTCTATCCTTTGATCCAACCACCAAAGGGGCACCTGGCAGTGGCGAGCAAGAAAGCGGACTTCTTAGCTTCTCCATCCTCTCCTTTCGGCTCCAACTGCGCCAGCTATTCCATCGACCTAGCTTGGTAAAGAAAAACCAGGCTGCGACAATCGCTCTCTAATATCGTGAGGACGTCCACGCTTTAGCCATCCGTGAGCCGACCCTCTTCCAGGTCGATCTGGTCGATCACCGGCACAGAAAGCGGGGAGAACTTGCCCTTCTTTTTTCTTGTTTTTTTTTCTGGCCCTTCAAACAGAGACTCGCCAACTGATGCTCTCATGACAACCACAACTACCACCGCCACTACCACCACAAATACCTTCCCGGCCACCATGGCAGACTTGAAGGCAGAACCGGCGCCTTCGAGCATCTGGTCCAACTATGGCAGCCCGGTTCACATGACGACGGCTCGATTCAATCCGCCGATGGAATCTAGCCTTCCTAACCCCTCTTCGACCGGCTCACAACACACAGCGCGGCCGAGGAATCATCCAATGGAGCAACCCGCATACTCGTACAACCGCTTCCCGGGCCACGATGATTCAGATGCGTACGAGCGACATCAACCCCATCCCAGCCTCAGCTCGCACCAGAGCTACCCGAGTCTGAAAAGGACGTTTTCGCAGACTGAGCAGCCACCGTATCAGGACATGGTCCAGGAAATTAGGGATGACAACTCCAAGCTGTCGGTCAACCACGACCACAAGCTCCTCTCCTTCAAGAGGACGCAGGACAAGATGACCATTGTGGATCAACACGGCAGAATCCAGCAGCTTGAGCTGTCTGCCCAACTCCACGGCATGTTTTTCCTTTCTGAGATGCCCTCGAGCAGCAGCGACGGAACTCTCCTCCAACCCGAACTCACCTGCTACCGCCGAAATTTGTTCCAGATCAGCGGCTCTCTAATCACGCCTCGCGGCCAGCTTTCCGTTGTTAATGAGGCCGGAGAAACTGTGCCTGTCAATAACGTCGAAGTCACCATCTCTGCCATCGAATCCGTCGATGGAAACCCGGTCCGCTTGATCGTCATTCCCTGGAAGACGCCCCCAAACTCACCTGAGATACCCCAAAGTCCCGATCAAGAGCCCCAGTCACTTCCCTAATCCCTTTCCAAGAGGACGGTTCCGAGGCCGATGGAGAGTACGCAGTATACCCGATTGGCTGGAGGCGGTTGCAATTTAGAATGTAAGTTCTGCTGATTACCATGGTTTCCGTTTTGGATCTTCAATCTTGGGCGAGGACATGGCTTTTAGACCCGACCTCGAAGTGAAGCCAAGTCCACAATGAAAATAAGACGGGGAATGTCTAGCTAACACAGCTCATCCTTTAACAGAGCAACGGCGAACAATGGTAGGAGAAAGGAGCTGCAGCAACACTTTGTTCTCCATCTGAAAGTGATGGGAACTCTTTCAAACGGTAGTAAGGCTGTTCTGGCCGAGTCGACGACGGCCCCGATTGTTGTTCGAGGAAGGAGTCCCCGTAACTTCCAGGCTCGCAAGGAAATACCTCTGCTAGGTTCAAGCGCGGGGTCTCGGGGTCAGGCCCTAGTGGAGACGGGACTTGGAATTGTGGCTGGGCCATTGTCGGTTAAGCCAAGTGACAAATCCCGGGAGTTGATATGCAACCGCCTCGGTCCGCCTTCACATTCTCTGCACCGAAGATGCCGGGGAGCCAGATGGGCATGCGATCCAAGTAAGTTCCCTGTTGTCCCTGACTTGTCATTTTGCGGGCAGCGTCCACGTTCCTCTCATAGTGGGTGAGCTGTCTGGTACCAGAATGACCCCCACTCGTGGGGTAAACATGGTCTGGTCTCACTCGTGGTTGCTTGGGCGCGTGATGATGGAAGAGGGGTTTGGGTGCCCGCAAATTAGATAATTGATATTGGGGACTCATCGGGTCTTCATTGCGGAAAAATGACCAAAAATAAGGGTTAACTGGCGTGGACGGTCGCTAACTGGTAGTTAAACAGCTCTTACCCTTCGTGGAACCCACCTGCCCATATGCCGCAGATTCCGGTTTCCGGACCAAGCAACTACTCGTCGACCACGATCGGATCAGAGCCGTACGCCAAGGTCCCCTTGTCTGGCGGCAACAACTATACGGCGGAGCCCCAGGAGATGCCACTCCAGACGTCGATGCCGTCTGTTCAGCTTTCGCTGGCCAGTAGCGATTCGCAACCTGCGATCCGAACCCAGTATGCCTACGCTCCCTCAACCACGGCGCCACCTCCCCAACTGTCAATCCCCTCCCAAGGAGGCGACAATTCTTTGAGCGTACCGCGCTACGTAGATAGCAACCCCCGGCCCTCCAAGTCTCCCCGTCACGCAAACCACGGAAGCGTTCACAGCGCGGGCTCCCTATCGAACAATGACAGTGCCGGCGAGTACCGCTACGCCAACTCATATCACGACGTGGCCCTCAACAACAGCAACACCAACTCTTCCGGTGAGATGACGAGCTCGTACGCGACGGAACCGAATCCGCCCCCACCCCGGGACTACTACCCTCCTTCCAACACGTGGACCAGCACCGCGGGAGGGCCGAACTCGACGGTTTCGTACACGACAGGCGAGGCAAGAACATACACATATCCGGAACCCTATAAGGGTGGAAACACAAGTGGTTCCGCGGCGCCACCGCCTCCACCATCCCGCGTCAATACGACGCCCGCAGCCACCAACGCGCCGGTATATGGGAGTGGCCTGAACCATTACTCTTGGAGTACCAACTAAAATGATGAAGTCCCTTTCGGAGTTATGTTTTGTTTAACGGGGAAGAGGATACTTACGACATGCATGAGTCCTGTTCAACCTGTCAACCTCCGCGCCCTCTGCCGCCATTCTCTTGTTATCTTTCTCCCGTCGTATATTAATGCCCAAGAGCTCCCTGGAACGTACGCGTTGTGTGGTTGACCATTGTTTTCTATACCCCAGCAGCAACTGGCGGTGGTTTTTTCTTGTTATTTTTTTCTTCCCTTTTGCACCGTCGACTTGTCGTTTTCCACCGTTGCCTCCCTTCCTTTGCGCTTCGTTTGTTTCCTTTTAGTTTCGCGTGTTGTTGGCTGTTATTGAGGCCATGTATGAGTAGGGTACGGAATTCTTTGGCGAGGAAAAAGACGAGCCACGTTTTGTTGTTCGTTCGTCGCGATTACCGGACAGGACGTACAAACCTTTTTCTTCTTCTTTGCTCCTGTGGCGGCCATCTTTGAGACATCATTTTTCTGCCTTGTTTTTGCCCAGCTAAACGCTGTTTCGTTTGTGCTGTGCTCTGGTTCGTCATTTGTCCTTTCCTTTCCTACATGTCCTTTCCTGGTCTCATAAAAACGACTTGTCCGCGGTAGTGTCATGTCGAGAATATATACTGGGCGTCTATCGTCTTGATTTTCTAATATGCCTTTGGTTGTCTTCTTTCAGTCAGGTCTTGCGTTGGCTTTTGGAGTTCTGCCGGTGCTTCGAGCCTCCATGTGTGCATGTGTACGATTTCCGAGACGTACTTGATTTCTCTTGTTTTCCCTCCATTATCAGCCGACATGATTAAATGATATAGCGAAAATACAAGGCGCGGCTTGAAAAGATGATTCATGAAAGAACCATCTATTCGATGTTAATTCCCAAGAGGCGTCCCTGCCCCGTGGCCGGGATGGCCTTCATGTTAATCGGCTCGTTCATCTGTTCCCAGGAAGAGTTGATCCTGTCAGAATGGTCCGGGCGTCGGAGTCTTCTCAGTAATTCTGCGTGTGGCTTTCTGCCGCTTTGGTACGAAAGGTGCCCGACTTGATTCGATAGAACCATTCGACAGCGGGCAGGCATTCTTGCGTGCGAGAATCCATCGTAGAGATAGGGGCGAGGTAATTCCCAGGCTGGGAGCGAAACCCGGTTGGAAACTAAGGTAATCGATTGGGCTGTTGGGCTTTGTCGTCTCGTAGGAGGGGTTGGTGGTGGAGGAAGCTCGACTTGCTATTTCTCTCTTCGCGCATCCTTCTCTTTCCTTTCCCTTGACTTTTATATGGATACATGTATGTTGTTGGGAGCTTGAAGAAAGGCGGCATTAGCGAAACACGACTTCACTTTCCTTTCGGTTTGCGTTCTTCGGCCGCCAGTCAAGAGTGGGGGCGGCAGAGCGGCTCTCCGTGCCGTTGATCAACTTTTTTCAGGTCCGCCGAGCTGTGGATCCCCGAAAATTCCGATATTGGGGGCCGGGTCGCAAAATTCGGCTCTCGGGGAAAAACAATCCTTTCGGCCGTCATTCTTTTTCCGTTTCCCGATAGTTGGCATCGTCGGACGTGATGATGGGCCCTCTTCGACTAGAGGCCCAAGGCTGAGACTCCTTTTAAACACGTTTAGACCCTTTGCTTTTCACTCTCGCGACCCGATTCGCCTGTAAGTTCATTTCAAGTTCGATCCTGATTTCTCAGCCCGCCATGTCGTGGTAGGAATAGCTGGTTCTATAGCGACCGGATGTCTCTGTTACGTTTCGTAAATTTATCACGAACTAACCGGAGCCAGGCAACAGAAAACCACGCATTACGATACCTTTTGTACCATGTTGTCCTAGATTTCTCCCACTGAGATGGGTTCGAACAAAACAATCGTTTCCGTTAGTTTTTGAGGAGCGAAGGGTCGCAAGAATACATAGTAAACCTCTGACCCCCAACGAGCAAGGCAGAGGGTCTCCGTTCAAGATAGGGCTGAAAGAGTTGGGATAGCACGCAACCCCTATAACCGGTTAACCACGAGCGTAAGCGATAGCCGGTGCTCGATGAGTCGTTTGAGACCGCGTGCCTAGAGAGCTAGAGAGCGAACAGCACGATCGTGTTTCTGTCGTGTCCAGGCAAAGGCAAAGCCAGACTCCCCTTACCATTTCTTCGCTCTTCGGCATGCCGCACTCCTTCGCCTCGTCGAGTAAGAACGACTAGCATCTCGTTGGGCCCTTGTAAACAGTTTCCCGGGAGCAGGTGTTCTAGGCGTTGTCTAGCAGAAGATCCGCACGTTATAGCGTACTGGTGAAAGAGTTTTGTTGGTCTTTGGGGGTGGTAGGCCTCGCATCCCGGGGAGGGGGTAAGCCGGCGAGGGGCTAGTGTGCGCCCCAATAAACCTGGCTTTGCCATCTCTCCTTCTTTCTCTCGTTTCGGGCTTCCGGGCTCCTTGTTGACGACACGACTGAGGCGGGATCTAATCCATTTCCCACCTCGCCCATGCCACCCCCGACTGCCATTCTTCTATCCCGCCTACGCTCCTTGTCTTTTCTGTTCCTTGTGTAGTGTTGAGATGATGCATGGCTCTAGAAAAGGATGTCAACCCGGTTGATTTGTGAGAAATGAGGATTTCGTTTTGAGCGAGAAACTCGGAGAGACAAAGGAAACGACGTTGGTACGAGAAAGGGAAAAGACCCTCTTCCCCCTCCTTCTCCTCTCGCCTGGGCGGCGTTGTTCAAGTCAGTAAGGACTAGAAGGAAGGAAGCAAGGAAAAATGACGAGAATAAGGGAAGCGGCTCGACGTCGCCGCAGCCGCACCGCCTAATTATCATCACCCCTTTTTTCTCTTTTTCTTCTCTTTTTTTCTCTTTTTTTTTCTCTTTCGAGTTACCTTTGGCAATACTTGTGCTCTTGCTGCTGTTTCAAGTACCCGCGCTTGCAGGTTACACGAATATATAGATTCATTGTACGGCAATGCAGACTGCCGCGAGAGTCGTGATGGCATGTGTGAGAGGGAGTGGAGAGAGGGAGGGTGGGAAAGGGAAAGACAGTAGAATCACCCCGAGAAGAGGACCCGCCTTTCATTAATATCAGAAGGAAAGAAGAGGAGAGGAAGAAGGGCATAAGCCGGGAATAGATGGATAAGTGAAAACGGTTTATCCCTTCCACCGGTACTTGGTGTGAGGGGCGGTTCCCGGGAACCGGAAGAAACAAAACAGAAAAAGAAGGAAAGATCTGAAGAAAAAACGGGGAGTAAAGGGATGAACTAATGGGAGAGAGGGGTGGAAGAATACCGAGGGAAGGGATAGGGTGATAAGGAGGGAAGGAGAAAAGGGAAAAAGAAGCGGGAGTTTGGGGGTAGAAACAGATTACCCGCGCGAGGTTAATTGACACAATCCAGGATATATAACGACTGGTCAATGCAAAGTAAAAAACGGCAACGGCAGACAAACCCCCAAAATCAGCATAAGCCGGCCGGCCGCTTTCCGCCGCGAAAGACAGAGAAAGGGTGGGATTAGGGTATATGTATACATTTGGGTGGATGAGGAGACCGGGGACTGGCGTGCAGCACTGTCAGCCCGGTTTTCTCATGGCAATCAAAGGTATAAGTTCGGCCATACCGTCACATCCACTCGGGCTAAAGCCAGATCCGAAGCTAAAGGGCCCAAAGAAACAAGGTCAGCCAAGACAGGGCGAGCGACGGAGGTGGACGGATGGGGCAAGCCTAGCGCGGGAGATGGACAGAACTAGGCAAATCTCCCAATCCTCTGAATCCCCCAATCCGCTCATTCACTGGACAGGCGACAAGCACACTCCCGCTTTCCCTTCTTTCCGTATTCTCTCTCCGGCTCCGTTTTGTTCTGACCTTTGCCTGCCGTTGCTCGTTGCAATCCTCAGGCATGGTCGGAATCCATTAGCCGAGGGAAGGACAAAGACAGAGGATAGGTAAGGGATAAGTTGATAATTCACCAGATGAGGGCGTTGTGGCTTGACGGGATTTCGGGGATATTCGCTGGCAGATACTTCTTTGGGTCCTGAATCCCTGCTAGAAGACGAGGGAAGGCAACATGTGGAGCGATATACACCGCACACAGGACATAAAGAGCCAAAAGAGGAATTGAAAGTATCACCGGGAGGGTAGATGAGAGAGGGCATGACTGGAGGGAGCAGAGAAAAAAAGAGCTGAAGAAGTATAGGGGCCACGACTAGAAGGTGATGGGCACCAGTTGAGGAAACGCACAGATGACGAGCAGCAGGGGGTAGGTAGGATGTGGGTGGGCGGGTGAATCTGGGCGTCTTGTTGCGCGAATGCGGCTGGGTGAGGCAAGGGAATGACGGTGATGTGAAGGACTCGAGGAGGCGGTAGAAACGAGAAGAGAGAGGGCTAACGAGTACGCGTGTGGGTTGGCAAGGTCGGCTTTCCGGGGAGGGCAGTGGAGAAGGCGAGGCTGGGGGCACACGCCGAATTCGCTGTGATCATCTTAGAGAGAAAGATGTCATGAGGGCGGGATCGTCGCAGGGGAAGATGTGGGACGTGAGGGATCGAAGCGCGTATCACCTAGGGTCGAGGATGGACAGGGCACAACAGAACAGGTACTCTGGGCGAACCATTTCTTTGGGCATTCGGACGCTGGGAGTCCTCCTTGGAGTGATGGTCCCTGGAAGGCAGAAATACTGGCGGCAAGAAGCGCTGAAAAGGGGATCCCTCCCCAAGCAGAAGAGACGGAGAAAAGATGCCAAGCCCAGCTGGATCAGCTTCCACCCGGAGCAATGCGAGAAAGGATGGAGATTAGCGAGCTAGTCTAGGATCGGGAACAAGGGAACAAAGGGAACAAGCGCACGCAAAGGGAGGGGGAGACTCAGGATGGTTACAGTGATCGACGACATGTGGAGACATCCATGAATCTTGCTAGGTTGTTGGTCTCTAATCTTTAAATCTTTTCAACACGCGATACGTTTTCCTTTCCGGGGCTGTCGCGCTTCTCCTCTTCCCTCCTTCTCCTTTCCACTTATTATCGATAAAAACAAGGGGTAAGCCACGTCTACCTTGGCATAGACTTGCTTGAAAGAAATGAAAGCAAGAATTAATGATATTTTCCTATAGTATTACAAGCTCGGAAGGCTTTGAAGCTTGGTTCCCTCCTCCCTCATGATTCAGACGTGTGTGGTCGGGCTGTCCCTCAAGAGGCCGAGCGGGGAGCAGGGGTGTTCTCAGAACCCGGATCGACAAGCTATTTTGGACAGACCAGGGGTGGGACGTTTTTCCCTTGAACAGGTGGTGTGTGGGCGCCACCCATACAGAGACGCTGATCCCTGCTGGGCTGAAAATGCGTCAATAGCAGTGAAACGCCGTTGGCCAACGACAGCGCTGGTGGCTGCATCCCAGTGGGGAGAGGGGACCGACGAGATGGGGCGGGAGGAGAAGAGGGCGAGTTAAGTGGCTCCCAGCCGGAAAATAGGGAAGCGAGAGGGAATCATCAAGAGGGAACTACAAGTAGAGCTGGGCCGCGGCCGCCTCTCCGTTTTTGCTCTTCTCTTTTTTTTTTTTTTCTTTTTTTTTCTTTTTCTCCCTCCGTTTTCTTTTTCCTTTCTTCTTATTATTGCTCTTATTTCCCTCTTCTCCCTCTCCCCTTATTTTTACTCTCTCCTAGCTTACTCCAATAAAAGACATAGTATATTGATTGGTGAAGGGGCAGATATGTATTGCTACTCCGGTGCTCGTTCGCCTTTCCATCCTTAGCTTGCAGGGCGAAGACCTGAGAGCGGCTCGAGGTGCAAGGCGGATGTTTTCTTCGTACGATTAGGCTTAACCTCCTAAACGGGAACCAGGTGCTCCATGAACGAGTCGGGGATTTACGATTAATACACTACACTACAGCTTTCCAGGAACCATGACTGGGATGGACCCGCGAAGGAAGGGGAGGTGGAGTCACTAACCACATCACCGCACTCGATAGTTTGGCCAGACTAGAAGGAGGTAGGTGGGGGATAACAAGGCGCTAATAAGAACAGCAACTTTGTTGTCGCACGGTTAATCCTGTAATAATACCGTGGCACTGGTCTGGGAGAATTCGCTCCGCCTCTCAAACTCGCCCTTCTCCCTCCCCAAAAGCAAGTATAATCTATTTCGGACCAATTCCGAGAATGGAGCCAGTAGAGGGACGGGGCTGAACGGTGGGGCACCATCTCTTCGATCTCCTTTCTCCCTTGAGCGAGGTGTCGCTTGTACTATTATGTTGCTCTATGGCCGGCCAAGACGACTAGAATGGAAATTTAGAGCTCGCACCTTTTTATTTGCCTTCAGTGTTCATCGCCTCCTTGTTTTGGCGAAGGCTATGGAGAGAGGGGGATGAAGAAGGAAAGGGAAAGAAGGCTTAAACGTAGATATCAATGTATCTGGCCCTTTTGGGGGCCTTTCTACATATTTTCCTTCCACTCACACATAACCGGATGCTAATGTCATTAACCGCTATGACGATGACGTCCTAGACCTCTAGGAGGGGGCTTCCCAAGGAGAGGAAAAGGGCCGAGGCTAGGCCCATTTGTTTATCCATACATCTGAATACCCTCTTGTGATAAGTAGTGTCTTTGACGTTGGGGCCTCTACCGTTCCCCAGCCTCGGTGCGGCCCCTCGGAGAACAGCCGGAAGAGACAACCGCAGAAAGATGACCCAAAAAGAAAGAAGGCCGCTGCAAGGGGAGGAGGAGGAAAGGGACAGCGAAGGGTCTTGAGCTGAAAACGACAGCGAATGCGAACGGTGAGTGCACGGAGACCATGATATTTTAGCTCGACAGCTCTGCTCTAGCCGCTTGTCAAGGCCAAACCAGCGCTAGTCGGGCCATCCGGGCGGGCCTACACTAAGAGGCTGAAAAGTGAACCGACAAGAGGAACATTATTCTTATGAAAGCTCCCGTCTTGGGAATCGGCCTGCCTTGGCACCTTGTCCACTCTGATACCAAAGAAGCATGTTCGGGTTCGAGCCTTTGTTCTCTTTGCATTTTTCCTTCTTTTTTATTCTTAGAATTTTTATTTTATTTTTTACTTTAGAAGCAAATGATAGATAATACATAGATCAAGCGACAGTTGAAGGTTGAAGGATATCGTGACAGAGGCTGGCAACGCAATTATTCACGTCCTCGAATCAGGTTGGGCACATACAAAAATACAAAAAGAGACGAACATATTATCTCGGTAGCGTGACTTCGATAGGATGACGACGAGTCGTTCCTGTCTCTTATACTAATACCCTGTTGATATGTTTGCTCATTCGGCATTTGATCACTTGCAGATCACCATCATCCCGTCCGCTAGCTGGCCTGCGGAGGAGCCACCTATTACCACGCTGCAGGTGACAATCGATATGGGTCATGTTTGGATAATTATTGGGAAAGAGTTGACAGGGACTGGGCCAAGCCCAAGCCATTCTTTTCCCTCATCTCCTCCCCTCCTTTCTCATGTAACGGTGGAAACTGCCTATTTGTCGTGCTATAGCTAGGGTTCTAAGTATACTAGTGACCGTTAACAACAGAAATCACCGATGGGAGCATTGATGTTTCGCAGGAGAAGACGGGAAATGGGTAAGACGGATGGTGGTATCGGGGGCTGGTGCAATGACGCCAAAAGCATAGGTGGAGAATCTAAAGTCCCAGTGCTGAGATTTGGTGGACTCTGCTGGCGAGGATCGGCAAACTGGTTTGGGAGCAATTCTGGCCAATGGACTGAAGATTCTCACATCTCCATTCCCAAGTTATTGTATTATTGAATTTTGTGCCGTGGAAGCCAGGCTGGGTTGGGGTGCCATGTTGGGAAATGGCTGGCGGCAAGCCAAGGCTCGATTTTCTGCGAGCAATCTATGATCACAATAGACAGGTAGAAAGGTGGTCGTCATAGTCCGACATGGTGACCATTTGATCGAACCGCTCATGCCTGTGGTTTCGCTGACATTCGGGGAACTGCAACTGCCAATTATTCGGCTATCTTTATTAAAAATGAAAAACCACCAGCGACCCAAACAAAAGGCATAAGGCCGAAAATGGGAGGTGCGGACAAGGGGAAAGGAAAAAATGGCCTGGAGTTGTTCGATGGCGCTGCTGACATAATATCTCTCCGTCCTCGTCCTGTCCTTGAAGATCTGAAAAATCGTGCGTCACAAACGATGGTAAAAACTTGAAGCCACTCCCATTTCCTCTTAACGCTGCCTAACCCGTTGGTACAAGACGCCAATGATCGTTTTCATTATTCCGTCTGTAATCAGTCAAAGATTATGTTGGGACAATAGCGAAGGAAGACAAAGGACAACAGCACACGCCAAGGCCTTCATGCCATGTTTGGCATACCGAACGCAAAGAGGGTAAGGAGGAGCGAGTTGAATGACCGCTCCTCCGTTAGTTCTGACGAGTCTGATGAGGTTTCCCGAGATCGCCTGCGTGAGACACTCCACGCCAAACTGGCCAACAGCTTTGCCTGGGATCCCATCCCGGCACCGAAGGCCGCGTCCGCCCCGCCACAGACGCCATCAGTACATTCCAGAACAATTCCTACAACCATGAGTGGCAATGTTAGCCAGCCCAAGGATCTTGCCGGCGAGGGCCGAGAGGAATCCACGGCAACGGATGAAGAGCAAGATGAGCCTCCTCCGGAGGAGTTTGAGTTTCGTCTCTTTGGTGGCCCCGGACTTGCCGCTACGAAGATCGTTCTGGAGAAGGACCGGCCCTACAAGCCCGGTGAGGGGACGATCGTGTCGAGGCGTCCCATCTCCTTCTACTTTTCCCGGCCAGCCACGGGCAACGCGCGAGCGCGGTACGAAGCCTCGGTCATGACGTTTGACCAGATCATGGAGCGAAGCCGACAGAGGCTCTGGGGACTAGAACGGCCGTGGAAAACCATTGCCACCATTAACATTTCATCCAAGGGCAAGGCAAAAGGTCCCTCAAACACTGCTACGGTAGCCGCCGCCGATGGGGATGAAATGAAAAGGACGAGGAAGCGACCAGGAAAGAAGATGCGAATCAAGAAGCGGAAGATGGCCGAAGTGAGCAAGGAGAGACGGGCAGCGGAGGAAAAGGCTAAGCTAGACAAGGAAGAGCACCTCAAGGCCAAGAAGAAGAGGCTGAATCTTGTCAAAAAGCTCAGGTCGAGAGCCAAGGCGAAGGAGAAGAAGCAAGCTGCGAGGGACGCGGCTGCTAAAGAAACCACAGAGGCAGAGGGCACGGCGTTGGAAAAAGAAGGGAGCCCTGCGTCTAGCAATACCCTCGATTAACGACAGTTTGTGCCTCAAAAATGAAACCGAGCCTGATTAGGATCTACTTCGTAGCATGAGGCGACTTGCATCTTTTAGGGCGAATAAACGAGACCATGAAAGAAGGAAACTATCTAAACCATGGTAGAATCCGTCTATTCTGTTAAATCTCTTCGAGCTGTCACTGTTCTTCGTCAAGCTCGGGACTTGCTTGGCAAGCAGCTTCCTAAAGCTCCGTGATTACATAATACACACGGACACACACCAACCTCATCCAACTCGAGCTTTCTCAACCTCACCTCGTCAAATAAAGCGCCCGCCACGCGCGTCTCCCAAACCTACTGGCACCATCCGGAAGAGATTTGCTCACCACTCCTCTCCCGGCGGCTTTTTTGCTCTCTTCTTCTCCCCTCGCGAATACGAATAGAAAGACCCATTTCTTTTTCGTTCCCACGAGCGACCCAAGTTTGGACCAATTCGTACACTGCCACGACGTGCCCCTCCCCCACATTTTCCTGGTGACCAAAAGCTTGCCTCGCCCTTCACGGGAGGGACCAACGGAGAAAGGGAAAGGAATTGACGAAATAGCGGCCCTGGGCGTACGCAACGGCTTCGAGATTTATATTTACCCGAATCCAGCTTGACCTCGCCATTTGAAATCCTCTTGTCTCACAAGGAAGGGCGAAGCCATGCCCGGGTCGCCTGTCTGGCGTTGAGAAATTTCGCGAGAATAGGATTTAAACAAAGAAACAGGGGGTTATAGGGGCGACGGGAGAGAGGGTTGACGAGAGAGATAGAGAGTGGGTGTCGGGGAGGAACCAAACCAAGTCAAAAGACAGACGGAGACAGGGCCTACTCGATCGCCAAACGAAGAAAGATGTGGTCCCAAAAATGCCAGTGACCCCCAAGAGGCGCCTGAGGTCCTCCAACTCGCCGACGAGGTTGCTGACCTAGAGATTGCGAGTGAGGGTCCCGAAGTCCCGCGCGGAAGACCGACGCTGCAGCGAGGCCAGCAACCCGTCGCACCTCCGTCCGACCAGCCACCACAACCTCAGCAACAACCTCAGCAACAGCAACAGCCGCAACCCGACCAGCCCATTTCTCTTCCTCCCCAGCAACTGCAGCAGCAGCAGCAGCAACAGCAAAATATGACGGTCAACAAGCCACTGACTCCCTTTCGCTCATGCAGCTCCGTCGCATCGTGGCCGACATCCGCCAGGTCGACCCTGTAGCCTACGATTTCACCTATACCGACACCGATGGTCTGGGTGAAGAAATCGATGAGTGGTTCGTCTACATGATGTGGCAGTGGATCCGCCTCAATGGCATTCAAAAGACATTCGAGTGGCAGTGGCAAGAGGAAAACGGCGGCGGGCCCCGGGCTGCGGACGTCCGGTGGGAAGATGTGAGCGAGCGGAAGCGGACCGGCTTCGTGCGCGCCGCCGTTGAGGCGCTGGCTGCCGCGGGCGACGCAGACGACGATGTATCGGATCGCCTGACGCATATTGGCAAGATTGCCTACGTCGTGCTCGGCCGCTGGGGGATACAGCCGTCTCCACCGTTGGGGACGAGAAGAGGAAGTGCGTGGCGAGCGCACCACACCTGGACGCCATGGTGGAGGGCGTCAGGCTCGTCACGGCAGTAGGCGGGTTAGAGGTGGTATGGAAAGCTTTGAGGAACTGTTTTGAGCAGCTTTGGTCCGTTACCCCTTTTATTTCTTTCCCTCCATAGTGATTTATTTCATTGTAGGATCATCATTGCGGGAAAGACGTTGTGCTAACTCGGGGAGAGGGTTCTACATGTGCAGGGACGACACACAGACTCCAGGCCACACGGAGCTTCAAATGGCTCAAGAAGAGCTTCTTAACCTGATGACCATCATGTACATGGCCATGCAACTAGCAATCAGCCGATCGGGCGAGCTTCAGGAAACCAGGAAGCAGCTCCGTAAGTGCACAGATCTCCAAGCTCCCTCGGGACACCTTCCTTCTCAACTGCGTGGCGTTTACCACACGTTTGAACCCTTTGCATACTAACTCTTAGGAATAGGCGCGCTAAGCCCGAGCCTCCCTAACTTCATGCTCCTTGCGACTTCGAGGCTTAGATGGGATGACGCCGGATTTTTGCCGCAGCCTCAGGTTTGTTTAACCTTGTCTCCCCTGTCTTGTCTTGCTTAAGGGGGCATCATCTTGGCCTTCGACGCTAACCTGGTTTAGATGTTTCTTCTACTTTGGAAGTCCCTCCTGCTCATTTTTGGTGGCACCGAGGAGCTCGTGGCGGCCAAGAGGGAAACGCGCGAGACCCCGGAGGATGGTAAGGAAAAGGACATTATTACGGCGTCCCCCTTGACTACCACGCGTTCCGCCAAGAAATCACCTCGAAGTACCCGGCCTACATTCCTCCCCCATGCGCCATCCCCTGGAGGCCGACAACACGTCCCTGCTGCCCCCGCTGCCTAACCAGCCGTCTAAGAGCGGTGCCAATAGCGGGATCCTGCAGTATCCGTCAAGTCACCAGAGCAGTGGGGCCTCCATCCTCCACCAACCCGTACATATCGCAACGCCTGTGCCATCCCCACCGCCCTCGCCCGCGGCGGGCGGCAAGGGCGGCAAAAAGCAAAACTACCAGACGAACCAAAACTTCCCTTCCTCTACCCGCCCCTGGACTCAACAAGCAATACGGCCGGTGGTAAGGACCCCGCGGGCATCCAGAGCCTGCTTCTCCACCGCAAGTGGGAGGGCAGCGACATCCCCGCGTCGATCCTCGAAGCTGGTGACATCTTTTCCCGCCGTGTGAGAATGACACGCGCCGCCCGCCAGCTCTGGGATGAGCGCGAGGCCTTCATCAAATTCGACCGCGGCTGGGAGCCTGACCAAGAAGACGATGACGACGATGACGACGACGACGATATCGAGGAGCTATTTTTGGATGAGCTGAGCGAGGAGGAGCGGAAGGAGATTGAGGCTCTAAGGAAAGGCTACAGGGAGAAGCCGCCACCGCCAGATCGCTTGGTCGATCTAGGACCTAAGAAGAACGTAAGCAAGGAGGTAGAGAGGCAGCTAAACGCGGTTGAGGATTTCTATGTAAGCACGGTTCCCGAACCCCATATTCATCTTTTCGCTTTGTCTACCTTTCCCTTGTCTTTCGGCTTTTGCCGCGCACCCCGCTTCTTGTTGTACTGACAGACTGTTCGACCCTGGCCACTAGCGCGAGAGTCTACCCAACTTGCAATCACTCGTCATCGTTCTCCTCAAAGCAATTCTGGTTAATATCACAGCAGTCATAGTGCAGGGTCCGGCGAACCAGCAGCACCCTGGCATGGCCAACCGAGGTCCCAACGGCCATATTAACGGCGTAGGGCAGGCGCAGGGCCCCGGCTCTAACGGGTCCCCTGCGCCGGCGCTGTCGATCGAAGATATTGACGCCGCCCGAACGCGGGAGATTACTGCCAAGGCGGCAACGGGAATTCTCTTGCTTACCCTAAAGTGGTTCAAAGTTTCTCGTGCGTCTATTTCTTTCCCTCTTCATGTTGGTTCCTCTTTATGTCTTAGGGCCTTTTGTTAACACACGTCGCCTTTTAGATGTCCTCAAGTTTGAGTACCTCACGCAACTCCTTTTGGATTCTAACTACATCCCTCTCGTGCTCAAACTTTTGCACATCAGGATATCCAACAAGTTGTGGATAGTAAGACAGACCGGGTTGAGCATAGGTGAGTCCTCGTGATCTTATCCTTGATCATGTCCCTTCGGGCAATTTAGTGCCCGACACTTTCTAACGCTAGTTTTAATTGGGCGCTTAGCTTCTTCCGATTCTGTAATCTACGCTCGAGGCTAAGAGAGCAGCCTGATCTAGACTCCCCGGCACCCCCGGATCTAAATCCTACGGAATTCGATGACGAGAGTGAAGATGAGGCGTGCCCGCCACCCATCAGGCTTCGCCGCTCCCCGCCGCCGCCGGTACCATTGGCACCGACTTCACCACCGGAAGCTCAACTAACGGGCCGACCCGAGGTAGACGAATTAGGGTACCCGATCAATGACCTCCCACGGGAGCCCATCACTGATTTTCGTGGCGCAACTTTTTCACGCACATCAACTACTTGCGTGTGATGCAAAAGATATGCAAGGGCAAAGCGCACCGCAACCTACTCCTCGTGTCGTATAAGTCGTCCAATATCCTGCGGAAGTCGCTCAAGGTACCGCAGCCCGAGCTACGGCTCTACACGCTTAAGCTCTTCAAGAACCAGGTACCTTATTGCGGCCGCAAGTGGCGGCAGAGCAACATGCGGGTTATTACGGCCGTGTACCTACACTGCCGACCGGAGCTGCGCGACGAATGGCTCGCGGGCAGCGACGTGGACGCTGAGGTCGACTCGGCCGTACCCCTCGAGCAGGCGCTGCGCGGCCTCGCCCACTGGTTCAATATCCGCCGGTACCCTGACGGCGTGGCACCCGGCGTGCGCGCCTCAGTGCGTCAAGAGCAGGATTTCTTCTCCAGGGAGGTGGATAGATTGGAGGTGGCGTGGGTGGATGATGCAGAAATAGCCGACTGGGAGCAGGAAGCAGCCTTGGCGATGGGGTATTAACATGGGAAAATTTCCGAAAGGGGTGGGTGGAAGCGCCAAGTCTCGTTTTCCTTGTTCTTTTTTCTTTTTTGAGACCCCCCTCCCCCTCCAACCCGCGTCTTGAGAGACGTTAGGGGACGATGGGGTTTTCTTATCTTAGAGCTCGAGGAGTCTAGAGGGGGCAGAGGGGGCAGAGGGCGGGAGACGAATGTTCCTTGGGAGTTTTTGTGCGTCCGATGTCTTGGTGTTCATGGACCCCCTCCTCACCCCCATCTTGCCATCCATGTGTCAAAAAGGGTTTTGGGAATTCATTTGTATTAGTTTATCAAGTAGCGGAACAGAAGAATTATGAAACTCAAGATAAAGAATGAATTGACTTCGTAAATTGTTCCTTAGTAACCGGTTGTTAAAAACCGCCTATAAACGATGGGGAAAAACGCCGTTTCCGTGTGTGCTAAAGCTCTAATTGCGATGAAAGAGAGCCCCAGAGCCATGATGAAGGCCATTTGCCGCCCTTTAAACTCCGGCCTGAAAGAAAAAAAAAGCTTGGTATCCTAGTAAATGCTATTGCCATTCCCCTCCCTCTCTCACCATATGGTACTCGAAGACAACTGTCTCTTCATTCTTTCCCCACCATTCTTTTCTTTGGTATTTAGGGAATTTAAGCATTGTACACGCCGTCCGAGTATCTGTTCGCAGGCGGCGCCTCGTATCCCTGCGGTCGCGCCTGAAGTTGTGGCTGGCTCCGCGCAGAGCGGGGATCTCGGGAGACGGGCCTCAGGTTTTCGTAGGGGCCCATGGGGAAGTAAATCTCGCTTGGGGGCGGCCGGAGGAGGAGGAGGGTAGCTCGCCGAGCTGAGTGGAAGACGAGGTGTGGCCTACCGTGCTGGCGGGTAGAGAGGCGGAGGGGGTGGTAAGTACCGGCAACAAGGTGAGGGAAGGAGTTGCGGTGGAGCGGGGGCCGGCGGGGTGGCCTTGGTGAGTGGGAGAAGGGCGGAACCCGACGTCTGAGTACGAAGGGGAGGGTCGTTGTTGATGAGGGTGTTGCTGCTGCTGTTCTTGTCGCTGGCGGAAGGAATTGGAGAAGGGTGCGGGGCCATCGTCGATCGGAGAGACGGCCTGGGCGGGATAGCTATCGTAGCGGGCGAGGCCGGGCTCGGGAGCCGGAGGGGCGGGGACGCGCTGGTAGCCCTGGGTGCCAAAGCGGTGTAAGCGGCTAGTGCTGTTGTTGCTGCCCGTGGTGCCAGCGTTGGCTAGGCCAAGATCGGATTCGGCGCCGAAGCGTTGCTCAGGGGGACCTGCGCGGCGGAGTGGTAATCCGAGGGACTAGGGCGGGGCCGTCGAACTTCGGAGACGTGGATATAGTCGTCTCCACCGATGGCGCCGGAGGCAACGGGGGCCGTCGTAATGCTGCTGCTGCTCAAAGCTGGGGCGGCCGTTGAGATGTTGTGGTTGGGTGTGTTGGGGAAGGACGTTCTCGGGGGCGACTAAGGTAGCGGCGTGGCGGTGGTTGCGAGAGAAGAGAGAGCGTAACCAGCCCTTCTTTTTATCCGGGACAGCCGGGGCGAAGGGATCGTCAGGGTAGGAGCCCGGGTACGAGGTGGAGGCACTATCTTTGAGGGGCTCCTGCGACATGGAGAGCGTCTGACGCTTCTCGCGGTGGTGGTTACGGCCAAGGTAGAGGGAGGTGGCGATGGAGCCGATAAACATGAATATCATGAGGATAGAGACGGCGAGGCAGGCGGCGAGGAGGCGACAAGCGTCGCCGTACTTGGGAAGGGCCATAAAGCCGCCGTGATCGTCGTCGCTAACCTTGTCCGCGGCATCGCCCTTGCCGAAGGCGGTGTCGACCTCGCCGGAGCAGCTCCCCGCGCCGCCGCGATTGGCGACGGCGACGTAGATAAAGGCGGAAGCAAAGGCGACGTCGAGGATCATGTTGATAAATGAGGGAAATGTGCGGCCGGCGAAGAATCGGTTGGCTATGAGGCAGGCGATGGCGTAAGCGACGGTGATACCGGCGATGCCCTCGACGGCGCGGACAAACGTTGGGGTGGAGAGGCCCCGATTCGCGAGGGCGCCGAGGGTGTATGAGTAGATGGCGAGGATGACGACGGCACCGGTCAGCTGGAGAGACCGGAGGAGGGTCTGGGTCGTCTTGAGGACGGGCCCGCGAGACATGGTGGGCGAAGAAGATTCTCTCCGGCGAGGGGGAAATGGGGTGAGTGGTGATTCTTGAGGGTGAACCCTACAGAGGTGAAGTCGAAGAAGGGTTAAGAAGAGGTGGGAGCGGGGGATAAGAAAGCGTAGCCTCCTCGCCTTGAGTTCGGCAGGCGCCTTGTTAGAAGGGAGAGTGGCCTTGTGTGAGGCGTGTTGGACAGCGGTTTCCCCTCTTCTACTGGTTGTTCGTCGCCTCAACAATAAGGAGTGTTCCTTTGTCTGATTGTTATTCTTGTTTCCCCTCCCCGTTTGTCTACTATTGTGTGCGTGTTTATCTCGGGATGCAGGTATGACAAGGCAACTCGTGCAGAACGCCTAGATTCATTGGCCAGGCTGGTCGGTCGCGAGGGGTGAAACCGCCCCGGCAGGCGTGGTTGGTGGGGTTATGTGTATGTGTCGTCACGCACAAATGTGCAGAGGAGTCCACAGACTTATCTTCTTTTCTAAACGAAGACTGTCCAAGCAAAGAAAAAAAAGGTCGAGGCTGGCGATAAAGAGTGTAGATCAAAAATGAAGAAAAAGGAAAAGAAGCAATTGAAGGTTTGTAAGAAGAGAAAAAGAGACTCAATGTGAAAGAGTGGCTTGACAAAGGCTAAGCAAGGGACGCGACTAATAGTTCTCCAGCCAAGAAATTGAAGCTTCGCCTCCTCAACCCCAGCCAAGCAGCGTCCTCCTTTACCCCATAGTATTGCTCCTTCTTGCCTCCTTTGACCAACTATTAGCTTCTATTGAGCTGACGAAGCGGCTCGTGGCTGGATGTGGTGATGACATCACTTTTTTGTTACATTATTCTGGTGGTCCCTTTTTTTCTTTTTTAGTAATTACTGGGTGGGTTTTCGTTTTGACACTGGCCTGACTCTCAAGTCCCTTGTCTCTCAAGTTCTTTTTTGGTTGATTGTCAGAGACCCCAAGAGGGCTGGGCTGCCGATTGGATCTCGGGAAGGAAGGGCCCTTTTTCAAGGAGGCTCTGCGGCGGCAGGTGGAGGGGACCACTACCGGCTTCAGGAATAGATCATGCAGCAAAGTACCTTTGTGTGTAATAAAGCGGAAAAAGGTACAATAACGCTGCTTGGGGCGAGGAGCGTCCACGCGAGGTGGCGGAGCGAACCGCGTAATCCAATAATGCCCGCTCTCCGCCTCAGCTGATGCGTCAGGATGTCGACAAACGAGGCAGACGAAAGAACGCCCGGCGCCAAGCAGAAACAAACAGAAAGGAAACTCGGCACCGGAGCTTAGACATGAGGGGTTGGAAGGGGAGGGAGGAAGAATTAAAGAAAAAATGATCGCCACTGCATCATTGTTCGGCTTCATCATGCCTTGACCAAGCACCAAAACAACCTGTGATACTGCTAATAAATGCTATATATCTTCAAATTGGTTCGGAATACTCTAGTTCTGTGCATTGGCCCAAATGGCCTTTTTCTCATCATCATTTCTGTTCCTTGAGGAATTTGAAGCCAAGAAGCAAGGAGGGAGGGGAAAAAAAAAGAAACAAAAAAGAAAAGAAAGAAAATCCCTTGGCTTGGCGTGTTTGGCCGCGTGCCGAGAGCTCGCGCCTTAACCGATGCCACGCAAGCGTCCCCTATTCTACAGATGCTAACCAAAGATCCACTCGAACTCAGTTGATCCCACGAGTGATGGGGACAGGGGTTATTGAACTAGTCAATTACTTTGGCAGATGCTCGCCCGGGGTTTCCGGGCCCTCGAGGACTTCGGCGAGGTCCCGGAGAGGATCACCCATTGAACAACCTTGAAGCCGCAGGTTGATCAATGATGTTTGGTCCCAGATTGGTGACCTTTTCAAGCCCGCACAAGCCGGTCCCCGACGTTCATATTGAAATTGAATCCATAGGTAAAAAAAATTCAACGGATTACCTTATATTCTGCTTTGGTACACATTAGCCTCCCTCGGAGTACACTAGAAAAAGAATGACCCATTTGAGACTCCTCTGTCCCCAGAAAATCTCAAAAATACATCTGTAGCTAAGGAACTGAACAAAACAATGCTAAAGATTCCCGGCAAACCTTGATGGTGTAATTTATGGGTTAGTGATAAAGGCTTAAGCTCCTTTATTCCTCTCCGCCCCAAATCCTATCGTCTCAATCCGCTCAACGCCGGGCAAGGCACCGTGATATTATCCGCAACCTCCCCCGCCTCCTCAACACCTGATTCAGAGCCCTTCCTACACGATTCCGATCCGATATATCTATATTATTAGAACTGATGACCCTGTCGCCAGCTATCCCGACCCTGTTCTCGCCTGGTATTCTTTGCCCTGGGCGAGAGTATTTTTCCTGGGCTAGAGTACTGATGGTGGACCCGCAGTTCTTGATTGTCATGGTAAACTGTTCGAGCGTCGTGTCCACTGTCGGTCGAGCAAACCCTAATACCATCTGGATGGGCCCATCGAATGCTTCAAACGCGCTGATCAGTTGCGCATGATCGTTCATGCCGCATGCCTTGGCGTTACGGACGACGATGATGACAAAAATCATCATGTCCTTATTTTGGAAGGCATCCCACAACGTATATCTTGCCTTGGTGAGTCGGGCAAACGCCGATGCATGGTCTGGGCAAAAATCCTTCTCCAACCTGGTAGCTACGACTTCTATCGATGCCGTGTGCAATGCCAAACGTTCAGCAGCTGTCAGAATCTGCAGATGCCAAACCAGCGCAGAACCGAGTAGGCACCTATCCCACACTAACCGGATTAGGGCTTCGCCATGGATGGCTGCACGGTGCCGCAGACGCGAAGTAAAGATGAAAACATCCGTGAAAATCGTGATATCTGTCTCCATAGAAATCCCCGTGCCGTCATCAGGGGCATCCGGGTTAAAGTATCCGATGTGCTCCGGTTCCAGGCCAATGAAAGTAGTATCTGCCGTTGGGAGAGATGGTTGGCGAAAATCCGCCATCACCTCTCTGACGACTTGGGAGATATTGTCCCTCACAGTCTGTAGTTCGTCAACAAATTCTTGCATGCTGATGCATTGGTCACCATCAAGCGTAGTAGCTGTGGAAGCAATGGCACTATTGGCAGAATTGACCCTTTCGTCGTCCGACATACTAAGCTCCCACCTTTAAGGACCTTGTTGATGAACGGTGGAGCTGTTTTAGCGTGCTCTATAATGTTGCCTAGAATTTCGCGTATCGCTCTAGTTACCTGTAGTAGGATCGAGCCTGGTAAGCCCGTGTCCCAGAGGCTGTTTTTTGATTCCCACACCGTCGACGTCTATGCACGGCGCCTTGCCTAATGATCAGGGACTGGTCTGGTGTTTTCAAAAAGGGGCAGCTGCTTTGATAAATTGAAAATTGGCGTTTCTTTGACGGAAGTTGTCAAAGGTCGTAGCAATGCCGCCGTTGCTACGTGCATTTCAGTTCTGCCCAGCGTGGTATGTTTGCATCTGCATCAAGATGCCCCCAATCTATTTTGAAACGGGACATGCCAGCACTCGGTGTATACAGCGCGTACCTTCCCGGCTCCAACCCATCATCGTAAGCTCCGCAGTCGTTCCTGCCATCCAGAAAGCTCAATTCGCCCAGTACGGAATACCTGTGGGAAGGTAAGAGGCGGATTTAATACTCCTCCCACCTTCTGCTCTGGGGATGGGTCTGTGTAGGTGCAAGTTCTATTTTTATCCAATGGGAGGTATGATCTACTCTCTCCTTGAGCGTAATGCAGTTTGGAGTTGGGATGGACTACCACCCTCCGTCTATAGACATGCGCAATACCTGCATATATAGAAATTTTAGAAGTAGCCAAGAAAGTCGAGTGGGATGCCATGAGGAAGAACGGGATCAAGATCCTTGCATTTGACGTGATGGTGGCATTTGATCCTCATGATTTTGACTCCTGCTGATGGTGGAGAGGTTCCTCACTGTATCCTGATTTCCGTTGAGGATTATCTGTCTGAGGCCCATCTATCCCCACGGGCCGCGGACGAAGGGTTCGGGTCCCAAATATTTTGGCAAGTGCGTCGTTTTGTTTGTTCTTTCCTGATTGTTTTCTTCTCCAAGATAAGAAAGCACGTCAGGTGGTCGACAAGGCCTCCACCAGGGAGCCAACCGTAGGTGGTGTGGTTGAGCGCTCCTCATGTGAGCCATGACAATTAGTAGGAATAGTTGGTTGTTATCGCTCCGCCTATTCCTCCAATTCATGATCCTTGGATGTCATCAGCGGCGCTAGATAATTCTTCAAAGGAAGGGGCGGCACAGTCCCGCGGTATGCCTCTGTGAGGAGCGTCGTGTAGGCGGCCGCCCAGAGCCATGCAAAGAACTCGTGGGTCCGTGCCACATGGACCACAGTGACGGGCCGGGCGAGCTAGGTCCGGAAGAAGAGAGACGGAATAAAGTCCAGACACCATTGCGCTAATATGCGTAAGCCCCGGTCGGCCGGCGGTCGGCTCCGGTTTTTTACTGTTTCGGGAGGAGCTCTTCTCCACGGAACAAGCCTCGCTTACTCTCTCTATTGTCCAAGTCGAGGGGTTTATAGCAAAAAAAAAAATACTAGTCTACAGGAAACCTCTCAAAAGGCCAGCTTGACTAGGTCGGCAAAGATTTACCTTTCCCTTTTTACGAGGAGGGGTGAGAGATCGTTGTAGAGACTTTAATCGCTTATATAGGGCCAGAGATTCTTGACTACCGCTATCACACGCCATGGGTGGGCGCGAGGCTTGGTAATCGCCCAAAAATTACTAAGGGCTACATCATATTATCATGAGGAAAGCACGAAAGCCTTCCACTCGCGCCGTGCTTGTCTCTATCCGCTCTCCTCATACCAACGGAGGATATGGGTGGTAGAGAAAGAAACTCTCCTGACTTCCGAAATCCACAAACTGCCAGATAAACGATCGCCGCTTCTAAAATTCTTTCCTCTTTGATAATCGTCGAGTTTCGGTTATCAACCAAATATCATCGGCATGGCTGGGTCCAAGATCCTGATCACCGGCGCCACAGGTTATATGTGAGTGGCGGCCCAACGTTGGACAATGTTTCAATAATCTCCACCTTCCATCCGGCAGGACCTTAGCTGGCCAAGCTCTGAGAGGGAAAAGAAGAAAGAAAAAAAGAAAAGAAAGGAACGCAAGAAACATTCAGCAGGAGCATGTGCAGCTGATAGATAATTGAAATCTCATCATTTTCTCTCTTCCTTTCTAGCGGAGGATCTATCCTCACGACCATTTTGAACTCGGACGACCCTGGCCTCAAGTCCGCCACCGTCTCGGCCCTCGTGCGTAAATCAACCCAGGCCGATCTTCTCCGCATTAAAGGGGTCGAGCCTATCTTATTTTCCGGGCTCGATGATGTGGAGCTGCTGGCCAAGGTTGCCTCGGAGAATGACATTGTCATCAACACCGCCAGCGCCTTCCACGCCCGGGCCGCTGCTGCCTTGATTGAGGGTCTCGCGCGGCGCAAGAGAGAGACAGGAAAGGAGGTTCACCTCGTCCATGTACGGATCCTATTTTCTTCACCCTTGTCACAGCCTTCAGAGGTCCATGTTCTCCATCAGCAAATGCGCAAAGCGATCCACTAAGGCACTAACCGGTGAGAACAGACATCTGGTACGTCTAGTCTCGGAGATCAACCGGTTTCGGGGGCTATCGCGAATCTAGGGTTTTCTCAGATAAGGATGACGACATCTATAACTACCTGCGCGCGCGGGAGGACCGCGAGCCGTACGCTCAGCGCACCACCGATCTTGTGGTGCTAGAAAAGGGCGCCGAGGCCTCCGTACGCACCTATATACTCATGTCTCCCACCATCTACGCCGTTGGACACGGCTTCTTCAATCGCACCAGCATCCAGATCGACACCCTCATCCGGGCCGCCTACCGCCAGGGGTTCACTTCGGTCATCGGTGCGGGTGAGGCTGAGTGGGATCATGTGCACATCGCCGACCTCGAGAACCTGTACCACGCTGTACTCCGCCGCATCGTAGCCGGCCAAGACCTGGCCCATGGGCAAAGGGAGGGCATCTACTTCACGGGGACGGGCCACCACACCTGGCGCGAGGTCTCGGAGAGAGTGGCGCGGGCGGGCAAGGAGCTCGGGTACCTCGATACGAACGAGGTTCGCGAGGCGTCGCTACAGGTAGCGGCGCACGAGGTCACGGGCAACAGCAATACGCAGTGGACGGAGCTGGGCTTCGCGTCAAGGTCTCGAACGCTAGCCCCGCGCAGCCGCGGGATCGGATGGGAGCCGACGAGGACGAGGGAGGACTTTGAGAGGAGTTTTGTGCAGGAGTGGAGAGAGCTGATTCCGGGGCTGAAGAAGAATACTGTTTAGGGGTTCAGCCTGGGAAGACTTGAGCAGAAAACAAAAATTGATGGGTTTCCTGATGCAGGGTCGGCCTGATATTCTTGCGCTATTGGCGAATCATTCTTCTCCATGTAGGTAGGTAATAGGCCCAAATACGCCTCGCAACACTTGTTCGTCTCTACCACCATGAGTCGCTGGAATAATAGACGTACATCTATTATGAGTAGCGGACCCAACATCTCGTGGGCCGCCTGCAGGTCTCGGTGTGAGCTTTGTATCTGCCGCGTCGCGTCAAGGCGGCGTCTCGTTTAGTACAATAGTGTGAGTTTCTACTTCATCCAAGAATGTAGCCTCCTCTCCCACTCTTGCCCAAACTCGTCACCAGGACACACGCCTCTCTGCAAGTCGGCTGCCTGGCACCTACAGATATGGGTTTATGGCGCCGACTTTGCCGTGGAAAGTGTGTTTTATGGGGTTAATAGTATGGATAGCGCAGATATATGCAATTCCCGGTGGCCAAGATGCCATGCTATGCTCTGCATCGGCTCTTTGCTTTTTACTGTTTTCTTTCCCATCCTGGGTGTGGTAAACGCTCCAAACGAACAGTGGGACATGAGGCATTCGGCCACAGGACTGACAAGGCGCGCCAATGGAAAAAGAAAAGAAAAAGGAAGGAAAGAAGAAGATGTCATCTCGTAGCTTTGGCGCAAAAGAAACCTACGAACTGCAGATCCCTGTTCTTTCCCCCTCCGCCCCCTTCCTTACCCTAGTCCGAAAGCGAAAGAGAAGAGCGCTATGGAGGTGGGGGAGAAGAGAGTCCAGTGCGGATGAAGTCGCCCTTGCTTTCGCTAGGAAAACGCCTCCCAAGACACTAGCGTCAAGCCCGTTTCCGGTGGCTCTTCATCCAGGGGACAGAAGCGATTCAGGCACGATTCCAAAATGGAAGCACGTCCGTAGGCCCAGCCATTTCATCGTTCCCACATGACCACCGCTCTCTGGGTATTCTGCGATGGAGGACCCTGAAGAAATCGGGGAAAGGAGGAAAGTACTCCACTGGCAAAGGGAAGAAGATGGAACGAGGTCCCCTCAAATGAAGAAGTGGACGAGGAAACCTCCTAATGGATGAAATCCGCCTAAGAGACCGGAGTAGTTGGCCACTGACGCAGTCTCCCACATTCTTCCTCGTGGGGCCCTCCCCTTCCCCTGACGATAAGCACCCCGTGCGCTGGATGGTGACTGACCTCGTGTTTCTCTGTCCGCGAGGGGTGAGGCCAATGACGAATTGCCTAGTGAACACAAAGGCCGTGTTTGACGAATAGCTGATCGGTTGGACAACGTGCATCCCTGACCCCTGTTGTGTCTCCTCGCCCTGATTTCTTGTTGCCGCTCAATTCCCGGGCGCATGCGTCAAGGGTCTAGGGATACTCCTCTTATAACCAACCCACTTTAAATGCCGGCCCGCGGGGATTGGCGGCCATCCTTATTTCCACGTTGATCGTGGTGCGACAACTGAGAATAAGTGGATAATACCGCGAAATTCGACTTGGGAGGGAGGCCATTTATGACTTGTACACAATGAAAGACAGTAAAGGTTGGCAGGAGGAGAAAAAAGGAAACCTGTATCACTCCCGAAAGAAGGCTGGTGGTTTACGCCACCAGCACCAGCTGTCCGGCTAGGACGGGCCTCGACTAACATCTTTTTTTCTTTCTTTTTCTTGTCTTTCTTGTCTTTTCTTTTCGTACTTTCTAGCTCTTTTCATCCAGTGCTTAGGCCGTGCTCGCGGCCCCCTTTCGCGCCGCTTTTCCACTCCGGGCCAATGTCCTGATTGATTTATATTGATGGTTGATGGAAAATGTGGCATTCGGCGTGGAAGCACAGGTACGAATTTCCGCCAAAGAGAGGCGCGATTACTTGGCCGGCGATTCTTGCGCCAAGCACTCATTCTTCGGCCTCCTATGCCTGATAGAGTCCACTGTCTCTGTCTCTCCAAGGCTGCCAAGGGGAGGGGAGGCGTGGCGTCCCAAGCTGACGGGCGGTCAATGACACGAGGAAGCAGCCAAGGCCGGGTCTCAAAGGAAGTTCTAGAAACCTCCCATCAAGTTCACTCCCTCTTACAGGTCCAATAGCTGTCAAATAACGGTAGGCCAAGCGCGCTCTACAAGCGCACAACGGCGGGATGCAGCCCAAGCCCAAGAATGGGTCCAGCTATCTTGGTCTGTCACTCCCCTTACGTCGAGGACGGTGGCCACGGAACCGGAGAACTGCGAGTTCCTGTACTATCGCACCTGCTCCCCTTTTCTGCCCACGCTGCGCAGTGATGCAGGGACCGTAGCACCCCGTATATGTAGCCTCGATGCTCCTCCCACCCCGTTCCTCTCCCTCCCGCTGCCCCCCAATAAGTTAGTTGTATGCATCCGTCGGCGACTGAGTGGTGTTTAAGTGTCTCTTCCCGAGAACGCCTCCTTTCCCTTTTTTCTCTCCTCTATCTGGCCCTCTCTAGGGTTACTCCGCACGGAATTTCCCTGCGCTTCCCTCGCTAGGTCTGTCTAATAGGCCGTCACTTTCGCTCTTTCGCTGTGCGCGAGCAGGCCACTCCGCTACTCGTCATCATACCTATACCCTCTCCCACAACCCGCCCCAGTCAAGACTTGTTTTCAAGTGGCGCTTAGTTCAGGAAGAGAAGACACCTGACACACGTTTCGACGCTCGTCTCTCTCTTCTAACCGGCACACTCGCTTCTCCTGAGTCTTCTCTCACTCTTGACTATCCATACCCCTGCTTTTGCCCTTTTGGCTAAGCGGAGCCCCTCCCAAAATTTTGGGCTTTTCTCCCTCAACCTATGTATATACACACACCGGCCCGGCAACCATGAAACTTAGAATATCTCTCGTGTGTTTCCTCGGCCTGGCCCAAACCATTGCGGGAGACCCCACGTGGCCGAGCCCGTCAGACGACCTCGAAGAGGTCATGTACCAGCTCTTCGGCTTCCGTGCCCGCAAATTCGCCGATACCGTCTCCCCTGCTCCAACCAAGGGTCCGGGCCCGGCCGACAAAATGCGGCCGAGTGGCTACGTACCGGCTTCCACGACATGGCCACGGCCAACACCGTGTTTGGCTGGGGCGGCCTCGACGCCTCGCTGCAGTTCGAGCTGAACAACGGCGAGAATGCCGGGCCTGGCTTCGCTTCCACCCTCGGCTTCATGTCCCAGTACTACAACAAGAGGACGAGTCTGTCCGACCTACTCGCCCTTGCCGTCTATGCCTCCGTGCGCGCGTGCGGAGGACCACCTGTCACGGTGAAGCATGGGCGCGTCGACGCTACTGTCAAGGGGCGGACTGGCGTCCCCAGCTGGGCAACTCCATCGGCACCTTTCGAGATCAGTTTAGCCGTATGGGCTTCAACAACGCCGAGATGATCCAGCTCGTCGCGTGTGGTCACACCCTCGGCGGGGTCCACAGCGCCCAGTTCCCCACCGTCGTCCCACCGGGCCAGTTCCCCAACGACCGCGCGCCCCTTGACAGCACCGATGCCATCTTTGACAATGCCATTGTGACCGAGTACCTCGATGACTCCACAGACAACCCCCTTGTGCGGGGTCCCTCGGCGCGCCAAAATTTCAACTCGGACTTCATCGTCTTCAACTCAGACGGTAACGCCACCATGCGCGCCCTTGCTGACGCCGCCAGGTTCCGGAGCGTGTGTCAGGACGTCTTCAGCCGCATGGTCGACGTGGTCCCTGCTGGCGTTGTCCTGTCTAGCCCCGTGCTGCCATACACGGTTAAGCCAGTCAACATGCAGCTGATACTGGCTTCGGATGCCGGCGCGTTGCAGTGGAGTGGCTACATTCGCGTGCGGACGACGGAGATGCCGCTCGCCGACATCCTCAACGTGGTTGTCACCTATAAGAACCGGTACGGGCAGGCGGATTGTGGATCCCTCTCATGCTCAACGACACTCACCGTCCAAGGCGTTGGTACGGGCTTTGATGAGTCTTTTGCTGTAAGTTCTTTCACTCGCCGGATGGATTTCCTTTTCTCTCTCTGTTTCTTTGGCACTTTCCTCCCCTTCAGTTTTTCACACTGAATGATGTCGCCCCATTCCCACCCAGCCCCTCGAAGTTGTTGCTGATATACCGTCCCAAGTTCTTCCCCATCGACCGATCCATCCCTGTGGCTACCGGAATCTCATCTTTCACTCTTGTCGTCAACATGAAGGATGGCGCCAAGCGCGCCTTTGACAACAACGGCAACGGGTACCCCGTCCAGGACGGCATTGTGATCCAAAAGCAGCAGAGCTGCCTCCTCCAGACTTCCGGCACCTTCACCCTCACCACCGCCGTCCGCAACGACCTAGCTAATCAGCCCGTGGCAGCCACCATACAGTATAAGACCAAGCGCGACACGAACCCGACCCACCTCTTGAGCGAGATGGCCCTGTCACTGACTAATGGCAGCTGCGTTGGTGCCTACACGCTGTTTACGGGCTCCACTACTATTCCCGGAGGGTTAAGTGCCTCGTCCGTGATAGATGTCGCCGTGGGCTCATACAAGGAGCTCTTCCGGTCTGTGAGCGATATTGGGGGCTCGTGTCGCCAGTTTACGGGTACAAGGACGTGCGAGACGCGGGGGTGCCGTCTTCAATCTCGTCGCCGCCGAGCACCAGCTCGACTTCGACAGCCACCAGCAGCGGGATAGTCACCAGCAGCTCGGCCGTGTCCAATAGTGCACCGTCCTCTGAGATCGTGACTAGCACGACGGGAGACCCAAATCTCGTCTCATCCACCGCTTTCTCCTCATCCTCCTCCTCCTCCTCCTCTGTGACCATATCCTCGGCGAACACTGTGACAACGCAGTCTGTCCAACACCGCCCGACTGTCGGCGGCTACGAGCTCGTCGCCTGCTGGACCGAAGGCGCGCATTCTCGCGCGCTCAAGGGCGCTTCCTTTGCCTACGATGGCATGACGCTTGAATCCTGCATGGCGAATTGCACGGGCTTCGCCTACTGGGGCACCGAGTACGGCCGCGAATGCTACTGCGGAAATTCCCTCGACGGCACCTCAACCGAGGCCCCACTCATAGACTGCGACGTCGTCTGCTCGGGGACCGGACGCAGTACTGCGGCGGCGGCAACAGGCTCGAGCTCTACTCTACAACTGCCGCGGTCTCAGCGCCCACCCCGACGGCAACCCTTGCGCACCTCCCCACGCTCGGCGTCTACAACTTGGTTGGCTGCTGGAAGGAAGGCCGGGGTTCCCGGGCAATGGATGCAAGGGCGACAGCGTCGGTAGATATGACGCTAACAAAGTGCAAAGAGTTTTGCAACGGATACGAGTACTTTGGTACCGAGTACGGGAGAGAATGTAAGATTTTTGTCGCCTCTTTTTACCCTTTCTTTGCCTTTTTCTTTTTCTTTTATCCTATCCTAACGACCAGCAAGGTTACTGCGGTGACTCGCTTCATGAGACTAGCGAGGAGGCACCGGCCGAGGACTGCAGCATGGTTTGCTCGGGTGATGAGTACCAGTATTGCGGCGCGGGCAACAGGCTTGAACTCTACAGGAGAGCGGAATCTGGGGTCGCCTCTAGTACACAGGCGGAAACAGCCACAACCGTGTCCTTCTCGACATCACCATCCGTCGTGCCCTTTTCTACAACCTCCTCTTCTATCCTCTCTTCCACCATTAATGCCTCACCTACGCCGACAATTGTAGGAAACTTCACCTTTCAGGGTTGCATCACAGAAGGCAGCGGAGTACGCGCCCTCTCCCAAGCCGGCCTCGCCGACCCCCAACTAGACCTCGAGCACTGCGCCGAATTCTGCTCCAACTACAAGTATTTCGGCACCGAGTACGCGTCCGAATGTTACTGCGCCGATTCCCTAGACCCTTCATCCTCGGAGGCCGACCCGTCCGAGTGCAACATGCCGTGCTCTGGCGACGCCTCCCAGCTCTGCGGCGGGCCCAACCGCCTCAGCCTGTACGCATCGCTGAGGAGGCCCCGTCAGCCCCTCGCCACCCGGAAGCGGTAGGCAACTATCGTTTCGTGGGGTGCCGCACTGATAACGCCGGTGGCACTCGCGCGCTTGCGGACGGGGCATTCGCTGACGACGATGCCATGACCGCGGCGAGGTGCGCGGTGCTGTGCGACGGGCACGCCTTCTTTGGCACCGAGTACGGGACAGAGTGCTACTGCGGCAGCGAAATTGGGCGGGCTAGCGAGATGGTGGAGGAGGGCGAATGCGGGATGGAGTGCAAAGGAGACAGGAGTGAGTTTTGCGGAGGTCCCAATAGATTATCGGTGTATGCTCTCGCTGCGCGATAGACAAATACTCGCTACCGGCTGTGCGAGTGGACTGTTCTTGGAGTTTTCTTTCAGTTCGGATTCATTCTTGTCCTTATTCCCCTTTCCTTCTTCCCTTCTTTCTTGTTTTCTTGTATATAGTTTACGATATGGATAAAAACATAAGCCGGATACGAAAGCGGTTTCTGTTTTGGGGAGTTGAATTATTTAACTGTGTAAGTCAAGAGAAAGGTATCAAGAAGCCTTTAGCAACCTACGCCCTTCCCATATTCAATCATTTTTTATAAATCTTTTCCTTCCTCTTTTCTGCTTTTAATCATCTCCATCTCCCTCAGTGGTCCATGCCATTACTAGGTGACCAGGTGTGTAGATGTCTTCAAAAATTGATGCGCCAGGGTTTGTTTTCCAACGATTGACTATAAACTATACGTGTCATCTTGAAAGGCATCCATTGCATCCATTTCAGATTGTGTTCAACATCGGGATTTACATGAAGAAAGTTTAACCAAGACGACTGAAGGAGCTAGATAAACTAAAGAAAAAGTAGAAGAAGAAAAGGACCGCCAAATCATGCAATAAGCCTAGGGTTCGGTATGTAGATCTGCACATGAAAACATCCTCAGGCAAGAAGGGTAGTAAAAAGAACGGCAAAGCTAGAACCTATGCAACCTAGTAATCTATACAATAACATTATACATCAAGTCCCAAAATATGACCAAGGCAAGGGACTCTTCTAATATTAAACCTGCCCCATGAGCTTGACCTCGAAAACGTCAAAAGAGAAAAGGGACACGTGCGTACGTCTAAGGATTAGAACAAGGGGCTGCTTCGTCTCTTACAAGGGAGGAAGGTCCTCCCTGCAAATAGGGCACTGCAGACGGAATCGCATCCAGCCTTCGAGGCAAGGACTGTGGAAAACGTGACGACAGGGCGTGACCATGTACCCGCTTGTCCCGAGGACGGCGGCCACGGCAGCAGTTGTGTCATCTGATAGTGGGACGGATTGCGCGGCCGCGGCGGCGAATGAGGAAGAGGACAGAGTTGGTTTAGGAGAAGAAGGCGAGGAAGTAGAGGAAGGGGTAGCGGCGGTAGTGGCGGAGGGGAGAACGGGGAGATGGAGGACCTCGCGACAAATGGCGCAATCGACGGAGCGGACTCCAGGAGGGTCGCCGGGGGCAGGGGCCGACTCAGCAAGGGCGAGGGGCAGCTTGTTAGCTGCCTCAAGAGAGTCCTCGCGCAGGACCGGGTGGTAGTCCCAGGCGTCTGGGGTCCAGGAGGCAGGGAGGCCGAAGCGAGGGCCGAGGAGGTCCTGGGCGGCGAGGATGCAGAGCTGTAGCCAGACCCAACCGGCGAGGGCGGCGAAGGCCCGGGCGTCGGTGCGGACGAGGAGAATGTTGTCGGGCCGGCAATAGAGATAGGCAAGAGGGACCAGGCGAAGGACGGACTGCCCGGCGGTGAAGCGCCAGGAAAGGGCGCGGCGGCAGTTACGGCGCACGTTGCGGATAATTTGGGGCAGCCACAGGGAGAGATAAGAGAAGGCGGCGAAATTGGCGAGGGTGGACCGTGCGGCAGGGGGCCAAGTCGTAGAAGCGACGAGGAGGAAGAAGAGGCATGAGGCCGCGAGGGCGATGCGGGCGACGACGGAGGAGAAGCTGGGCACTGAGGCGGGGAAGGGCCTCCCGTGGCGGTGGTGGCTGTTGGCACGGCAGATGCGGCGTTCGCCACCTCGGCAATTTCGGCATCGATGTCCTGGTCAGAGGGGATGATGATAGGAGTACTTGCTTGTGCGGGAGGTGAGAGGAGGCGATCGCGTTCCGTCGGGTCCGGGTCTGATTCGGAGTCGGAATTGTTGGACGGCGAAGGCTCTGATTGGGCACGGGTTGTTTGCTCAGATGAGGGATTAGAAAGGGCGGCGGGAGATGGCGACGGGGGCGTCACTCGCATCCATGGTTGTGTTTGCGTTTGTGGTTGGGGCCGGTGTCCCGGCGCCAGTATTGCGGGCCGCGACAGCAGCCTCGCGAGTCGCCCGTCGAACCCACTCCTGCTGCTGAACCTCAAAAATCTGGAAGAGGAAGGTGCCGCCGACAAACATAGAGATGAAGGCAGCAAACATGAGGGTGAGGGACTGCAGGGAGGACTCGGAGGAGAGCAGGAAGGCGGTGACGGCCGTCACAACGAGGAAGTCGGCCGTGAGCATGATGACGCCGGTATAGAAACTGACACGGCCCATGGTGGAAGGGGTGCACGTCTCGCGAATTTGTTGCTTGAGGAGCAGTACTTGGCCGGCAAATAGGAGGGCGTAGATTAGCAGGCAGGTGTTGAGAGTGGAGCGGTAGATCTCAGCTTTCATGCCTAGGAGGTGGTGGCCATCGGCCTGGGGGTAGGCGGGTGGGCCTTTACTGTCGAGGAAGAAGGCGCAGTCTGGGGAGAAAACGACAGCGGCGAGCTGCAAGGGAGGGACTCCACGAATTGGTGCGCCGAGCGGGTGGGTCAGCTCGCGCTCAATGTCGAGAATGATGGTGCTGATGGATTCGTTCTCCGGGTCCAAGTGGGAGAGGTCGAGCTTGGCGCGGTCCAAGGGCATGATCTGGGCGTACATGACGTACTCGCAATTGGGGTTCGGGGCGTAGATGTCGACGTCGTCAATGTCCGAGGTCCAGGGTATCCTAGCGTCGAAGGAAAGGTAGCGGGCGCTTTGGCGCAGGCGGTCGGCGATGGTTCGGTTCAGAAGGGCTCTGCTCGACTCGAAGAAGCGCGGGCTCGGTACGAGGTGGGGCAGCGCGAAGATGCCGTCAAACTTTTCACTCGTCGTTGTGAGCAGCAGGGCGCCCTGGCGCTTCCAGTGGACGCCGTGTAACCGCATATCCCAGGTCCGGCCGGAGCCGTCAGTGTCTTCGATGGTGATTTCAGCGCGGACGGCGCCAGCGCCGTAGATTGGGTCAGCATCAAACCCATCGCGGGCGTCGAGGTTGGCCTTGTCGCGGATGCGCATCTTCATCTGGCCCTGCGATCCTGTTGCGTTCCTCCCCCAAGGCAAATCCGGGGCGGACCACTCTATCCCCGGCGTAACGGCAGTTAGGTTATAGCTCGTAGCCAATCGCTTGACCGAGGCGTCACGGCGAGACCAGGGGCCATGGACGCGGCCCGAGGCGTTTTGCCACACGGGCTCAGCGCGACCGTCGAGCCAGAGATCCCTACCGTCGACTGGGGGAATACTGCGTGGCTGATACGGAGACAGTTGCTTCGAAACACCTCTAGGTCCTCCCATGCGAATCCATCACTTCGGCGGAAGCCGGTCAAGTTCAAGTATTTGCCAACAGCCTCTCCTCCCCGGGCCTTGTCCCTGGTATAAACTGCGGGGACGACGCCATTTCCATCCTCAGAGGCAGGAGGGGCTGCTGAGGGGCGAAGTCGCCCCATTTTGTCGAGTTGAGCACGTCGAGGGCGTCAAGCTGATGACGCAAACGGGAGGCCGCTAGCTCCGGGGCAGCGATGAGGTCGGAAGGATTGTCGGGGAAGAAGATAAGCCAGCACGCGAAGATGAAGATGAGGGGCAAGAGGCGTGAGCGCGATTCTCGACGTTGGAGTGGTGGCGTGGCAGTGTCGGAGGCACTATCTTCGGCGTTGGCATCGAGCGCTGGAGATCCGGAGGGGACGGGGTGGGCGAGGGATTCAGTACCGGGCTGGCCGGAGCTGAGGACTCGTCGGGCATGGTCTAACGGTCCGGGCTTGCGGTAGACACAAGCTGGAGCTATGGGAGGGAGAAGACGGGGAGGGAGGGGTTGATTAAGCTCGGGCACGTACTCGGGCTCGGCGAACTATCGAAAAGGTGATAGAGGACTCATGTCTAACGAGCACGAGGCTTGTGAGAGACTCGTTTGCCAGTGTTGTCAGTGCTTGCTTCGAATAAAACGAGGAAAGGGAGTGTGGGTGCTAGGCGTTGTTAGCCCGGTGTATCGCGTTACGGTGTCAAGTTGGTAAGGTCGACCGCAAAAGTTTCGCCGACGGGATGAGGTGTGGTGGCGCTGTGAGAAACTGGTGGGAGCTCTCAGTGGGAACACAAGGGTATTTCCTGGGTTTGGCTCGTTTGGGGTGTGACGTGCATGGGTGAAGTCTGACGTAAGTTGAAAACGAGATTAGGAAGCAGCACCACTCTCCTCCAGAGAAAAATCGCCCTCGCCAAAGGTTAGGGATTTCTTTCATTAAAGAAGGAGAAGAAAGAATAATTAAACCGTGCAACGGTAATAAATGTGTTGTAATTTCCAAATTTCATGCCACTGTAATACTGGATCAATTGTACATGTAGCCAACAAGTGTCTATCGGTTGCCGGACGAGCTTTCTCTTGCTGAGTTTATAAGTCTATCCTCGAGCAAAGTCGGGTACATACGACCATAGCTCGCAGATAATTGAGGGTCCCGTCCGCTCCCTGTACACAAGCTGCGAAGCGCCGGACTAGTAGTTGGGTCGGTGACGACCAGCGAATCCCCGGTGTTGTATGTTTTTTTTTTTTTTTTTTGGCTCTTGTGCCTACTGTTTTCTTCTTTATCGTCTCCATTCCTTTCCTTATGATATAGATCAGGTCGTGAAGCAATAATCGGCATTATTATTCTGCGAATCAATTCGATATTACGCTGAACCTGCCTTTGTCCATCATCCTCTCACAGGAGTCGAGTTTGGAGAGGATCCAGACTGTAAGAAGCCCCGCGTCTCAGCCCCCGCCTTTTTCCTTTCACAGGAACTCACACCTTCACAATTATCACCTCGGACTCGAGAAACAGTCCATGTCGAATATCCTTTTAACTTCTCCAACCCTTCTCTCCTATTCTTTTTCTCTCCCATCCCCCGGTTATATCACGTCACAAACTAGGGTTAAGAACGGAAAGGGTACCTCGTTCGTCCTCGCTTGCATACCGGGCTCCTGAAGCCATTTCCCTGTTGCCCCCTGGCCCCTCCTAAACCCCAATTCTTAACGTTGGTAGCCTCGCATAAGATGACACGCAGAAGGAAGAGAAGCACTTCCTGGGAAACTTAGGGTGGGATAACCCTGGTTAGTTAGGGACAAAGGCAGGCTAAGAGCCCCACGCCGCGCAACTTGACGTCTCGAGACAGGATATCGAAACCAACTGAGTGAGGTTTCTTTACCCGGGAATCTCTGGCCAGGATTTCTTTTCCTGTTTGAGGGTTTCAGCAAGTCATCCCCCTCCGTCAAATTTCATGCAGGGTGGGTGTGTCCATGTCGTGGTAAGAAATAGTCCCCCTTGTCTAGGGACACAAGGAGTAAGAAAAGGAGGGGATATCAAATGGGCCTTGTTTATATTAGACGCTAGCTCGGGGAGGTGAACCCCCATTATTCGTAACGGTGACTCGTGTGCACCTCATACCGTTGAAGATTGGCATCAGCCAGTCAAGTCGAGCTGAACCTGTATTGCAGGAATCATCCCCTCGCTACCTTTGCGTGTTCTCTTTTCTGATCAGTCATCGAATAAGTCCTCTAATGTTCTCTGTGGAATGTGCTACACCCTGAACCCCATATCTGTGAATACTCAAATTTGATAGACGCACTAGGAAACTCGAAGCGTCATTTCAGCACTACCACTCATATCTTCTAGTCTACCAGACCTTCCCCAACCATCAGCAGCGGGAACCCCACCTTGACCCAAAAGGCACTTCCACTTTCGTGACAGGGACAAGGCTGACCACATAAACCACCACAACAACATACCCAGAAGTTGCTTCTCTCCCTCTCTGCGCCCCCTAAAGAGTAAGACGGTAGAAGACGCGGGGAACCATATCAACAAGTCCGGTTTCTTTCTTGCCTTTCTAGTTTCGCCCCCTCTTTTCGTTTTATTTTCCTCGAGCCCATTCTCTTTGCTTTCAACATAGCCCCTCAACTTCCAAGCCTTTTGCTCCATTCCTCACGCACATCCCCCGATCCCTCGATCCTGGGTATCTAGCTGTTCTTGCCCGGCAACAACAAGACGCTTATTAGGAGTAGCGTAATCAAGTCTTTTCAACCCCCACTTTTCACCCTTCCCCACGATGTCGTCCAACAACCCAAATTCCAGCAAGACTGACGTAAGTACCACAAGCCTCTGTCCCCGCGCAGACCATCGTGGAGTTTTCTCGTTTTGGTGCCATGTATAAATTTCCTTTCCTCTCCCACCCCGATGTGCCCCCGTTCTGCCGCCCATCCGGCGCGCTGTCTGCCTCTTTGGGATGCCCCGGATGCGTCGCACACCCTATCGCCTCCCCGCCAATTCTTACCACACGCCGGAGTCGTGGCTGGTGGCAAAGGAAGGCATAGCAGCGACGCTCGAGAGGGCGAAGAGTCCCGGTTCTGGAAGCACCCTGGAGGGGCTTCGCTTTAAGGACCCTGTCCCTCCGCTAATTTCCTATATCACCTCCAGTCTGCCGAAGACTCCCACGCGGACCTCAATGCCGCCGTGGAAGACCTTCTCAACTCGCTATCTAACAAATTTGCCGGTGTCTCTAGCGAAATTTTTGCCAAAAGTGAGTCTTGTGTATTTCTGAATCGTTTTTATTCCCACCTGGCACTGAATAATAGAAAGCCATACTGACAGAATAATGGCAAAAGTGGACGAAATGTCGCGTCGTCTAGACAGCCTCGAGACTGAGCTACGTGCCGCCAAGGACAAGGACACCGGCGCCACTTCCAACTCCAAACAGTGAGTATCACGGAGGTGGTGCAGCGTATATGCACAGTAAGGGTCCCTGTTTGAAGGGGAGGGATGGGGTGGAAGAGCGATACCAGGCTGGACCTAGTCTCAAGGGAAGAAAACTTGGTAGGAGAGATGGTCGCGCGGCTCACGAGAGAGGGCCCAACATGTCCGGATCTCAAAAGACATGTGTCGTCCCTGGATGCGTTGACTGTTGGTCGCTGTTCGGTCCGTAGACATGGGCGGTCGTAGGATGGGCATAAAAATGGCCACGCGATGGCTTCGAGCGCTAGCTATGAGGGAGCTTAATATACCGGCATGCAGATATCCCATTGGATTCCTTGAATGCAGTTTTGTCCTGGTGGCTAACTAGGCCGGGTAAGATTTCCACCTTTTGTTTATGAGGACGGTTTCTTTGGTTTGCGTCAGCTTGAGCGAGATCAACGAGGTATATTTCAACAATAAAGCCTTTACAGTACCCGTATGTACGTACGTACTTCGTAGCTTGGAGTATATAATACATGGCGGAGACGAAAAAGAAAGCAAAAAAAAGAACATATCGTTTTTCATGGCCCAAGCACCTTCTTCATCATGGTTACCTCCTCCGGCTGAGCCTTTCCTGCCCCGCGATGATTCTCGTTTTAATTTCCTTACTTCCCATCTGTTTTCTGTCCCTCTCTTTCCATACATTGACTTACAACTCATCCTTGACGTTAGGGTCGGCTGCCTCAGCCTCCTTCTCGCCCTTCTTGAAGCGTCCAAGAATGTTGAGCTTGGTCTGCAGCTCGTCGCGCTTAGTGTCAGCGAGGCCTCCCTTCTTCAGCATACCGGCAAGACGGGCCGACTCCTTCTCGACGTACTCGGCGCTCTTGCCGAGCTTCTCGAGCACGCGGAGGTAGTAGGCAGCCGACTTTGCCTGGGCCTCCTCGGCGAGGCTACCTGCCTGCTTCTTAGCCTCGGCCACAAGGTCGGCAAGCTTAGCCGCGCCCTCAGAGACGAAGCGGGCGGCGATGACGTCGAGGGCCTCAACGGTTCCAGCGGCGTCATCAAGACCACCACCCTCTACGCGGTGCGTACCCGCCTTCTTGTTGATGTACTTGGCGAGGTCCTTCTCTGCGCGGCCTCCATTGTAGATGGCCGACTCGGTCGAACCCTTGGGGAAGAACTTGATGGTAGGGAAGCCGGTGACACCCTCCTGCGCGCAGGCAGCCTTGGAGCCCTCCGAGTCGCAGTCTACCTTAGCGATGAGTACGTCCGATTCGGGAGCGAAGGAGATAGCGAGGGCTTCCCATGTGGGAGCGAGAGTCTTGCAGTCTGGAACGAGAGGATCGAGAGTTAGTGAAACTTGTGCGAACGGAAAGAGCAAAGGTAGGGATGGGGAGTAAAACATACGGCCACACCAAGGAGCAGTGAAGGCGACGAGAACGTGTTTATCCTTGCCCACGGCCTTGTTAAGTGTCTGGTCGTTGAGCATCTCCACCGCGGAAGGAGGCGTCCACTTCTTCCTTAGCTTCACGCCCGTCTTCTCCGCGATAAAGTTAGACAGGCTCTCGAGGTCCCGGCCGCCCTGGTACTCCTCAGGCTTATCGCTCTTGCCGTCGAACCACTTGAGGGTGGGAAAACCTTGTACACCATACCGCTTGCCTAGCGACTTCTCCGCGTCCGCATCCACCTTGGCGATCTGCACCTTGTCCGAGGCATGTTCGAAAGCGAAGGCCAACTCCTCGTACACAGGGGCCAGGTTCTTGCAGTGCCCGCACCACGGCGCAAAGAACTCGACCAGCGTCGCCTTGCCGCTCTTGTGCACCACCTCGTCAAAGTTGCTCGGGATCAGGTCCAAGACAGCTGATTTGGCAGCCACCGCAGCCACGAGGCCGCTGAGCACCAGGGATCGAAGGTGCATCTCAGCGGTTGTTTATTTTCGAAAGGGGTAGTAGGAGTAACTGCTATACGCGGAAAGTGGAGGTCTCTCGGTTTGTACGTTGGAAAGTGGTTTGTCTAAGATTGCGGAATTATGTTGGTTAGCTTTCTTCTCGCTTCTGGGTTTCCTAAGGCTCTGCAAGGTATCAGGGTATAATTACCAGATGAATATCAGAAGTGGAAAGAGTTGTTGATAGCTCTCGTGTTAATTAATTGCTGCGTGTCTACCGAGTAAAGAAAAGGAGACCCGTGGCTGGGAAAGCTTCCCAAATTGTCCAGGTTGGCCTTTCCACGCTTCACCCCGGACCAGCTTTCAGCCCCTGAACAGGACAGTTGCTTCCGGGTGGTGGCGGTGCAAGAAGCCACATAAAAATTTAAGCCTCATCAGATAAAAACGCCACGAATTCCAACCTGCATGACTTCTTCGCATTGTCCTAAAAGACGCCTGCTGAAATAAATGTGTGGACTGGCTATCCTCTATTATTATTATTATATATAATATGTATTTTTCCTCCCAATATTCTTTATATTTTACTTCAATTATAATTTGGAGTTCCCCTTTCATGTGATAGTGCCTCATGGGGCTGGTTGCTTTACCCCACCAGCTCTCGGCACTTGAGAGGCGGAGGGGCAAATTGATTCTTTTATTCTTACGCTGACCCTTCTCTCCTGAGTTCTTCATGGGATATGGCGCTCGCCCCGACTCATGGACATCCCTAGATGTGAGCCATGTCTCCTCACACATAGCAAAATATACGTCAGCATGCTTAGCAAGGCAATTCAAGGAGAATATGAGTCGTCCGATGGCAAAAGTCATCCAAACTCACAGCCATTACTATCGCCCCACTGACGGTTTTGCATCGATCACTTGCCCTTTGTTAAACGGTGGGTCACTCGGACGCAACAGTGTAGCCAGGGATTTACATCCTTCTCTCCTCACTTTCCTAGCCAGAGCGCTTCCATTGTAGGCACGAGTCGAGCCTCTCTCTCGATGAGTCCCTCGAGGAGGGGTTAGCAGTAACTTTGTGATCTCCTCCACTAAACTCCCCATCTAAGTAAACCATGAAGGCAAGTCAGCAGCTCTCAAAGTATAGCTAGGGAGCGTCTCCGAAAATCCCCTGAGCCTGAGCGTCATGTCTTTGCGGCCTCGCCTGTCATGAAGCGACGTAATTGCCCCGATCAACGTCCGCGTTTTACGCTCCCAACCCCTTTCGTCGGCTTAAAAACACTAGGCTTAATCGAGGATCGGGTGCGGTGCGAACCACATCCACTTTTTGGTGAGGTAGTGTAGCAATGTCCCCCTCAGCGAGTCGGATACCCCGAGTTCCATCGCAAGAATGACATTGCTTGAGTCTCGTCCAATTAAGAGACAAGGATAACGATAACCCTCTCCGCAAGCTCAACGCCATTTGAAATCGGGAAGTCCAGATTCGTGCAAATTCCTCGCATAAATGCATGTATCTCTTCTCTGCCCCGGTGTCCCACGTCGCCGGCCGCCCTCATTCAGGACAAGCCTGAAATCTGGCCACAGGGTTGGCTGCCGAAATGCCGGCAGAAAAGGAAAGCAAAGATGTGTGTCATTGTAATTTTCCCCTCGATGATGGCCACAGCCATGCGCGTTGCTTGTGCCGGCTTGGACATTCACTTGAGATTACCCCACCTAGGGGACCCCTGATGCAGAAGGAAGGTGTTTTGTGTCCCCGACCCAAGACAATCCAGAATCTTGTTCGATGCCTGTCAAAATGACATCAACTTCCGAGTTTTGTGTAATCGCATCGATGGGTGAGACACCTCGAAAATATCGTGGGTTCGGTCGGTCCTTTGCTGGAAAGATGAGAGGCAGACGTGATTGAAAAGCTATTGGTATGGGCTAGACGAGCAACTGCGCGGCACCAAGCCAGGTGGGATCAGCGAAGGGCCTGAGGCCTTGGCAATCCAGCGGCAACCCGTTCACCCGTTCAACCAGCACTCGCTAATTTCCATCGCCCGTATGAAGTTGTATCCCCACCCTCTCTCTTGTTTTCTCGTGTTCTCGTCCAATCTCACCCCTTTGTCTGCCCTCTTCCCTCGCGGTTCCTTGGTCAGCGTGGCTGCGGTATGTCGAAAGCAACAGGGGGATAATCAGGCTTCTCAACACGTCGTAAACTGGTGATGAGGCGCAGGGAAGAAAGCTGCAGATTCAGGTCGAGTGAGTGCTAGGCCGGATTATCATTGCATAGCATGGAGGTGGCCTGTTGTCACTCACTGTGACGACATTGAAGGCACACTCTTTGCCCATTCCATGTTTCGGAAATGGTGAGGAATAGTTGCGAAAAATTGCCGATGGCCCCGACTTTCACAGTATGACCGACGGCCCTTTGGGATGTAACATGCCAACCACCACTAAAGCAGGCCTGCAGTGTAAGAGTGGCTCTTCGGCGGAATTGCCAGCCGCCCAGTTTATGCCTATCATCCGTGCCTAATCTTGAGACTCCGGGGATACAGCATCTCTGCTCATCCTCGCTTCGACGTGTTCCATTCTAGACATGGATCTACCAATCGCTCATTAATAGAATTGTAGCACCCCCGCCAAGGACTCTTCACGTAGCAAAGAGTAGGTTCGATCCGGAAGGGGGAAGAGAATTGATCCGAGGTGAGGACAAGAAGCTTCGGCCGATTTGATGCCTCGGGTGGGTCATGCGCTCCACGGAATAGTCGTCCATTAATGGCCTCTTCAGACGTGTTACTCCTCATCAGGCCCTTATTGAAATACCAACTGTCGACAAGCGAATAGATGCTTCACGATCGACCCTTCTAATGTTCGGGTGCCTGTTTTGTGTGCGTGATAGTCATTTGCCCTGGGATGCGAACGGAAAGAGAAAGACAGCATCTGCTGCCTCCCAAGGCAAGATACTCGGCCCAATTCATCTGTTCCCCTTATCTCGAAAGCGCGACCCGGATATTGTTCTACCTTTACTTCTTCTCTTTTTTCTTCTTCTTTTCTTTCTCCATTGGTAGGGGTATCGCGCAGAAGGAGGGGACCATCAAAATGGGGGAGGGGTGTGGAAACGGCGCGGGGGCGTGTGGCTGTCGAATCGGGTCGTTCGTCTGTGGTGGCACAAGTTGCCGTTCCAAGTCCGGTGGTCGGACTAGGGAAAGGGCGATTTCGTTCGGAGTAGCTCGGACGAAGGTCTTAACAGGTGGGCGGTGCGGAGACAGAGCGTTGCCTTTTCGATCCTTATCTGTCCCTCATTTTAAGGTGACGACGGCAGGCTCCTCCGACAGGAAGCGCCAGAAAAATTCGTGTGTCGCGTTTCGAATCCGCAGATTCGGGGAGCGTTGGCCAGCCGTTGTCGATGATTAGTCGACTTGACTAATTTGGTTGACAAAATCTTGCAATCGCTTGGCCCTTCAACACCTTCACGTCCACATTCGACGAATTGAAGGAGACTGCCCCCTTTGCTGCCCCTCTTTTCACATTTCCGCCCAACTGATGGGCGGACGACCGTCCGTGAAACTCGGGAACCATTGATTGCACTAGCCATTCCCGCTTTATCGGCCAACGTCGATGTGGGATCCCCGTCCTTGCATCTCGATGAAAATAGGGATGTGGTGCTGCGAAAGGAAGAGAGGTCGGCAAGACATAACCTATCCCATGTCAGACACCCTCGTCAACATCCCATGCAATAGCTAGGATACCGCCGTGCAGCCGGCGCATAGTATTCCCCTCACCAGCTGCCGGAGAGGAGGCGCGCCTCGTGTGTCCCCCAGCTTGGGAAGCCCCATGCCTCCTCTTTCTTAGTAGAGTTTGAGGTCTTCGGTTTGATGGAGGAGAACTGTTATCGATTTGGTGATGTCGAGATGGGTGATGGCCAACTATACGGAAGCTGTGAGACGACCGAAGACGGAGGTCAAGGATGAAGCCACCCCGCCTCATGGGACTTGGAGGGAATATATAGGTCCGGGGTATTCCCCCAGAGAATCAAATCAGTTTAGACTTATCTCTGTGTTATCGGTGCCCTCTTCCCTGTTTTATTCAAATCCGTTATCTTTGATCTTCCTTACAACGCCCCCAGAAAACATCCCGGAAGTACTTTGCCGTGTCAGAGGTTGGATGCCATGTGGCTTAAAGGGTGGTAATGGCATATTAATGGGTTAACCTCCACAGAATTTCTTCTTCGTAGCTGCCCTTTTTCGTCTTATTCTATGCAGCGGCGAATGGAATCAGCTGCTTACCATCTAGACCCGTTTAACCTCTCCCTCAGGGGAAGCATTTAGCACTCAGGTTCCTCCCCACACCTAGGGGTCATGGTAAATTTCGGGGACTCCAATAAAATTTCACCCAGCTCATGAAGCAGGACAATGCAGTCACGATATCTACTACCCGTTCTGGAGACGCCGGCAGAAGGGTTGGCCGGGGAAGGAGCTCCTTTCCCCAGCATCCACGATCCAGCCACACCCTCGTCCTTTCGGGCCTGGCATCGGTCGCCCACTCAAAATTGCTTGTCCAGCTTTTTTTTTTAGTTTGCTTAAAACATGATTGGTGAATTCCTTATCTTGTCGAATCCTCGATCCCACCCGGGTACCTTGTCCCTCCCTGCATGAGCCGCCGAAACTTTGTGGGGTCCCTCTGTCTTTGTGAACAATGCCCTGTAAGAGTCTAGGCCGACTCCCCCACCACCCCTCCTTCCTCCGAGCCTCTGGGCCTTCTGTGGAGTCCTTCCCTGGTGTCCCGCAGTGAGGGGTGTGATGAGTGGGGAGGGAGAGGTGTGCCAGGGAAAAGTGCGGGAAAACCGAAGAACGCCGTCCCTTCTTCACCTTCCAGACGGCAAAGAACGCGTGGGATTGGCCACGCCAAGAAATCGCTCAAAGGTGTCTGCACACCGCCTCCGATTTGTTCCATGAGGGTGCAGCGAAGCCACGAAAACAACTCGGAAGCCAAGTTGGGACTTCTCGCAAGAGCACCCCACTCGTTGTTTCCGGATCATCACACCGAACGTCGGCCAGGATCTGGCATGTCCCTTGATCGGGCGAAGCCTCCCATTAGTCGACCACTGAAGCTGACTACCATTTTGGAGCTCGGTGGTTGGTTGGTTGTGCACGGAAGCTTGGGGTTTGAGGCCAAAATTACTCAATTGAATCAGCCAAACTTCCAACCATCGCAGCTGCCACGCTAGATTGGAGGAGATAGGCTCCCAGCCGAAGACCACACCATCAGAGAAGGCTAGCAAATTGCCAGCTCCGGCAAGCCTTTTCCATTTACCCTGCCACCTTCACCCTTGGCTCCTCTTTTTCCCCTTTCAACTCGTCTCTGAAGCGGATGCGGACGCGGATGCACAGAAAACGGGAGGTTTTTGTTCGATGCAAAGCGCAAAGCTCATCTTGCTCTGACACAGGAGTAGTAGTCAAGCAATTTCAATTCAGCCCCCCGGCTCGCCCCTTTCTCAATCGTGCGGAAGCCAGTTTGGCGAGATCCATGTTGATCCCTTGGGCCTTCGGGCATCAATGATGGGCGGGCCGTTGCCAGTCAGGTTGGTTCAGGGCTCTTAAGAATTATGTTTTCTTTTCTTTGGCCACTTTCTTGTTTTGCTTCTACGCTTTTCTCTCGGTCAAGAATATGATGGCATGGACAATATGTTCCTCCCACGCGTCACCTTTCCTAATAGGAAAACCCTGGTTGCACTGCTCTTGCTTTTGGGAGTGCAAGCAGAATCGCCCTGTCGTCACTTCCAACCACCCTCCCGCCCTACGCGCATCGCTCTTGGCCGACACAACAGCAGACAAGCGGCAAGCGCAGAGGGTGTGGTACTTCGTACATTGTACAGGATGCATGCACTCCGGGAAGCTGGTTGCCTTTGGAAGCAACTGAATAGGTTCGATGACAGGAGCGGCACCCTGGTGCCTCTCCTAGCACGCCCACTCTACGCGGTGTGACCATCCTGTCCTTCAGCCCATCAATAATATGGCCAAGATTTACAATATACGGAATTGTCCACTGATCGCGGCAATGAATTGACGCGTTCCCGTCGTGTGCACCCATCGAAGACCTGTCATCCACTGGGAAAGGAGGGGGATAAAGAGGTGAAGCCTCGCCCTGACATGTACCGATGACGTACCTACACATGCGAACCACTGCCCAACTAGGAAGGCTATCGGAAGATGGCTCCTGGGGACATGGAAGCGCAGGTATAATAGTATTATTAGAGGAAAAGCAAGCCAGTTGGGTAAACATTTTGCTGAGGATATTAGGCCCAGGGTCACAAATAGGGGGTGTAGTTTCTGAGAGGTGGGCGTAGTATTAAGATCCCTCCCATCGAGCCGGGAAAATCAATTCAATCCATTTCGTGCGGCAGACCTAGGGGGTGGGTGGCCAGACCCCAACCCCAAAGCAAAGCTCCGATTTTATCTCCGCATTGCCGCAAGCTGGAACGGATGCAAAGGTGTGAAGGGTATGAAGTAGTGGAGTGACGCAGAAGCAACGCTAACATTTTTCGAGGAGTTAACGTATGGGAGCGCAGGAAAGCCAAAGTCTTGGACTAATAACCTGTTGTCATCCAGCACTGATATGCTCAGGCTGAGGTACCAGGCGAATCAGAGAGCACCATTCTCGAAGCCCTCTAACTTCCTCGCTTATTCCTGATGAGAGGCCTCGTTAAATTCATATTCTGATCTTATTCGTTTTTCTTTTCTTGGGAGAGGGGTGAGGGAGTGCGACCGTCTCCCTTGTTGCGCATCCCTGCGACTGAGCGAAATTGACGAAATTCGAAGAAACAGCCCACGTCGCCGTAGCTGTGGCCTCCTCTCAACCTGCCCACCACGACACTGACACACCACCCCGTGCGGAAGGCACCAGACACGCCGCTCGCGGCGGGGTCTGGATGGGGGAGGAAGTGAAGGGGCTGAAGGAGGCAATAATCGTAACGAAGCTTCCTGCAGCGCAACACCATTATCGGCCCATTGACAGGCCGCATTCAATGTGTTCTAATATCTTCGTCAAAGAGCTGGTCCATCTTTGATATCGCTCGACGTGTACCCTCGTGCCCATCCACGACTTTCGAACAAGTTTTCCCACATGTCGGAGGAAGCAAGGCCTCCGCCGAACCAATCATCTCGTCCCAAATCGTGGCGGTTTTGTTCTCCTCCCCTAGCCGACCAACCTGGATTTCGGCTTCGCCTGCCCGCTGATCCTGGTGTTAGTGGGGGTTCAAGTGCACTGGCTATTGTTCTATCCACTATTGTTTCTACGAGAATTCTCCATTCGATGGTGGGGCCAGAAATGCCTGGTCGGCTTGATTTTTTTTTTTTCCAAGCCTTCCTCGCCTCCGCCCAATTGTCTAGTGCCAATTGCTAGTGCGGCTTGATTAGTCGCTGTCCCCATTCCGTCGCACTCAAGGTAGGAGGGGTAGCCGGAAGGGACAGCACTTACAATCTGATACTTTGATACACATTAACACATAGATGGAAGTAATATTTTTTTATCGTTCTTGATCTGAGGACAGACCGACGTATACGCCGACGTGAACTTTTCGCCCCCCGTCCTCCACTTCTCCTCTATCCACACCCACACCCACGCCCTTCACCCCCTCCCCAAGTCTCATTTACGATTTCACACACCCTCCACTCGCATGCTTGGAGCTTATCTACAGCCTACTAACTGCCTAGTCCCTGCTCCGTTGACGGCGCGCCGTGTTCGCCCTCCCGCAAACATGGGTGGGTTGGGGTGGGCGAAGGACGGAAGAAAGAAAAGTTGTCTAGTTTTCGTAGCTCGGTAAAGTGTTCAAGAGAAGGGGAGAAAAAGACCATGATCAAACTATAAAGAGACTCGGCTCCCTCCATGTCGTCCATCCCCCTTCTTTCCCTCCTCCGCTTCACTTCTCTCCTTCATCCACAACATCAACATTCTTCTTTGATACCCGCTCCATTCCTTCGAGAACAGGAATTGCTTTCTTGGCAACCCCAGATTCCGGTTGACCATCTCCTTCGCGAAGACACGCCCCTTTCCTCACTCTCAGCTATTAATACACATCGAGTTCATCAAGACTCACTTCACATTCACCTAAAACCTTAAATCAACATGTGTGTGCCTACTTGCGCCTACGAGCCCGCGGCTATGCCCGCTATTCCCACTGAGCCCGAGTTCCAGCAGGCTTATAACGGTACGCTTGTTTCCCTTCTTGCTCACCTGGTCGCCTGGAGGCGATCAAAAATAGAAGGAAAGTGAATAGAAAAACTGACGTTATTGTCTCGAATACAGAGCTTGCCTCCACTCTCGAGAACTCTACCCTCTTCGAGCAGCACCCTGAGTACCGCATCGCCCTCAAGGTCGCCTCCATTCCTGAGCGTATCATCCAGTTCCGCGTTGTCTGGGAGGACGACAACGGCACCCTCCAGGTCAACCGTGGTTACCGTGTTCAGTTCAACTCTGCCCTTGGTCCTTACAAGGGTGGTCTCCGATTCCACCCCACCGTCAACTTGTCGATGTGAGTGGCGACTTTCTCCCCCGTAATCGTGGTGACTTCACAACACATTTGGGATTTCGAATTTGGTTGGCTGACCGTGGATGTTTACGTAACAGTCTCAAGTTCCTTGGTTTTGAGCAGATCTTCAAGAATGCCCTCACTGGCTGTAAGTTGAAACAACAGAAACGGACAATCCCAAATTTTGGGAAGCACGGAGCGCGGTGGCTAACATGAAATTTTAGTGAACATGGGTGGTGGCAAGGGTGGTGCTGATTTCGACCCCAAGGGAAAGAGCGACGCCGAGATCCGACGATTCTGCATTGCCTTCATGAAGGAGCTCAGCAAGCACATTGGTGCCGATACCGACGTTCCCGCCGGTGATATTGGTGTTGGTGGCCGCGAGATCGGCTACCTCTTCGGCTGCTACCGCAAGGAGCGCAACCGATTCGAGGGTGTCCTCACTGGCAAGGGTCTCACCTGGGGTGGCTCTCTCATCCGCCCCGAGGCCACCGGCTATGGTCTCGTCTACTACGTCGACCTCATGCTCCAGCACATGGGCAAGGAGGGCTTCGCCGGCAAGCGTGTCGCCATCTCCGGTTCCGGCAACGTCGCCCAGTTCGCCGCCCTGAAGTGCATGGAGCTCGGCGCCTCCGTCGTCTCCCTCTCCGACTCCAAGGGTACCGTCCTCATCGAGGGCGAGGGCTCTTTCACCCCCGAGGACATCCAGGTTGTCGCCGACCTCAAGGAGCGCCGCCGCCCCATCGTCGAGTTCGACTCCCAGGGCAGGACCAAGTACATCGCCGGTGCCCGCCCCTGGATCCACGTCGGCAAGGTCGACATCGCTCTCCCCTGCGCCACCGAGAATGAGGTCAGCAAGGAGGAGGCCGCTCACCTCGTCGAGAACGGCACCTTCGTCATCGCTGAGGGCTCCAACATGGGTTCCACACAGGAGGCTATCGACGTCTTCGAGGCCCACCGTGCCGAGAAGGGCGCTGACGCCATCTGGTACGCTCCCGGCAAGGCTGCCAACTGCGGTGGTGTTGCCGTTTCCGGTCTCGAGATGGCCCAGAACTCTCGCCGTCTCCCGTGGTCCGCCCAGGAGGTTGACGACAAGCTCAAGGCCATCATGAAGAACGCCTTCGAGAACGGTCTCGAGACTGCCAAGACGTACGTCGCTACTAAGGAGGGCGAGCTTCCCTCGCTCGTTGCTGGCTCCAACATTGCCGGTTTCATCAAGGTCGCCGAGGCCATGCACGACCAGGGTGACTGGTGGGCCAAGTGCATCGTCTAAATCAAATATCAAGACGCGATTCGGGCTTGATGGTTTCCCATAACAGATGGAAACGCCCCACGATCATGATTATTTCGTGACGAAATCTTTTCTTTCCTAACTTGTTTTCTTCATAACGAATTTGTCTCATGGGCTCCGGGATTATACACTTTGCTTTTCTTTCATACAGGATGTTTTTCTTGGCTTGCAAGACCATCTTTCATTGTACATACGTTTGGGAATTTGGAGCGGAGTACATCTCATAGGCGGATACCTCTAGCGAATATAAAGCATTGTTTTCTTCATAGAAATCCTTATAATTTTTTTAGATTGATATCGTGATATGAAGCATGAAACCCACCCTACGATCCATTTGCAAGGCGCTCTTGCTCGTCATGACAGACATCTCAGGTTTCCTGGTCGGCTGTTCAGCAGCGTCCGAGGCAATGTGTGTTCAATCGGTCTCCTGACTAGGCTTGGAGCATCATTGGAGATCCATGGGGAATAAGGGGATTGATTGACAGGGCGCGGCAAGAAACCGGATGTTTCGAGGTAAAGCTTAAGACACTACCCTTACCTTTCCACTAACCCACTGCCTAAAGAACCACGCTGTTGACGCACGAGGTAAGACAAGCGCCGATGGCCTTTCAATATGTAAATGTCGGTAGAACTACGAGTTGTTTAAACATGACGTAGGGACACATCTTTCTGGCAAGGAAGGTTTTTCTTTTGAAGCGGTCTGCCAACTTTAGGGTGGCTAAGAAAGGAAAAGGAGGGGGACCCAGGGGTTTCGCGAGAAGCATGTGATGGAAGGGTCAGGATGGGGTGATGAGGAGGCGGTCTGTCAGCTTCCCCAACCATCGTCTTATTCGCTTGTAGCGAATATCGAGATAAGACACCCAAGGGTCAGGATCAATCTTGTCAGGGGACAACTGCCCCGTCACAACTACACGAGTGAAACCGAGGGTCTTCAATACGATTATTTCCATGATGAGCACAGGCTTCGTCGGTGAAGCGATTGGCTTCGGCATGAGGGGGCTCACCCACGTAAGTTCCCTGATCGGTGATCACTACAACTAGGTGATGAGTCACTAGTGGTTGAAACCCCGAGGACTCTCAGTATGCTAAAGCGCGGTGGGAATGGCCAAGCTGGAAAGCCGGTCTGAAGGGCGGTGCGCGACTATACCTAATCCTCTCTTTGATTTGGAGATAGCGTCAGCATAGGCGCGGTAGTTAGATTGGAGCGGTGAGCAGCTGAGTCTTGCTCGCGCTTGGCCCCGCCCGAGCTTTCCATTCTTCTTGCCGAACGATGACGAGAAGAGAGGGAGAGAAGGTGGGGGAGGTCATTGAGCAACGGATTGGACTGGCGAGTCTCTTTTCGGACCTAGCACTGAGCACTCACCTTAGCAGGTGAACCAAGCGAGAGAGGGTGAGTTAGTGTAATGGCTGGGAGGCGAGTACGCATGGCAAGGATAGACCACTGATATATGGGATATGGATCTAGGCGTAGAGAGGGGTTGTATTATGGTGAAAAGGCGGCGGCGGTGGAGGCGGTTGTATTCTAGGAAGGGAAGCTACGATGGCGATGCTGTCCGCCTCCTCCACTCTTTCCCACGACTAGATCAAACTCTACCAAAGTTGAAAGCATAGGGTTTCTTCCTCCATTCCCTCTCATTCACGCCCTTTGTGGATTCCCCACGGTCCCTCACGTCTCGAGGACACCTTCAACAACGGGTCTTCATGAAACATCCTCGCCTGACGTCGCTTTCCTCCCGTCTGACGCCCCACTCGTGTGCTCAATTGAAGAGTATGAGGCGGTGCTCGAAGGTTTCCATTGATGATGCTCCTTTTGCTTTCATTGTGGGCGCTTACCGAATCCTCTATATTACCGGCATCCCTGTGCTACTGGTACTGAATGGTGTAGGCTCACGGTCAGACGTTATCCCCCTCCCTCTCTCTATCTCGCCATCTCTCTCTGTTGCGGATTGCAACTGAGAACCACACATTTTCTGTTTCATCTATTAGATCGCCTTGAGACACTTTGGAATAGACCAACACACCTTTAAAGGTGAGGTGAGAAGTGGACATTCAAGATCCCTTCGTAGGCTAAGAAACTATTTTAGAGCCTTATATGATGATATCGAAGATCGTGCCCCCGCCTCAAAGCTGTTCAACCTCCAGCTCCGAATATATCTGCCGCGACCGATTCGTAGGGTACGTTCGGGCTCGAGGCGTCTCCGTAAGCCAGATGGCTTGGCGAGGCAGGGTTGTCATAGCTTATTCGTGCCACCTTCTGCGACTGTTCCTGATTAAAGGACGCATGAGCGCTCTATTTAGGATTGGTACGATGCTGTGCTGCGCGATATCCTGTTCTCGTGACACCGAAGCTGGGTACAAAGACAGCATAATTTAGATTTGAGATGCCAACGCTTCTCTTTTCGACCCGTGAGTTAAGCGCAGCCCTAATACTACCGGAAAGACTGTTGTGGCCGGGACACACCAAGCTCTCCTTGCGGCTCGCTGCACGCACAACAGCGGCATTTCTCCGCCCCTCGGCATAGTGGGGCGGCCACGGAACCGAGTCGTTTCTTGAACGGAAAACAAAGTGTTCTACCCAGGTATTCTGTGACGATCCTCGTCCCCGTTGCTCTGCTTGTTAGGGAAACTCCGAGTTCCTCCCGGACCCCTGCAGAGACTGGATCAAATCCCACTCGCTCAGCCTTACCGGCGGGCAACCTTCCTTTTAATAGGAGTTCCTCTTTTGAACTCTCGGCGGCGATTTCCAGAAAGAAGAAGCGCCTCGGAGCTCCGGAGTATTGTCTGGCTCCCATTCATAAGCTTGGCCAGGAAGGAATGCACGCATTCTCCGCCGCTTTTTTTTCCCCTTTTTTTTTTTTTTCATTTCCCCGAGAGCCACTATTGCTTTCCTGGCCCATAGATATTGCCGTCTCCCAGTCCTTTCCTGGGTATTCTCGAGGTGGCAACATAAGCATCTCACCTGTGTCCGCTGGGCAAATAATATACCTTGTTGGCCTTGATAACTCGCTCATTTCTCCCCAGAGTGATCAAACAGAAGGAGGGGCAGGTCCGATGACCGGAAAGCAGATTGATAAACTTGCATACAAGTCCTTGAGAGAGCGCGAAGCCACAAAGACTGAGATCCCACGCACTGCTAGCCCCTAAAGAGCTAGCGCCATATGTCCGTCGATGTCTGAGGATGAGCCGATTCAAAATGGAGGAGGGATTCGGAGGGCAGAGCACACTTGAGATAATCGTTGGGTTACATCAGCCAGGGTTTCTGTGTTGGACAGAATGGAATCCCTGTCGTTGCTACCGTCCTGTCCTGCCACAATCGTGGATTTTCTTCGACCAGAAATAGTTTTCAACCCTGCCCAGCCCCTGGCGTGGCAACCATAAGCCAATCAATCACCTTGCAACGACGCCACGCGAGCTGGCTCTCTCTCATCTCAGTTCCACCTGGCTGACTTCGGTTGCTTGACCAATCGCTTGCCTACCAAAAATCTCGGGCAGGGCAGTAGAACCTTGGTGGGTGAACTGATTATGCAGGTAGCGATACTGGTCACGGATAGCCGAGGGGAGGGACTTCGGCTGGGAACGGTTGTATTGAGAACGGATATTGCATGGTGAAGAACCAAAAAGTGAAATATTAGTTATCTCCCTCGGCACACGAGGGCGGAGACGGGTTGAAACCTCACGATCGATTCTATGCTCAAGGTGATGCATCGGGATGATATTCTGCTACGCATATCAGGAGGGTTTTTGATTTGGGGTGTTTCATGAAAAGAAAAGGCGAGGATGCAACTCTCGCAGCTCATTATGGATCAGCTCTTCCATCCGCTTAGCAAGCCTCTCTTCGTTCAGGTCAGGATTATCAACGGAAACATGAGGATGCATCTCCAATCTATTTACCCCCTATCCCCTCCTTAAAGTACCGATATGGACCGGTAGTCGGGCAGAGCCATCCAGGGACTACATATGGGAGATGACTGCTTGGGGAAGAGTCAAACCATCCTTCATCCGGGAAATGGTGGAGAGCCAGGCCCCATATCCCGGATATTCACCCACACGTCGTGCTTCCAGGTAGCCAACCGGCTGCCGGCGAGAGATGGTGGGTCAATCACTCCCGGCCACCCTAGAACTTTAGGTATTATCCATTTATCGCTGCCTGGGGAACCCCGCCCAGCTGGCCTCTCTGTATGTGAGGGTGTTGGCTAAGAGGGGAGGGCCTCCCTGGTGAGCGTGAAGTAACCCACCTCGTGTCGAGCATGTCCGGCAGACATTCGAGTTGTCGAGCTTGCCAACGTCGCCGATCACGGACCGATGGGAGTGGACGAGAGAGAATGAGAGGATCCCACGCCCAAAGTTGTTAGGTGTGGAAGCATTATATCTGTGGCTCGAGACCTCTTCGATGATGGCAACTCTTACACTCGACTGTACACCACGATGTGGCTTATCAGGTGGGACCGTGGTGGAATGCTGTTGCCATTTTTGGATTCGCCTCCCTCCTCGGTAGATCGGTGTGATTCCGCTTTTTGACTTGAAGCGTGGCACCACAGATTACTCGTTTTTCTTGTTCTTCAGTAATTTTTGGTTCTTGGAGGATCAAGGATGGAGGCAATGGATATGACGGTGCAACCCACCGCCCCCACTCCACCCGCAGAGAACCAGGCCGGAACCCTGCCTATTCCTCCCCTGTCAAATTTGGTTGGGCTTTTTGGGCCTTGTTATCCCCTTTCTTTTCTTCCCTTTCCTGCAAAATTTTTCGGGGTTGGTCCTCCTCACATTCATTTCAGCTTTTCCTCGCGTTGACGGGAAGAACATCCGGGTCGTCCTCCCTTCCGCCCGTAGTTGGTCCCTCGCTTCCTGGCCTTCTCCTCGCGAGTCCGCTCCGCGTGCAAGTCCTGGAAGGACCAAGATTACCCTCGCTTGCGGAGGGAGCTCCAGTGACTCTGAATATCTCTCGCGAGTTTCTCCCATACAAGAGTGGAGGGAAAAAATAAAAAGAACACAAAATGGAACTAAGAACGCCAGCCCTGTGGGGTTGCCGTTTTGGTTTGGCGTGCGGGTGGCCCCATACACACACTAGATACCGGTGAAGGGAGAGCTCGTCTTGGACAAGGGGTTTCGATGGAGATGAGCCATTTTGGAGAATCCTTGCTGATGTCGTTTTCCCGATCTCGGTCGCGTCGTCTGGAGGAGTTCTTGGACGTGATTCGTGGGTGGCTCGTTTGACATGGGTCTCTTCGCTTCCAACTTACGAGGTTGAAGGCAGAACTTCTCATCCTGTCCTACTACCCGCTCATCCCGCCCCTACCTACATGATGCACTGCTCCACCATGCGCAAGTGCACCATCTGGCGCGACCCTCTTTTGTGATGCGCTTATCCTCTCATCCTTCTTTGTGGGTCGCGCATGGGGAACACGCCCATGTATATGCGCCCAGGGATGGCGAAGAAGGACGCCTGGTGTACTTGCCCTACCCATTCTCTCAGCTTCGAACATCCTAGTTCCTTGGTATCAGTTGCTGCTTCTATATGCAACTGCATCCTCAGTTCTCTGGTCCTCTCACACTTTCCCTTCTTCTTAAACTCGTTTAAACAAGACCCCGACGACTACACTCCCGTACTTGCATATATGATTTAGACTACTCCAACCGGAGCTCCGTCCCGTACTGCCTGAATCGTGTGTCCTTTTATCTAGGACTCGGGCCCAGCCGATTGCTACTCCATTCTCGCCTTTACATGCACCTACATCTTGATTAGGTTCGCCGGTTGCTGTGCCGTCTACACCAAATCCCTGAGCGCACCTGCTCTTACGGACCCACCACGGAACATGATGAATCCACTTCCCCCAGCCCGGCCGAGAGCCCGGACTTCCTCTCTGAGCGAGAAGGAGAGTCTTATCTGCCGGACGATCGTGACCCCCGTGGGCTAGCGGAGAGCTCTCCTTGTTCCGCAGATCTTCCAACACCAGAGCCCGAAGAGGATAGCCGATACGATGCGCTGATGCGGGGACCACCGGGGATGATGCCACGGATGCCGGGGGTCGAGGTAAACTAGCGCAGCCTCCTCCTGTCAGCGCGATGAGAGGAGAGCCCATACATTCGAAGACGCGAGGGCACATCTATAGTCATAACGATGCCGGAAAAGAGCTGTACCCTCGGATATCAAAGCCTATTGAACTGATGAGAAACAGCTACGACTACGTCGTCATAGGATCCGGGTACGGTGGCGCCGTCGCGGCATCCCGACTCGCCCGGTCCGTCGGTCCTGATGGACGGGCTTCCGTATGTGTGTTGGAGCGAGGCGTGGAAAAATGGCCCGGCGAATATCCGGCTGGACCGGCCAGCGGGTTCAAGAACCTGCATGTTTCTGGGGAGATTCCGCGTGAGAATGCGGCTGGTATCCCTGTCCACGAAGGGGACCCGACTGCGATGTATCACCTAATCATGGGCAGGGGCATCAATGCTATCGTTGGCAATGGTGAGAAATTCCTAAGGCGCCTGTAGGAGCGGCGGCAAACCTTGTCGCCATTCTCTGCATACAATATTTAGGATATGCCATGATAAACGCGAGATCGCGCTCTAACTTCTGTTGATAGGACTCGGCGGCACAAGCTTGATGAATGCCAATGTATTCCTAAGGACAGACGAAGAGACTCTACGGTCGTCACACTGGCCGGAAGAGATTAGAAACGATCCTGCGGTGCTCGATAAATGTAAGTTAGCAATGAATTCCCCTTTAAGGCCGGTTCGTCAACACAAGAAGAGTTTAACATTTCCCCCTTACAGACTATGAACAGGTTGAGCGGGTTCTCGAACCCGCCACCTACCCGGATGACTGGCCCGAACTCGCCAAGGTGAAGCTGTTTAAGCAGCAGGCCGAAGCTATAGGCATGAAGGACAAGTTTCAGCTCGTACCGCAGACCACGCGCTTCCACAACGGTCCTAACAGCTGTGGTGTCGAGATGTTCCCCTCCTCGCTGACTGGGCAGGACGCCACGGGTCTCAACGACGGTTCTAAGACGACCACGCTGGTGACCTACCTAGCCGACGCCTGGAACTGGGGCGCCGAGATGTTTTGCGAGGCCGAGGTGCGGTACATCCAAGAGTGCAAGGGCCCCGAGGGGGTACCTCGTCTTCTTCTCTTGGCACGGCCGCAACCGGGGGCAGTTCAAGGGCCAGGTCCACGGAGACTTGATGTGGGTTCACGCCAAGAAGTGCGTGTTTCTAGGGGCAGGAAGTATTGGGACCACCGAGATCCTGTTGCGGAGCAAGCAAATGGGGCTGGAGATGAGCGAGAGGGTCGGCCAGGGGATGAGCGGCAACGGCGATATACTGGCTTTCGGGTACGTCACGGCCCGCATATAGCGTTCCATTTCCCCCTTAACTACTACACATGATTTTGAATGACTCGATCCCGGAGCCTGAGAGGTATGCTGACTGGAGAGCAGTTATAACACTGATTACGATGTCAACGCCGTCGGAAAAGACCACCCCGATCCGTACGACCCTGTGGGCCCGACGATTAATTCGATAATCGACAACCGACGTGGCCACGCAGATCGCCTCGATGGCTACGTTATTCAAGAGGGGGCCATTCCTAGTGCACTAGCGCCGTTTTTACACGCGATGCTGGAGGCGCTCCCTGGACGAGGACAAGAAGAGGGAGGGATTTTCGATCAGTTCAAGTCGGGCGTCGCGAAACTCGGCGGCCTCGTGCTTGGTCCCTTCATGGAAAAAGTCCCCTGGACAAGACGCAAGTGTATCTCGTGATGTCTCACGATAGTAGGTTCTTACCCCTCGTTCTTCTTCTTCCTCTTCTTTATGATGCGAGGCATAGACAACAATTAGAGACCAGGAAATGTGGACGGAGCATGCCCTTTCGAGCTTGACACTAACCATTTCTTCCTCTTACGTAGACAGCCAGGCCAAGTTGACACTGGAGGACGACAGGCCGATCCTTGACTTTATCGGTTGCAGCCGTGGAGACCACGTGGAAAAGATTTGCAAGATCCTCGAGGAGGCCACAACGAAGATGGGCGGCAAATTTGTGCAAAACCCTTTTATGAGCTCATGAACAAGGAGCAGGTTACTGTCCATCCCATCGGGTGAGTTTGAACTAAGATATACTCACTCCACCACCGATATATCGGTCATTTCTGCTGGGCATCTTAGGTTGAGTAAGAAGAAGAAGGAAATAAACTGACGCGATTGTAGTGGCGCCTGCATGGCCAACGACGGCACAGGATTGACGGGAGGGACGAACCACCAGGGTGAGCTTTTCAGGGAGGCGACGGCGCAACTCACTCTGGCATCGTTGTGATGGATGGTGCCCTCATCCCGGCCTCACTCGGCGTGAACCCCTTTGCGACCATCACCGCCTTGGCGGAGCGCAACGTGGAGCTATTCGCCCAGAAGCACAACCTCACGGTCCGGGACGACCGAAATGGAATCCTCGACCTATTTGGTGAGCCAGAGTATCCATTCACTGAGATGCGCCCCGAGCCAGACGAGGTAGTCGAACAGCAAGAGATTAAGCGGGTTTCCTCTACCATTTCTACAGCCGAGTCGATGAGGTTGGCAGGGCTAGGATTCACCGAGGTAATGGCAGGATTCATTCACAGCAACGACGAAGGGGTGCCCACATGTGACAAGAAGGAAAGCTACCAGGAGGCGTACAACGTGGCAAAGGATCTTGACGAGGCCGCGCGCTTTTTCCTCAGCGTTCAGTCTTTCGACACCAAGTCGATGGTTAAACGAGCGGATCACCAGGCCACGCTCACGGGTACCTTTGTCTGCCCCTCCCTCGAGGGCTCACCCTTTATGGTACAGCGCGGCGAGTTTAGGCTCTTGGTGGTGGACCAGAGGGCGTCGTGCACGCGCAATATGACGTACGACTTTGATATGCGGGGCACGGATCGCAGCCTCCTCCATTTCCACGGGTACAAGATTGTTGACTCGTCGGTCGGGCTGTCAGTCAAGGGATTTTGGAAGGCGACAAGCACGCTCTACGTCACCATCTCGCGTTGGCCCGGCGGGGTCAGACACTCGGAGGACGCTCAGGGCTGGCGGCGAGGCGAGGTCGTGGCCAGGGGCATGCTCCACATTGAGCCGGGTGACTTTAAGCAGCAGTTGATGACGCTTGCGCCGACGGGCGACACCTTTTGGAAGAAGGCATGGAGCATGGGCAGCTTTGTCAACTACTTTGGCCGCACGAGCTTGACGCACTTTCTTGGCCCACTAGCGCCGCTACAGTACCCGCCGGTAGCGTACGACGGGTACATCAACGACTCGCCACCTGATAAGTCGTTTACAATTGTGGCCGACGACGGGGTGAAGACGCGCATGCACATGTGGGAGCCGACCAACTCGGAAATTCCCGCGCGCAACGTGCTCCTCGTGCCCGGGGCGGGCGTGGACCACCAGATTTACGCGACACCGACGATTCCATACAACCTCGTCAACTACCTCACGAGGGCAGGCTACCGCGTCTTTGTCTCGGTACATCGCATCGGCCAGCTGATCGTGGCACGCAATGACCATACGACGTACGACTGTCGGCTAGACTTGCGGGCATGTATTGATCTCGTCCGCACGCGGTACCCGGAGCCGGAGACGGCCAACCCGGGGAACAAGGTGTACGTGTTCGCGCACTGCATGGGAAGCGTGGCGCTCTCGGCGGGCATGCTCGAGGGCGACATACCCGCGGCGTGGGTGAGGGGCGTCTCGTGCTCACAGGTGTTTATGAACCCCATCTGGGACACAGTCAACATGAAAAAGGCCAAGGCGGGCCCCGTCGCGCTCGACAAGCTGTACAAGATGGTAGTGGGTAATTGGTTCAGTATCGCAACGGATACGGAGGATAAGATGGTGCAGAAGATGGTGAACCAGCTGCTAAGGTTCTATCCGGATCCTATGAAGGAGGTGTGCAATAACGCCAGCTGCCACCGTAGCTCGTTTGTATTTGGCCGGTAAGTGAAAGGAAAGCAGGTGATACATGCGGTTGATTTTCTCTTACTCTCCCCTTACCTTCTGTATTCCCTACCCGTACTTTATAACGGGGACCAATCACCTTACTAACGGGCTTTTCGGGCGGGTGTACATAGATGCTGGAACCATCGTAACCTGAACGAGGCGACTCATCGCCAGATTGACCGCTTCTTTGGCGGAGTCAACATGACCCTTATGGAGTTGCTTATGCGGCAAGGCCGTGAGGGACACGTGATGAACCACTCGTTCGAACCTCTCGATACGCCCAAAAACATCCAGCGGCTCCGGGGTGTACCGTTCTTTTTCTTCGTGGGCGCCGACAATGCGGTGTTATCACAGGCGGCGACGGAGAAGACGTATTCCATCCTCTGCCAGACGTTTGGCCTGGACGGCTCGGGCGGCGATGGCGACCAGGCGGGCGAGAAGCCGGCGATGACGGAGAAGAATCCCGGCGAAGATGCGAGGGAGCCCATGTACAGGAGAGTGGTAATTCCTGGGTATGGCCACCTGGACGGTTTCATCGGCAAGGATGCCTGGACAGACGTATACCCGACGCTGAGGACGGAGATTGATCGGGTCATTCGGGGCAAGGCGTACCGGTTCGTGGAACCTAGAGATAGGTTTTTCGAGATGGTAGCGGCCGGGGAGATGCTGTGCTAAGCAGTGGTAGGGGAAAAAAAAAAGAGATGAGGCTTGGTACTTATTTGAGACTAGGAAAGGAAACGGGAGGGCCGGGGAGGCGAGTGTTTTGAAAACATGTGCTGAGTTTTTGGTAACTTGTATTCCGGGTGGAAAGACTCGATATCCTATCGCTATATTTTCATTTCATCGCTGGTTTTCAGTTAGACCCTACAAATCCCTGTAGATATTGGTACATGAAAGGAAACAGGCGGGTTCTAATACTCTTCTATAGTCGTACATGCACATGGCTACTGCGGAAACTACATCACCCTTTCGATTCCCCCTCCGTCCCCAGCTCTCAGATTCTCATCAACTTTCTCTCCGCATCAAGCCCGCCTCTAAAGTGTTCGCGGACGACGTTTCCCGCGAGTACCGTTTCCCGTACAATGCCCTCGGCATGCTCGGGGCTGACGCGGCCGTACCAAACACTGCAGCCAGCGAGCGGGTGAGGGAGGCCGGTACTAGAACTAGAACTAGGACTAGGGAGGGTGGCATGTGGGGGCACGTAGATGATGATGTTACCGGCAAACTTGTGGCCGCCAATGTGGGAAATGAGGCCGACGCGGGCGGTCATCTGCTCCGCGGGGACACGGGTTGACGGGGACGATGACGGTGATGGCTGGGAGGGCGCCTGAGGGTAAGAGTCGTCATCGAGGAGAGATATGCCTTGAGTGCGAGCGAGAGTGCGCCGGAAGGCAAGGCGGAGGAGGGGGCCGAGGATGCCGCAGCGGAGGTCGCGGCCGCCGTGGCCGCAGATAAGAATCATGACATCTTGGACGGGGACAGGGTCGGGAATAGAAGAGATTGAGAAGGAGGAGGAAGGAGAAGGCGGCGCGCGAGTGAGGCAAGAACGATGCTCCGGATCGAGGATGGCGTGCATTGGATGTAGGGTTTCGGGGAGGAGGAGGGACTTGGAAAGGGAGACGAGAGAGTCCTGGGAGGGGTCTATGGAAGGGATGTAGGTGAAGGATGGGAGGAGGTACGCGGCGGGGTGGGGGCCCGGGGAAGGGAAGGAGGAGGCGAGGAAGGAGACGTTGTGGAAGGGCTACCGGAGGATCAGTTAGCAATGGATGTTTCTCTCCCTGTCTCTCACCAACACACACAGACACACTCACACAAGAGCCAAAAAAAACAAAAAAAAAGAGGAAGAGAAAGAGATGACTTACGTCAGAAAAGCGTCCCCCTCGCCCAAACAGCGCCTTGAATCCTCTCAACACATCCCCACCCCCATCCGCGCCCTCATCCTCCTCCACCCTACTCGCCCAATCGTCCTTACCCGTGCACACGAGCACCTGCTCCGCGTACGGGGAAAAGGCGCCCTCCAACTTGCCGGCGCGGTCGATATCCAAGTCTGCCGTCGCCGCCGTCGCCGCCACCACCGACGGGTCGCAGTCGCAAGCCGGCAGCGGATCCGTGGTTGGCGGGGACAGGTATCCACGGAGCGGAAGGGGGCTGGGCGGCTCGGCTTTCGAGGTGCGGGTGGCGACGGAGCCTGGGAGGACGGTGGTGACGGTGGCGCTGATGGCGAAGATGAAAGCGGGCGAGCTCCGAGAGGGAGGAAAAGGAACGTAGGACATGACTTAGAGGGCGAAAGGCGCCGCATGGCGATGCGGGCGTTCATGATCATATGCAAGGATCCTCTTCACGGATCACGCCCACAAACGCATATACGCGCATACGACTCTCTATTTCTACCTTTCTTTCTCTCTCTTCCCCCACTGTTCTATCTCCCGGAATTCGGGTGTTCCCCAATTTTACTCCCCTCAAGACTTGTAACCTAGCGTCAGGTCTACCGTCTGCTCCGAGCTTGCTAGATAAGAGTGAGGAAGAGAAAGCGTCTAGAGAAAGGCACACCCTCTTGGCATGGAAGAGAAGGAGATGGGGAGGAAAGAGGGGCGTGGAAATGAAAAGAGAGAAAAAGAGTTGAGGGGGATAGGAAAGGTATGAAAAGAGTGTATACTGTTGAAGATGCGACGATGATGGCTCCTCCCTCCCTGGTCGAAGTTCAGTTGTGTGACATGACGTTGGTTTTGAAGGTGGGTGTATGACTAAGCTAACAGCTGGCGCTCTTCAGCATCTTGATGAATAACATCTCGAGCTGCAAAAATCGTGCGGAAAAAAATTACTATTCAAATACAAATCGCTACTAATCACAGTATACCAAGTGACCCCGAAGGATACAGCGAGTTCTTTCGCGTCGATTCGTCCTCCTCTATATCCGGGTTAGGGTGGCCCTCCTCCCAAGATCTAAGTGGTGTCCCCCTACTCTCTATCACCTCCGCCTCCTCTTGGATGCGATGCTAGATGTGTGTGAGTGCGCCCGCCTATGTACTTGTCCTAAAACCAATCTCCCTCGCTCCTCTGTGTCTCGGACAGTATGTACTTCACCAGGGGGTGAAGCAGTTCCGCCGAGAAACAAACGCAAACGGAAAAAAGAAGTAAATAACAATGCTCAGCTCATGGGCAGTAGGCGGGGCACAAAGCAGCCATACTTGTGTAGACAATGAATGGCAGAGTACAAGTAAAGAAACAATAGGGGCCAAGACCCGGAATGGAAAAACAAGAAAAGAAACAGATAGGTGGGAAGAGCGGCTAGTAGGCGTATGAAATGCTGACGAGCCCTGACGTTGGAAACGAAAGCAGATCAAGATGAATAATGCTTTCATACAATGAATGAAACAGAACCCTAAGAACAGAGAAAACCCTTTATCAAAACAGGGCGCCCCACCTTGACTTGCCGCTCGAGCAAGGGAGTTAGTCCATCGTGGGGTGAGGAGGTCTAACTCTTTGAACGAGACGTGGTCGTTCCATTTACTTCCCATCACAGTAGCCGGGAAGGGCGGGGCTAGAGGGTGCCTTGGCCCAGCTAATGACGGTCAAGCTCGTGGTATAGGCCATAGCGAGGATGCCAAAGATACAGAGCAAGATATCCGAGACCCTCCACAGTTTAGACCTGGCGACTGCTTTATAATGCAACATGGGCTATAATGTAAAAGGAAAATAATTAGTGACCAGTGCAAGAGACAGCAAGGTGCCTAAGTGGTTGGTTGTACTTGGGGCGGGGTTTAGAATAAAAACTTACAGGGTAGATGTAAACTAGGGGATGCACGCAAAGTTGCCTACCAAGGCGACAAACTTGTCCAGGTCGTCCGCGCCACCCCAGGCGATGAGAGTGCACGCGGTAACGAGGAGGAAGCGGAAGATGTTCTTTTGCCACTTGATGTAGGGGTTGTACTTTCCGCTCTTGGTGAAGAGGGCATTTTCGGAAATCTTGATGGCGGGGAAGAGCTGGAGCGGGGTGGAGAGCAGGATGGCGATGGAATAGAGGAATTGGGTGGCATTGACGAGCTTGCTGTCTTGGGGTAGGTTGAGCAGCACCACTGTTTCCGTCTTGGAGCCGTAGGCGGCGTAGGAGACGGCGCCCATGGTGACAAAGAGGGTAGTGATGATGACCATGACCGCGAACATGACGCGGGGAACTTTTCCGGCTGCTTCATCGACTCCTGAATGGGGATAATGAGGCCGATACCCTCAAATGTAAAGATGGCGGTACCGATGAAGAGGGTCCAGTCGTTCTTGTTGAACTGGATAATGTCGGCCACGCCATTGGCGTTGAGCGTGATAATGTCGTAGTACAAGAGATAAGCCAGGCCGACGAGGATGAAGGCGTCAGCGATGAGGGCCGTGAAGCCCAGCTTGCCAATGTCGCGAAGGAGGGAAAAGGGCAAAAAGATGATCATCTGCAGCACGATAAGCCAGGTGATTGGCACGTGGGTACGGCAGTCCGATACGGCCAGGATGACGGCGCGCAGATTTTCCGAGGTGAAGACGATATAGGCGGCGACGAACCCGATTTGACTAATAACGATGGAGAAGAGGATAAGCTTCCGGAACCAAGACCCGTAGAGAACGCCGCCCATATCACCGAAAGAGCCGTCAATCTTGAGGCGGACCGAAACGAGAAGGACAAAGCAGTAGTAGCTGAGAGCGGCCACGCCGAGCAGGACCACGTTGCTAAAAAGCATGCCACCGTTGAGGTACGCTCTGGGCAGGAACAGCACGCCGGTGCCGACAAAGGATTTGAGCAGCAGCAGGGCGGCGCCCATGGGAGAATTTGTACCGCTGCCTCCTCGGTTCTTCCTTCTCCTCTTGCGCCTCGACGGCGTCAGGAGGGCGCTGTCTTCCATGGGTTCACGGTCCGAGTCACTGCTATCGCCGCCAAAGTAGTCGCGCTCATCATCGTCGGGGCCCGAGGAGAAGTACTCGCCCGGGAGCAAGTCCTCGTCATCTTCTTCAAGCTCTTCACCGGCAAAGTGGCCGTAAAGGGTGAGGAACTCGAGGAAGCTGGTGGTGAAGAGTTTAGGCTGCTGGGGATGGCTTGCCTCGCCTAATTCCTCGCGACCGGTGACACCCTGGTGGTCTTCGACAGTCCGCCTGATGAAGTCACGCCTGAAGCCACCGGGTACCTTCATGTTCTTGATATCGAGTACCTCGCTCTCGGGCTCGGGGCGGGGATGGACAAAGCTTCTACTTCGTTGCATCTTGTTCCGCGCCTCAGCTTCCTCGGTCCATTTGTAGATTTCTCTCGTCACATCGCCACCTTGCAGGCGCAAACTCGAGAACTCTTCATCATCATCAATGAGGGCAGAGGCATCGCCGGCGGCATCAGCGGGTTGCTTTCCTTTGACGTGAGCGGAAGAGGTGTCCGATGTCGCGTCGGTGGGCTGAACGAGATGGCGCTTAACCACCTCGGGGTCCTCGTAGGCCGGACGGGATCTGTTGTCGAAGGAGCCGTAGTTTGTAGGCGTGGCTGAGGTCGGAGGGATGTTGCTGAGGGCAGGGGAATGAGGTCTAAAGGTTGGATCACCCAAGACGGACGGGCGGGCCGGCGGGGTACCGAAGCGCGGCGGAGAGGTTCCTATCGAGTTGGACAACGCGGCGGCGAGAGCAGAAACGCCAGGGCCAGACGATACAGGACCACTCCCGGCTAGAGGAGCAGGACTCGCCGACCGCCCGTTCGAGGCGTTATTGCCACCATTGGCGCCGTTGAGCCGCGCAGCAGAGAGGTGGGACAGCGCAGGCGAGGTTCCGAGGGCCGGGTGGGCATTAGGAACAGCAGAAGCTAACCGGGCTATCGACTCGGCGCGGGGGACGGAGGATGCTATATTTGCGAGAGCATCTCGGCCTCTATTAGAGGCAAAGGATGACGATAAGGGCGCGTCGGACATGGCCGTCACGCCTCCGTCGGGAGGGAGGGGATCGGGTCGGCTATTAATGTATGTGTTTGTAGATATGTCTGGACCGGTATCGGTGGCAGGCGGGGCGTGAAAACCAGTCGGCGGGTTTTGCCCCTTCAACTAGTTTATCCTATCGTGACGTCTCGAGGGGGCCGACTCTCGTAGTTGACGATGGGAAAATAGCGAATGTAGGTGGCAAGGAAATAAAAAGGCGCTCCTAAATTAACGGCGATTCGAACGGCGGCTGTTGGGGAGGTATGCGAGGATGGAGAGGAGAGGAACGGCAAAAGAAAGTGAGGAAGAAGAGAAGGAGGAAGAAGTGGAGGTGAAAGGTGGTGGGGCTAGTTCGTTTGTTGGAAATGAAGTAGAAGTTGGAAGCTACTTGATCGTCCAAGTGTGTTCCCAGGTGGTTTGTCCAGTGCGGTCGTCGAGGCGAGCTATTTTTTCCAAGACGGAAGGCAGCGCTAGACGTGGGTGTTCCCCCGTCTGTCTATCCAACTTGCACAGGCAGTGCAAGGTACGGGACGGGTACGGGGTACAAGGAACATTGATACTTTCCATCCACTCATGGTTGATTGACTGTTTTAGTGTATGTTCGGACTTGCGGCAGGACTCACATTCTACCAACCAGGCTCGATTCTTCGCCAAATTTCAACTTGAGCACGGCATGGACTAGTCAAAACATCAATTCTAATTAGCAGGTATGAGAAACGATAGAGCTTTGCACCGGGCAACATCATGTCCCTGAAAACCACAGCAAGTGAACGATCAAGAATTACTGCCTGGAATCAACTCCTGAATGACCACACTAGACAAGCAGGTGGTGACATGAGCCACTCTTGAGTCTGGGAGCTTTTTGAGCGAGAGGAGATCCTTGAAGCCAGCCAAGCACTAAAATAAGGGCTTTATCTATGACACATTTGACAAACGGTCGAGAAAGAAAAGAAATGGGAGTTCCCAATGAACTGACAACGATCCAGGATAGAGGCAAAAGGACACACGAGTGAGGGCCCTCGGTAGTCCAGTTGGAGAAATGAGGCTTGCCTTCTTCGAAGCCCGACTGGCACCTTCCTCAATTGATTGAGGCTTTTGCGGACTTATTGTAGGGGCAGACGGCCCTTTCGAGTTGCGTAAGATCTCGAAGTTTTGCTGAAGATCCCAATAGTCAACCCTATCAACGAAAAGTTTTCTTTCTTTTTCTATCTCTCCGTTTCAAAGGGTGAAGACGTCAATTACCGCCCATTATAGTTCACGACCTCTCCACACGATATACGCAATACATCTGGGCCAAAGGTGGGTATAAAGGTCGTCAAGTGCACCGAAAAAGGTCGGCGACGCTCCAACGTCATCGATGTAGCAGCTCGTGATGTTACCAGACCACCAGACCTCAACCTCCCACCGTTATTAATACCTCGGAACACCAAGGTCATCCGCGTGCGACTTATGTTGTAATAATCCAGCCGCTCCCAGGCCACCCAGCTTCTTCAGCCAACGGGGGTCCCTAGCAAGCGGCCGTGCTGGCTCCTGTCCCTGGGCCCATTACTGTTGTCAGATTCATCACATATCAATCCATTGGCTCTAGCCCACTGGCTGATCCAGTGGATCTGATGATGGGTGTGTTTAACCCCCTAGGAAGCCGAGGTCCTCTGGTGCAAGGCCAGCCAGCCAGGCACCAAGCAAGCTAGCCGCGACGGGTCTGCCAGCGCTGGCCAGACTGTGTTTATTAGGTGCAGAACCAGGCTGAGCACCGAACCCGTGAACCAGCACCCCCAAGTCTCGTACCGATTGATGTGACATACGGACAGCCTCACATCTTCCACCGAACAACGACAACAGTGAGTCCGGCGCAGACCAGCCAAGATCCAGGATGGTTGATTGAAGGAAACCTCCTAGACAAACTTCACCTTGCCCATGGACCTTTAGACAGAGAATTCATACTTCATCGATGCATGTTGTTTAATTGATGACTGGTCAACAGCTCAAGGCCCACGCGCTCCAGCTGACAAGGGCTTTGAGGTCACGGGCTGCTCTTCTGGCGAGTTGGCAATACCCTCGAAAACCATTCCCATGTCGTATTTTTGGGGGACAATCAATGCCCATTAAGTCGTTACTTGGTGCCGAACGAAGACGATTCACTGTCGCTCTTTTGGGTCAGGGCTGGTTCAGGCCAATCGACGGATTGATGGTGACTCTGGCCCTGGTTTCCTACCTGGGTCTGCTGACCACATGAACAGATCCATGGATTGATCACTTGGGCGACTTGAAAGCGGCAGTGACTTTTCCCCTAAGACATGCCCCACCCTTCTCTGAGTCTTCATGATCGGTTTCTGCAATCAGGAGTAGGTGCATACGAAGATGATAAAGTAGGAGAATAACCAGGTATGCATCCTAAAGAATAAAAAGAGTGTGCAGGCGAGCGCCGGGAAAAGAGGCATGATGGCCAGGGTCGCTCCAAGCGAGCCCTCTCAGCCTAAAATCGGTGCAGGTTTATCTTTGGCTACGACGAGTGAAATGTGCAGGAGCCTCGCCGTCCATGGCTTGTGTCCACCCCCACCGATGAATTCGTAGCCCGGTCTGCCAAGGCCTCGTTGATAACGGAGCCACGGATCGGTTACAGCCTATCTCACTCATGCTCCGAGGCTCTGAGCAAGCAGACATGATGTGCCTCAGAACTTCGCCATCAATTGATGCCATATTACACCAAGGGTGATAAAATAAAGGGTTCGGAAGAAAAATAAAATAAGATAAAAAGTAAAGATGGTTCCCATAGTTCTGCGATACAAATACAAATCTATAGATATCTTTTTAACCCCAATCAGGAGCTCCCAAGGAGAATCTTGTAGATGAACAGCCGAGAAAGAACTGGGAGAGTTTTCGCAGACAGTATCATCATCAATCTCTCTTCTACCTCATTCCGCACCCTTTCGTCTTTTGTACAGCAATAAATGGATATGCATAATGGTACACGGTTACCGCCTCATCAAGAGTTCCCCGAGTCTCGGGGTTTGTTTGGTTCTCTTATCTTCTTTCCCCCTGTGCGGTTCTGCTTTAGTTGTTCAGCCTCTTAAGAATCTTCTCCTGGATGACGCGGGAAGCCACCTCGGCACCGCATTGCAGCTGTACCGCTCCGACAATGGCGTGAATCGCGCCAGAGAGGACGACTTCGACACCGGATCCAGAGAGGTTTTCCGGCTAGACGGTTACATAGAGGTGTTAGCATTTGAATTCCTTGCCAAAAGGCTGGATGGAAACGTGTGGTTATCAAGGGTCGAATAAAGAGGGGAAAAGCACAGATTGAAGCGCCGGAATGATATGAAGAAGGTGGAGGCGGGGGCGTCGCAGCGACAGAGAAAACTCACCAATCTCGGCTTCCACCTCATGACCTTGAGCAGACCCAGCTCCATCCCCAGCTTGCACATTTTCTCCCGCGAGATGACATCCGCCGGCTGGTGCTCGGCAAAGTTTTCCAGGGCCGCTAGAGACGGGTGCTCAAAGGGCTGGCGTCCGTACGCGTCGGGGGCCGGGGCGGGTGCCTGCGATCCCGAAACAATGTTCTTTGCGACTTCGAGGATGATGGCTTGACGGCCTGTTGGTGGAGGTGCAAGAAAAAAGCGTTAGCCAACACTGAGATTGTCCAAACTTCAATCCCAATCCACAAGCACAAGAACAAGAAGGAAAGAAAAATATTCGTTTTGCCTGCGGCCTGGAAGGCAAGACAGGAGTGCAAGGTTGTAAAGTCGTGGGGAGGAGAAGCAATTCCTTACCGAGATACGCCAACCTATCGTTGAATCCTCTCCTTCCCTGATCAAAGCTCTTGTGAGTGACCGCTAGCCACTTGAGCTCGTCGGGAAGCAGTCTGGGCCCGTGTGTGCCCAGGAACCTCGCGTAGAACTGATCCAAAACCTCGGGGTCTTCGTTCGTGTGCCAAATCGACCTCTTAGGATCCTTGGGCCTTTGCATCGACACGGGCGCCTTCATCGCCGCAGGCGTATACGACCAACGGGGAGGCTGCTGCTCTCCTTCCTCGGCCGCTGACGCGGCAGCCTTCTTTGCCGTTGCTGTTGCCGCTGCCGCCGCCGCCTGGTTCTTCTCCACCTCGGCCACGAAATCGTCGAAGCTCGTCGTATCCGCCGCCTGCCTCGCGCCTACGGTCGAAATCCAGCGCGTCGTCGCTGTTGCCGTCGTCTTGGTTGCCGCTGTCGGGCCCGCGGCAAGGGACGCCACGCGCGAAGTGAGAGGTCGAGCCAGAGCTGCGCCGGGCATCATGGCCAGCCGCGCCGCGCGGCAGACGGTTCGCGCGCCTCCCGATGCCATTTCCTTCTCAATTTTTAGGGGCTTTTTTCTCTTTCTTTTTTTCTCTGCCTTGCTTGAGGGCAAAAAAGGACAGGAACCGGGATTCTTCGTCGAGCTTGGGTTAATCAAGATTCCGGGCGATGAAAGAGCTTAGGCCCGTGTCTCCGTCGATTCGAGGATCGGATGTCAAATTTTCGTTGTCGCGTGTCCAAATCGCATCCCCTTGTGTCCAGACGAGAAGCGATGTGCAGGAAAGAGGTCGTCGTGCACCAGGGAATTTTGAGATGAAGCTGCAAAGGAGAGCAACTTTTTAGGTGGGTCCGCAAATTGTCGAGGTGGACTTTTGATTGGTCAAGTTCAAACGCATCGGCTCATTGGTCGTGTTCCTGGTGCGTGCGGGAACCTCGTTATCCAGTGTTATGCATCTACTAGGTAGCTATCATAAGGAGCCAGCCCATCTTCCGTCCCACCTCCCAAACCTCTCAGTTCGTGGTACATGTACACTAAGGGAAAGACGCCTATCCTCTCATCAAAACGTTTCGTTCTGTTCTCTCGTGCTAGTCCATGGTAGAGAGTTAGTATATGAAGGCGTCAAGCCTTCGAAAGATGGTACAATCCCGGGCAAATAGACAGAAAAGGCCCAATGTGATCGTGATATGAACATTCTCCATAGATTTCCGTACGCCATGCCGACCTATGCAAACCATCTCTGTATCAAATTGATCGTACATTTATGCCACCCGGCCCTTCTTTTGAAAGAAACATTTCTTTCGTGGAAGCCTTTTAAACATCCGCTTGAGGCTCCGGCTTCGGCTTCTTCCTGATCAGGCCCGCCCCAAGCACGTTAACCTTGCCCTGCTGGTCGGCCCCGTCTCTCTTCCGCTTGATCAAGCCTGCCAGGTTATTCACGACCGGCTTCTCTCCACCGCCACCAGGCCCCCTCGCCGCCCCTTCCACCACGGCGGCAATCTCCCGCTCCCCTGTGACGTCCACGTTCCAGCTCGACCCCATCCCCACTTCGCCCACCCACCGCCGCGTGCTCCCCACCGCGAGATCTAGTGTCGAGAAGTCGAGCTGCAGGAGCAGCTCCGACACTCGCTTGTACCCCCTCTCGTCAAATAGCCGCTCCCCCGGCCCTCCTGCGGCCAGTAGTAGTGCGCGCTGTGCACCGGCGTGCGCGCCGCCAGGTGGTTACGCTGGTGCGTCTTGACCCGCGGCTTGCGCGTCGTGATGGGGCCCCGCCGCCGCTTTGGTTTCTTGCTCTTGCGGGGCCCTTGCCACCCGGCTTGGCCTTCGCACCGGATTCCGACTTCGGGTCTGGTGTCTTGGGGCCTGCCAGCTCGGCGAGCGAACCCGCAGTGGCTTTGTCCTCGTCGCCGCTGCCACTGCTGCTCTTTTTGGCGACAGCACAAGCTTCCGCGGAGTGGGAAAAGGCAGCGTCGGGGTGGCGCCTTGCGGGGGCGTTGACGGCCGTTCGCCAGAGGCTGTGGCGGCGATCGCCGCCGCCGCGGTCCCCGCAGGAACCTGGCGGGCTACGGCATCCAATACAACCCACAAGAATCCCGTCATCCGGCCACTCGAGCACTCTTGCCTAAACGCCATCAGATCCCAAAACTGGTCCAGGCTCCTCACGCTCCGCCACGCGCCCCCTCTCGCATCATGGTTGACTTGGACGCCTCCTCATCTAGCTCGTCCCGGAACCGCGCCTTGGGATCATCGGGGAAGCCCGGGATCAGGCACCGCGGCGGCACTTGATCATACTCGCGGCAGTAGTGCGAGATGAGCTCCAGCGGGTGGCCCAGCTCCCACTTGTCCTCAGCCGCACCGCCCCCGCGGGGCAGAAAGGCCCTGGTCTCGTACCTGTCGAGCCCGGGCACAACAAGGTAGGCACGCACGCGCGCCCACGGTTCGCCGCCGGGCGGGGGCGGGGGCGATTCTCCACCAGCGGGTGCAGCGTGCGGCACCACCACTTGACGAGCCCGCGGTCGTCGAGCACGTGTTTCCCCGCGTTTTCCACGCTGCCCGGGAACAGATACTGTGCCTGAGCACGTGCAAAAAGGCTAACGACGCACTGCGCGTCCTTGCGCCGACGGCACTCGACCAGGTACGACACAAAGGCCGTAGTCACGTCGCGTATCACCGATGGTGCGCCTTTGGGCAGGTTGAGGAGGTGCAGGTAGCCCGTCGAGTCGGCTTTGGACACGAAGAACGTGCTCGAGTGGGCCGTCGTGAATATAAAGACCTCCAGCGCGAACACGAGGACCCTCTGCATCTCTCCCGCACCACCGGACCCTTCTTGTTTCCCCGCGTCTTTGGGCACATCAATCGACAAGGCGAGGAAGCTATTCTCGACGTACGTCTTGTCAGGTCGTTCTTTTGGCGGTGCATGGCAGAGGGGATCGGTCTTCGTCGGAGGGGTCGAGAGATGGTAGATGCCAAATTTGTACCCCTTGGGTAGCACGCCCGCCAGTCGCTGCGAGAGGGAATCCTGTGGGGTATTGGCGGTGCTATTGGTGATGCTATCGTCACCGCCACTACCACCGGGCCGTGTTGAGGAGGAGCTCGTCATCGTAGCGACTACCAAGCTTGAGAATCAAGGCGAATATCGCGGGAACGGGGTCGGGGTATCTATCGGTGGCTCCACGAACCATCCGAGTAGCTGTATAGGAGGTGGAAAATCGGGTTTTGGGGGCTGCGTTTGCCTCCTCTCCCCTTCGTTTGCATTGGTGGGAGCGAGGAGGTGCAAGATTTCCGGATCTGAGACAGGGCTTGGCCAGCTTGGCTTGTAAATTTCGCTGCTCTTCTTATTGTATTTTTCGGAGGGGTACCAGCAGAGATGGCTTTCAACTGAATTGATTGTGGATGGAATCGATCCGCACCAATTGACAATTGGGGGCATTGCGGTCGCGGCGCCACCATTATCAGCTCCTCTCTTCAGGGATTAAGGGTCAACATGCGGATGTTGCAGCTCCAACAATTTTAGTGCCTGCAACGAGCCTCAGCACTTGACCGCCGCTCGGTCGTTGACACTGATTACATTAAGAGTTGCCAGTGTCGCCGTTAGCCGACATACCCACTAGATCCATCAGATTGAATGATCTATGGATAGATCAATATGGATTTATTGATGGATGTATACCTAATCAGTGATCTATGATGTTCAATATAAATTGGTCAATTGAATCGATGGGTAACTTCAAAGAGCCCAGATATTGCGGTCGGGAATCGACCTTGGATCACCATTAAATGATACATGTAGGATATACAGGACCTTGTGCAAGCATCCAAGATCCATTGGATCGATGCGTGTTTCTCAACCACCCACACCATATTCACTTGTAAATGAACCCCCATAGATCAATTACATGTGTCGGGCAGTGCCATAGCAAGAACATCAATATTGGTCCATTTCCAACCCCAGTATCGCCAAATCTAATTCTCACGACAGCTCTAAGATATCAAGTCTAATCTATCTCGCCGCCCTATCTATCCAGTCACTCAAAGTCATCCGTTTATCGCTCACTTACATCCAAGACGCCCCATGTTTGACCTCTGATATCCTCATTCCACCTAATGGACTAGGCACACACGATCTGCTAGAGTGCCGACTTTCTCACAAGATATTGCATGTTCACCGGGGTGATGGGATCGCTCCCCGCCATGGCCGCCATAATATTTCGCATGCTCAGTTCCTCGAATCCTCGATGCGTTTCCACCGTACCGCCAGCATTATGGCACGTCAGCATCGCCCTCTCACCCGCAAACTTGAGCAGCCTTGGGTGCGGGTGAGGTTCCGAAGCATGCACGTCCAGCGCAATGGCACTGATGAGGTCGTCCTCGAGCGCCCCCGCCAAGGCCTCTTCGTCCACCAAGCTACCCCTCGCAACGTTGACGAAGCGAGCGCCCTTTTGAACCACTTTACGCTCTCGTACGTGATAACCTTGGGCCCCGAGGGCGTGCACAGAACCACGCAATCGGAAGCCCGGACCAGCGACTCGAGCGTGTCGTGGAAGGTGGCATCAAACGTCTTCTCTAGCCGTACGGGCTTGCGCAAGACGTCGTGGTAGTGAATCTCCATCGCGAAGCCGTGTCGGAGGCGGACGGCAAGCTGCTGGCCGATATTTCCCATGCCGATGATGCCCAAGACCTGTCCGCGAAGGTTCCGGGATACCCCGGTCGCTCGGGCGTGGCAGTCTTTGAAAGCGGCGCCGTCACCAGACGCGGTGATGCACCAGGGGAGATGACGAAAGGTAGAAATGATCATGGCGACGCCAAAGTCGGCCACTGCTTCAGCCGCCGCGAGCCCCGAGTTGCAGTAGATGACGCCTACATACAACGTCACCATTGTTAGCCGGTTCCATGAGCCACGTTTTGCCCTCCCCGCCCGCTTGGACAAATGATCCGATTGACGGCAAAAGGGAAACAGACGGGCGAGAGGAGGAGGGAAAGGACGGAGAAGGATGGTGTTTCCAAGGTTGTGTAAGTAGGCCAATCACATCGACGGGAATGCGCATACCTCTGCTACCTAGGAGCTTCGTGTCGGCCCAGTCGAACCCCGCGCCGGCACTCGCAAAGACCTTGACACTGGGCGGGAGCAACTGGATGAGCTCGGCATCCCACTGGCCCATCTCGCCGCCCGTGCCCCAAAACGGCCGAAAGATGGCATCAAAGTCACCCCATCGCTCTTCCTTTAGAGCCTTGATAAATTCCGGCCTCGCGCGCTCCGGGGTCGACGGCCGAATGATTTCGCAGCAGGTCGAGAAGGAGGCGTACGTTTCAAAGTTGTACTTGATGGGGTCGCCAATATGCAGCACGCGGGGTCTCCTGGCGACCGGGGACAGGCGATCCAGGGACGCGGGGAGCGCAGCCGCGGCGGCAGCGGCGCCGAGTCCGTTTGTGATGATGTCAGGCAGTGGAGGGGCAGGCGAAGATGAACGTGGGGTCGATGCCGGCACGGGCGTGCTTGGTGGCATTGGGGTGTTGGTTGGATCCGCCATGGCCGAAAATGCTCTATTCAGTATGTGCTCAAGGATGGCAGCTGTTTGAAAATCAATTGGTTTTGGGGGCGTGAATTTGGTGAGCCGGTCCCTGGAGCTTCGTTTCACCACCTCGCAGTGGGTAAAATGAAGGGGAATGTCGGACTAGTGCTCAGCGGCGGCGGAGAGGAGGGAGCTTATCAGGCGGGCGAGAATCGAGCCAAGGCGGTATCGCAACTTTATCGTGACCCTTTTTTTTCCCTTCCGGACCAACTCGGTTGCGCAAATGGGAGACCGCTGCTCAGACCCGTGGTGCCTGGTTTATGTATCAATGACACCAAGCGGGGATCGGCCCTAGATAATAGCAGCGACTGCCTCCAGTCCTTATGTTTGCTGTGCCTACTTTAGTTCTTTTCCACTTTCAGTCCCCTTTTTCTTTTCTTGGGGTGTTTTTTTCCTGATGAGTTGCTTCTTCCTTTAAGGCTGGGGTTAGGGAGGCTGCGTACCGCCGGTTAACCGCTCAGGGGTTCTTGCTTGATCTTAGTCTCGCGACGGGGCCAAACGGAGAAGAACTTGGAACGATATTGTGATCTCGTGCTCTCTTCACCGACTGTTGACGAGATTTCGCCGTGCTGTGACGCACTGTTTCCGATATAGGCGCTCGTGTGCCTGGGCGGTTTATATAAGTCAGTTCCTCGAATCTGATACGGAAAATGTACCCTAAGAAGCTGGGCGTGGAAAAGGGGAGCACGAAGTGCAATAAGATAGACAAGTCAAAATTCGGTCTTGGCTCAGCTGGCTTCCTGCAAACCAGCCTGAGCGTCGACGATGCATCGATTCATTTTTCCTTGAAGCTGGCCATCTGGCTTCATATTCTCTACATGTACGCTTGGGCGCCGAGTTCCCTCCTCCCCTCTCTCTCCATTTCCTGCCCAATTATCCAATATTGGAATTGGGGGCGTGGGCGCGCAAATGACGGCCGGACCTGACTTGCTCCTTCAACTCTTTGGTGGGGGTTGCTTGACTTGGAAGGGAATAGACCCAGGAGGACGGGAGGAGGGGAAAGAGGGGGAAGAAAGGGCAAAAAACCAAAATCAAAAAATAAGACGAAGAGCAAAAGAGAAGGAGCACCCGGAGAACCATTCCATGCAGAGGAAAAAGGGTCTGTTCCCGCACCCATGGAAACATGGAAACATGAATGAGACTCTGAAAAGTGGGCTGCCGGATCGACTTTCTGCCTGTTCTTGTTTGGTGGGGGTTTTGTTCTTTTTCCCTCTTCCGCGCCTTGTCACCATATGTGTGGGCCGATGAGATCAATTTTGATATTCCGTTTGGTGGCATCTCTGGTACCCCTCCTCCTCTCCCCGGGCCTCGGCGGTCAAGCCTCCAGGCTTTAAGCTCGAGTGCTGTCACGAGGCTCGGTGCTACCTTTCCCCAACCGTGCTGCTTCAATGACGCGAGGACGTGTCCCGCTGTCGAGCGCTCACCGGCAATACCATATGCCTAACCTCCGTAGCCGATAGCCCGAAGTGTGGGGAGACGCCCCGTCTTTTCTTGACAGAAAGAAAACGTTGTCGCAAAGTTCGTGAGAGTCCAAGTTGTCCCATGTCCCCATTCGATACTAGCACCGTTTTACTCTTACTTTTTCCCGCCCTCCATTCTTTGTTTTCGGCGTGGGTATGTATGCATCCGCTTCGCTAGCTCGCTTCTTCACCGACAAGTTCGGGACTTGTGGCCACCGCCGCACCAAGCAGGCATTAACCCTGTTGGCCGGCAAGCCCGGCTGGGACGTTGAAAGTACGGCGCCGTTCAAGTCACATGCGCACTCTCAACGGGCGCAGCATCAAAGACCACCGCCAGCGTCCGGATATCGAGGACCAGTGCTGCTTCCTGGCCTCGAGCATGGGGTTGGCGAGCTGGGAAAGAGGGAGAAGAGAAGAGAGAGGCAAGTCGATCCAGCTCCTATTTGTGTCTGACTGGCTGGTTTGACAGGAACGGGGCTCCGCTCGGCGATCCTGGGTCATCTTGATTCGCCACAGCCTATTCTATCCGCTACGGGCCTGACAGGCAAACAGGCTCCCCGAGCCACCCCTACTAGGAACATGAGGAAGGGGCAGGAGACAAAGCACAAAGATCACATTGCATGGCTATTCCTGATTGGTGACCAACTCGGACCCGTGAGGTGAAATCCGTTGGCGATCCATCATACTATTCGTTCGCTGTTCGGCCCCGCCTACCGCTATCCGCTCCTTGCACAAGAGCCGCCAAGCCGCCTCTTGTCAACCACGGCCGTCCACGGCCTAGGCCTTGAGCGCCTCCGTAAACTTCTGCTTGAGAACTTTGGCAATGATGGCTGGATCCGGCCCAGTTGCTCCTGCCTGCCTAACCTCTTCTCGCGTCGCCTGCACCAGGTGGACCGCCGGCGCCACCCTCTTGACGATGACCGTTACCTTGCTCACATCCTCGGGCGAAATAGCGCCCGCAAAGAAAACGATGGCAGGGACCTTGCGGTCCGCGGCCGCGCGGCCGGCGTTGCTGCCGAGCGTCGACGACGGAGCCACGCTCTTGCCGCCCTGAAGGAGGGGGACTAGCTCTTTCTCAACGGTCTCGATGTCAAAAACGGTATGGACAACTGTCAAGAGATCCATTGTATTAGCCCCGTTAGCCTGAGCGAAGTACCGCGCACTTGCCATCGTATTCTGGTTCAAGGGCCTCTTGGATCTTCTGGGAAAGGTCGGGCTGGAGACCAAAGAAAGCAACGGGAACACTCGACATCGTGAAGATTAGTTGTGTAACTGATGGAATAGACCGGGAGTAGCGGCTTGTTTGCTTTTTATTTTATTTTTCGTTCCTTGGTTATGAACACTTTGTAATATGTAGGTGCTGGAGTTCTGAAGAGTCGACACAATGGCCTTTTGATCTACTACTACTCACCCAAAGTAAAGCCGGGACTGACTTGACTTATATACAACCCATGGAACATCGCGTTACTACAATTTCCTTGATATTGGAAAAATGTGTCGATGCTGGGCGGAATTTCCCCAACTTATCCCCTTGGCGTGGGCCAATCACCCCCGCGCGCAGGCGCAGCGCTTGGAGGCGAATGCCCGGATAACCTAGCGATCACCGCAGTCAGACTCCGTTCTTCTCATGTCTTATTGGAGTTTTCTTCCCTTTAGTTCTTTCTCCTTTCTATCCCATTGTTCCCTGTTTTGTCTAATGTTAGCCTTCGCTCTCCACAGTCACCGAGGTGGAACTGGAGATTCAAGTGTTCATCTCAAACCCCGAGTGGCACGTCAGCGTGAACCCTTGAGAGTTTCACGTCGGCGACTGTCCGGTGCAACAATGCCCTTGCTCCGGTCCGCGAAGCCCCAACCGTTGAAGTGGTTCCTTGATTCGCAGCAAAGAGTTATCGAAACGCCGCATGAGGCTATTCGCACTGCATTACACAGCGCGGGCTGCCGAGTATAGTTTTGATTCAGCTCAAGGCACGGCAAACCTCTGGCCACATCCCATTATTTTGCTTTGCTGTCCAAGCCTCAAAGTTACGCGCGGCACCCTCGCTCAGGATGCCCGGGCTTCGGGGACTTTGGGAAAAAGAAAAGAGGAGAAAAACATGGGGAAAGAGCCACGTGTTGCGACACGTGTCGAGGGACGTGGCCGGGGCTTATGAGAGAGAGTCACGTCTTCAAGATGTGGTAGACAAGCTTCCAAAAGCAAACGTTCAAGACAATAACAGAGCAACCTTGGCCACTGCCTCGGTAACGGCGTCAAGCTGCCATAGAAGAAGCAAATGAAGCAGGAGTGGCTGAACGGGTTTGCCACTCTCCGGCAAGTACCCTTTCTAATAAAAATAAAAAAACAAAAACAAAAACCACCCAAAGCCGGTTTATAGCCGCAGTTGCTCCAAGTTAACATCCATCGTTTCCATGTCCGCGTGTTGCCCATGCCCTTTGCTATTTATATCCTCTCAACGTTACGAGCGAGTCGATTCGTGTCCCCGTGAGAGGCAGGTGTTTGCTAGCTCTAACAACACTCCATCACAAAAAGATGAAAACTAATGACTGATCAAATGCTACTTGCGTCAATGTGAAAAGCAGGGCGGGCGTCTGTCTCGTTCCGAGTTACAAGGCAAGATAGATGGTTGAGAGAGAGGTTCATTGGTCAAGTAGGAGAGAAGATGGAAAATTATCTTATATTTCATTACGAGACTATTGTTAAAAACTCGCGCTAGATGCAAGACTGTTCAAAGAAAGAAGCCATAAGCGGCTGAGAGGGATATAAACTCCTTCATCAAAAACATGATCTGTCCGAGAATCCAGACACACAAAACCGTTCCCTCTCATCATCATGAAAATCCATCTACAGCTGGCTTCCGTCTCATTACTTCCCGGTATATATACTAAATGCGCACGCCAAATGGTGACACCACGTAACATTGGGTACGCACACTATGTTTCAATAAGAAAAGGAGATATGGAACACGGAAGGGGTGGACAAAAAGGTCTCACTTCCTCATCCAGGTGCTCCTTCGCTGCGGTACCGTTTGTTTCGCCCCCAAGTCCCTTTTAGCCAAGGAGGGGTGTCTGCTCGTCCGCACCGCCCTCGCGCTCTTCGGCGCCTTGGCCGAGGCTGCTACTGTGCCGACCTAGGCCGCGGCCAAAGATTTCATGCCAGCTGCCCTCACGATAGACCCAGCCGGCGCAGATGCCCGCGCCAGGACCGAGAACAACGGAAACGCCGAGCATGACGGCGACGACCTGCCAGCCAGCTTCGACGAGGAGCCAGTAAAGGACAGTGAAACCGGTGAAGACAATATCGATCTCGATGAAGCCGAGGGTCTTGCGGGTCATCATGAGCCGGTCGTCCTTTGCGTGGTGGCGTGCCAAATGAGGAGCCAGTGGGCCAGGGCGGAGCAGAGGACGGGGGCGGCATAGACGAGGGCAAGGGAGGCGCGGTGGGACTCGAGGTGGAGCGAGCGCACCTCATCGGGGGTGGTGGAGGAAGAGATGGATGATATAGTAGCGGCGAGGAAGCGCTTGGCAGGGGGCACGAGGGCGCGGACGGCCTTGCGGATGAGAGTCACGTAGATAGGGAGAAGAACCAAAGGGCGACGGCGGTCGGGGTGGCGAGGGAGATCATGAGGATGGAGGGGAGGATGAAACCGAGGGCGACACCGACGGGGATGGCGATGGCCTCAGAGTCATTCTGGAGGTGCCTTGAGTCCTTGCCGAGGTTGGGGTCAAGGGGCTCACCTCGGCCTCGTCGTCGCGACGGGCGTCACCCCGGGCCTTGAGGATGGCACGGGCGCGGTGGAAGAAGGCCGGGATGATGAGGAGCTGCCAGATGAAGGCACCGCCAATCATGTTGAAGATGAGCAGAGGGCCCGTGGGATAGGCGATGAGCACGTTGGGAGCGTTACAGATGCGGGCGCCCTCGACGGTGTAGACGGTCAACAGACCAGCAACGAAGCTAAGGATCTCGGCCATGACGGCGAAGGCGCGGCCCGAGGTCACGGCGGCCTTGAAGAAGCTAACGAGGTAGCAGGCCGGAGGCCCCAGCACGGGGAGCCGGCTCAGGGAGGAGGCGGGCGTGGGCGTGGCATTGCGAGTACAGGGCCACGAGGTTGTAGTCAGAGTGGATGAAGAGGGTGGCGGCCGTGGCGACGGCGAGAACGACCGGGACGATGATGAGAAAGCGGAACGAGTGCTTCTCGACGGACGGGCGCCAGCGCCAGGAATCCATGATCTGCCAGAGGGGCAGGGTAGGTGTGGGTGGATAAGGGAGAAGAGGAGGGGGCGGGAAAAAGATAAAGCTGATGCAAGATAGGAAGGAATCGCGAAATGCTCCCGACTGCAAGGTGCCCCAGATCGGAATCTGGACAAGGAAAAAGGTACGATAAAGCCAAATAAAATGCGGGGAGATACGGATTAACCAGAAGGGGGTGGATGAGAGAGGTCCGCGGGTTGAGGATCGAGGGCACGGCGAAGGACTGCCGAAAATAGAATCAAAGCGCGTGGAGAGAGAGAGAAAGAGCACTACAAGAATCTTTCGCCCCGACGAGCTCTCGTAAGTCCCCTAGTGCGCTCGATGCGTTGCTGGCTCGGCGATGAGGCAGGGTGAGGAGAGAGCCTTGCTGTTCGGAGCGAAAAACAGAGGTTCGAGGTTGAAGCTCTCCTGCTTTCCCCACACGCGACAATTCTCCGGCCTCGTCAGGTGGAGCTTCATCAGCCAATTTGGCTGGCCAGGTGACCACCAAATTTGGCCTGCCAAGCCAGGTCGCCTGGCCCGGCCTTGTCTCTCTTTCTGTTGTGTGCACACAAAAAATCATTAGATTAGCCAGGCCATTGGCCGCATGTCCTCTTTTTCTTCTTTTCCATTTTGTCGCGGTTCGCGAGGCTCACAAAAAAGAGAAAAGGAAAATCCCTCCAGAACCAAAATCTAGTGGTTTGACACAGACCAGGATTTCGAACATTGTTTATCACCTCCTGTTATACTCTCACATCCACGAATCTGGTATCAATGCGAGCAATTATTGGTCAAAGAGGTCGAGGCCCTGGTGAGGCATGCCCGAGCTGATTGGGGAAAATCAGCTTAGCCCTCCGGGCACGCCGCTCGGGAGCCCGTGATTTTAGCAATCTGCAGTGTAGATGCCGATAGCACTCAATTTCTTAGATTATCCTCGTCTTTTCGAGCGCGCGAGATAACAAAGTAGTATATCTTCGGTTTCTTCCGGATCTAAAGTAGTTCCCGGTCTTCCTCGCGGGCCAAAGCAGCTCATACCGGATCGATTGGATCAGGAGCGTTCAAGCTTGGAATGCAGCTCCCGGATTCACCCCTCGCTCTCCCCTCCTCCCGAGATTGTTAGAGATCCCGAAAAGAGCAGAGCTTCGCGACAAGTTCCGAGGCTGAAGAAACCCCCGCCCTTCCTTCTCGGAGCCTAGTGGACGGTCATAGTTTGTTCTTAATTATGGAAGCCAAGCTTGCGATCCAATGATAGCCGAGGATCGGGAGCACGACATGATTCCGCTGCATTTCAATGGCGCTCCCGAATCCTCACGACACGCATGGGCTCGCCCGTCAATTCACTCGTCGTTAAACCTTATCCATTTTAGGGTGGGCTTGTTAGAACGAGACGGCGCAAAATCTTTCATCATTTGGATACCGATATTAATCATCATGATAAACTGTCTTTGAACTATCCCAAACTCGGCCCTGTGGGAGTCCTGCCCACCCACCTTCAGGGTCGGTCCCGGAGAGGCCGACGATAAGAAACATTGAATCATCAGATCATACCATGACTCCCGCACCCATGGTGATATTGTAATTGGTCTGCAGCCACGATGACACCCGACTCCTCGGTTTGCCTTCAAAGTAAATTTTCCTACACACTGGGCAGTCAAACCGGTCAATCAAAAACCAGGATGCCAAACACTGGGCGTGAAACCAGTGGCCGCAGTCCTTGAGCTTCATCACCTCTACGTCCCGCTCCGGCTGCCTCCCCTTTAGGCGGAGCCGGAGACGCAGCCACCTCACGGCCTTGAGTAGCCTAGATGTGCTCTCAGACTCTTTCTCCTCTACCCGCTCGACGGCAGCTGCCGGCAAAGCTCCCGTCTGGCCCACGTGCTGGGGCTGGGTTGTCGGGGCTGTCGAGGCTGTTGCTGCCGTCGTCATTTCTTTGCTGCTTCCAGACGCATCTTGGGCGCTGCTGCTGGTCGCGCATTCCGCGGCACCCCCTGTTGGGGCGTGCATCTTCAGCGGTAGTCTCGTTGTTCTCCGCCGTCAATGGGCCGATGCAAATGGGGCTAAGTGAGCATCCGCCGTTAGTCTCCCGAGTTCAACAAAAAAAACATATATAGCGATAGGTCTCTGGAAGAAAAGCTGGGCTAAACGCTTTGGACCCCACAAGCGCACATGCGGGCCATCGAGTGGGCGATGCGTATGAGCTGGCTCCTTGTAAGTCGGTAACGGGAGATGGGTAGCGAGTACTCGGAGCGTCGTGGATGCCCTCCCGCGTACAGCATCTTCCAGTACAAGCTTCGGCCTCCCTCCCTTGGCGGTGGGGGTGGGAACAAGAGGAAAGTAGAAACGAAAAGAGAAACCCCAGTACGAGAAGAAAAAAAGTTCCAAGGTAGGATTGATAGGATAAGATGCTTGAAACCTACCAATTTCCAGTCCACTCAGCATCACCTCCGCCGAGGCACTTTTCAGTATCCTTTCTGTATTCGGCGACTGCCACGAGTTTGGCTCTCGCCTTCCGGAATGATTTTGACGTGGGGTGATATTTCCTACGCTCCCTTCTCCTAGCCCAAATAATGCAACATCTAGATTTGCGAGAAGGGAATGTCAGACTAAGTGAAATGGAGAGGGAAACCCTTAAGGAATCAAGCAATTGTGCAGTAATCGAGGAGGGTGAGAGGGGGGAGAGTGAGGGGAACAGGCATCCGGAAACGCCGGCGCCCCTGAATTGACCACATACGCTGGGGCAATCACAGCGACGACGATGAAGACGCCCAAGATGATGACACCTAGATGCTCCTTGACGCGCGACATGGCGGCCGGCCATCCAGGTCGCGCATCGCAACCCGGGAAGGCACCGGTTCCGAAGTCGCGGAGGATTCCTTGCAAAGGCCCAGTTTTCTACGGCGGTGCGGTTGTGGAGCTGGCAGAATCCAAGGTCCTAACGTTTTGTTCGGTGGTCCTTCGGCGGTTGGTGGAGACGCAGTGGGGAAAAATAGCGGCCGCGGTTGTAATTTGTGCTGCCAATACCGGCCGGGCTTTTTCGCTGCGGGGTTGTTACGTGGGGTTGGCCTAGTATTTATCGTCGTCTGTTAATAAATGAAAGGGTCGAAGCTAACGAGTTCTCTCCGAGACCTGTCTCAAATCGAGGGAAGGGCGGTGGGGGCGGGAAGGAAAAAGAAGGATAAGATGTTGGCAAAAGTGGCAGCTAAGAAAGGAAGAAGGGTTTCTTCAGGGTCCCGAGGAAATAGAGTCTATACTTCGCAAAGCTAAAGAGATAAAAGCAGGGCAGAGTCGATGCCTCCTCCCTGTGAGCAAAAGGTGTCACGTTGTGAGGGGTTTGAGGGGTTCTTTGCTTGGTTGTGTGGCAGCCAGCTCAGCCAAGCGACCTTGGCCTTTTCTTTGCCTTTTGGCGGTGCACTCACCCTCTATTACGCCCTCGTTTCGTGTATCTCGCCGCACGCGTTGAAGCTTGTGCCACAAGAGGAATAATAAACGGCCATGTAACACCGCTCGGGAATCGGAAATCACGGGAAATACGCGGGGAACAATGCGGAGAAGTTACGGCCAAGACAAGAGGCTGGGGGAGGAAGGGAGGAGGGAGAGGGAATCTGGATGGCTGGTTAAAGAGGCCGACCCCGATTTGTCAAAAGGTCGCTCACTTGACCACCCCTTTGGCTCGACATCATGAGAAGTGCACGATAGACTGACAGGATTGGGCAGATTATGGTGTGTGGTGTGGCAGGGCCGCTCACCGTGGGAAATCATCACGCCATGCATTGTAGGCCGCCCTCCTCTAATCCCAAGCCCTCTTCGACCTGAGAAAGCTCGTCAGGATAAGCTGTGGGAGGCAGGCGTTGTCTCAGCTCAAAATGGAAGGGTCGAACTTTCTACTGCAAGTTTGCCTCGACAAGGTTTACATAACCCTCTCGAGGCAGCCACGCAGTTGGCAGGCAAGCAGGTCAAAACGTGCTGGCCACACAGCCGTTAGGCCCGCACACATGTGGATGGGGCGTGGGGCTGGGGATGATGAAGTGAGCGCTGGCCCTTAACCCAGTGGTTATGGATTAGTTTTTGCGGACTGGACTCTCTTTCAGTTTCAAACCATGCGCGGCACTAAAATTCTCACCGAGCCTAGCCAACAGCACGTTCATCAAACATATGGTCGAATTGATCCGGTCGAGTAATCCATGGCTGTCTCCGACTGGCTTTGCAAGCCTTTTTTCTTTTCCCTTTCCGAGGTGCTAGCTCCTTGAGCATCCTCGGAGAAACACCGAAACTGGAAGATGATCACCCAGGCCGTCAAGTCCAGTTGCCAAGCGCCCGCTGCACTGTGTTTAAAGTTGCTCGAGGGCTGGGCAAAGATCTCGCCATTGGCACGATTAACCACTCTTTGCGGGGGAGATTCGACAAGCTAGTTCGTACGTCAGACTAGGGCGGCTGACAAAGACCGAATCACTAACCGCTATACGTAATAAGGTAAGTTTCCACGGCCGATGGATGGAGGAAGGAAGGAGGTAAGAGTAACGAGAAGAAGGAAAAAGTAATAACGGTTGGCTCGATGCGATTAAACTCCATGGAGAAACTTGATGGTCGTGCATCAACTATCTCATCCCATGCAGGTGGCAGCCAAACACCCCCATCATCGATCCATCACTGCAGAAGCCATCCCCCCAAAAGGGTTGACCCAATCAATAGAGTACATGTACGTACAAAGGCCACTGTCGGATTCTCTGAACCTTCTAGGCTGTGTGTCGTGTGCTCACTCTCCATATCCAATGGGTCCAGCCATCATTACGCTGTTGTCTGGCTTTTTCCACCCTTGGAGAAACGCGCACGGGAATTACGGCGACTGGTGATGGGAGGAGTTATAAATGACGTCAACCAACACCTGGGCTGGGAGAGTCGAGGCGGGGAAAGGCGGGCAAGGTTCGGAGACGCAGAGGCACATACAGGCTCTTGCAAGGAACAGCACAGGTTTTTGCAAGTAATGGAATGCTTATCATCTCTTGGCAAAGTCTGGGCGTTGCAAATCCTCAAGTCTTGGAAGCTCCGCTCAACAGACGAGCAAGTTATTTTTTTGGGGTTTAAATTTTTGCTCTCTCTTTAGCCCTTCCACCCCTTTCGGCCGCGACATAAAACGATCAACTGAAAGCCAAGCGTTTGAAGAGGAATGGTGTCGGATTCTTTGTCCCTTTCCCCTCTCGGTGGCATATGCCTTTCTGCTTCAATGGAGCGCCGGGGGCTCGGTGTAGCGTTGACCGAAACCCAATTGGTTTGATCGGTATCACCATTGATGGGTGATCGAGTCTTTAACCCCGCCATGTTCTCGAATGAAGCACATCGAAGGCGCATTTTTGAGGCCCAAGATAGAATCTCCTGGAAGGTGGCTGGTAATGTGTGGGACAATGGTGGGGGAACAGAAATAGATGACGGTTGGTGCAGTAGAGCAAGGGGGTGCACCTCACTACATCAATGTAATTGATCAATGTGTGTGGGAGAATGCGCCTTGGAGGGGCCCGCGCTTCTTGGGGGTAAGAGAGGACGGGCCCCTCGACGCCCGGTGGGCGGGATGAGAAGGTCGAGACTCAAAACATAGTATGTGTAGATTAAGAAGGGCACTCCTCCCTTCTATTGGGCATCTGTTTGGGTGTCGTTGCAGGCCAGAACAAGAGAGCACCGCAGGGCCGACAAAGCCAAGAAACGAATCAGATCAGCTCCAAAGCCTTTGTGGGATTGCTCTGCAGCCGGGGAATGGGCCGCATGTGCGTCCTTCACCTGCCGCCACACATTACTGAGTTTGCTATACCGAGATCCAATATTAAGCTACGCCTACCCACGAGCATGCTCGCCAAGCTGCAAAGCAAGACGGGGAATGGGAATAGCCAAAGGGGGCACACGATCCGTACTCCCTCCGTCCGCACCCGGCAACGCCGGTTCGAGACGGGCCTCCTCGCTGCTTCTGTATTTTTACTGGAAGACACATCCATTTCTTCGGCGTTTTGGCGAAGGGCCGTGCGACCTGCCGCGTCCGTGGCTTCGTGAACCGCTCGCGTCCAACCCACCCCTGCTCGAGATGCTTGGCTCCAGCTCAACTGTTGAAGGATAGTCGTATTCCCTTGGTCCATGAGCCAGCCATCCCCTCCACGCGAACCACCAGCCTTTAAGCCAAGAGGGCAGATGGAAGAAAGGACAAAAGGGAAGCATCCTGAGATGCGACCAAAGAGCCAAGAAAAACCGAATCACATGAAGAAGGAAACCAAAGACCAAAAAAGAAGGTGAAGAGCAAGGTGAAGAAGCAAGTCAAGGTCGAGAAGGTCGAAGGAAATACTGGAATCGATGGCTATTGGACGGGCAGACTTGACGCTAGGTTCCGCAAACCCCTTGCACCACCAGGCGCTTCAATTCTTTTCCATCCACGACGAGTCTTTTCTCTTTGCGGGCTTATCTCGATCCCATCGAAACCCCTCCCACCCCCGTTCTTCCCCTCTCCCCCGAAGCATCCTGCCACAGGAAACGACAGAATGGAAAACCACTAGCCCGCTGCCGAGATGGCCTGCTCACGTTCCGCATGGCGCTTCTTTCTTGGCGCATCGCACTAGCTTATCTTTCCCTACCTACGAGGGGGAGGGGGAGGGGATTGCGATTAAAAAACGAGCACCCATCCACAGCTTTGGTTTGTCACTTTTTTGTTGAGGTTGCTGTGCGCGGTTTGAATAATTGGATTTAGTTTCTTGGGTAAATCACGCCTGGGCTTCCATTTTGCCGAGTCTGCGATAATGGCTTTTTTCTGCGCTCTCCATGGAGTCGACTTAGTTGAATGGCCCGCCAAGAGGGAAAACAGGCGGGGGGGCAGATCTGATTGCGAGCCATTCAACTTACACCACCAAGCTGAACAAAAAGACGAAAACCCCCATACCAGACACGTGGAGCGAGACCGGGCCTTGCTCCAAGTATAATGCCTACTTCGTACCATTCGGATGGGATGGGACAGATCAATCGTGACGGGATGCAGAAAGCAAACTCCTCGTACAGCTGTTGGGCCAATACGCGGAACCTACGGGCACCTGGGATCTTTACCGAGTACCTGGAGGTTTTTGCTTTCTGATTGTCTTCCTCATTCCTGCTCCTTCCAAGGGATACGCGATCTTGGTTCTCTACTAGTATTATCAAATTATAATACCCCCCGAAGAGTCTGCCGTCTGCCCCTCACCCCACTTGGAGGCTTGCTCAAGGGTCTTGGCAGTACAGAATGGGGAAGGCGGTGTTTCGGAGTTTTATCCACGAACGAGGCGCAGTGATGACAGTTCCATCACGTGGATTGCCTCATTCCCTAGAGTTTCGGTTTTTTTCTTCTTTCAGCCTTTTGGCTCCCCGGGCCACCGTGCGTGGCTCTGGCACACCCGGTCGAGCCAGGCGCCTCGAGTACTAGAAGCCCGGGGGCGTCGCCTTCGACCTCATCGACCCACTCCGCCAAGCCTTACGCTGCTTCATTGCCTCATTGTTCGCCTTCCGGCCGCGCCCACCACACACCCACGCACTCACACTCACACACACACGCACACGCACCCTCGGTTCTTTCGCGAACAGAAGACCCCCGCCTCGCGACATGGATGACTCCTCCATTGCTTCCGTCCTCGCTCTCTCTCTCTCTCACATACACATTATCCCCGTAGGAATTGGGAAACTGCAAAGTAAGACAGAAATCAAATTGGCAATTGGGGGCACGCCTGCGGCCGGGAGCAGGAGCTTGTTGCTACCCACCATCTCAACGGCCGCCGCCCATCTCTACGCAATTCTTTTCCTCTTCCAGGACTTGCGATGACGTGAACGTACTCTTTGGAATCTTCCCCCGAGGATTCTCACACGCAAGGGATTTCCAATCAAGAAAATACCCAGTTATAACCTTTTCTTGTCAGGTGGGATGACTATGAATCATAATCATATAAGAGGGGGGAAAAGAAAACGAAACGAACCAAAGAAGAGGAAGAAAAAATACAAGTTCTCCTCGCCGGGTTTCCTGGAAAACCCATAGCCTTCCATACCCTGGTTGACGTCGAGGTGAGTTTAGACTTGGCGCGCAGGTGCGATTATCCCGCCAAGACTAGGAGGCGACCATTGATCCGCCGTGGAGACACCAAGAGAAGGTAACGCCCCCGCCGTTCCTCCACTCTTTCTCCCCCTTCGGCGGGGCCCGGCTTTCTGAACGATTCCAGGCGTGGACCAGATTTTGCGTGGCATGTTTGTGCACTCCATTGAGGCGCGCCGTCGACTGCTCCTGGTGGGAAGCTTTCTTCTTGTTGTGGGACCGGAGCATATCTCCCATCTCCCAAGTCAGGGCCAATCTCGCAGAAAACGCTCTCTCTCTCTGTCTGCCTTTCTGTTTCTATGTAATGTGTTATGTTTGTTTGTGTGCGTATGTATGCGTATGCGTATGCTCTTTTGCTCTTTGCTCTTTATCTCCGGCTCCGCGTGCTTCTCGCCCTTTGCACTCCTTTCTCGGTTCTCACCCCCCTTCCCCTTCCCCCAAAACCCACAATCGATAATCAGGGTCAATGTATAGCCGTGGGCGAGCCGCGAGGCAGAATGTACAAGATGTCAATCCCGGCTTGACTAGTGCGGGTTTTGAGGTCCCGTTGCTGAGATCACCCCCTTTGCTCGATACGTGGGCCCCCTCCACCGGGCTCTCAATGATACATTGCGATATCTCTCGGTTTTTTTCTCCAAAGTCTTGGCTCGGCCAAGACCGAACGACGTAAGAATGTAGAGTACAACCCAGGATTCAGAGTATAAACATATCGTCCTCCCTCGTCCACATTCACTCTCAGCCTTCTTTTTGTTTCTCTTTTTCTTTGTAGACTACCTCGACCAGGTTTCGCTTGGATCATAAACCTATCCCACGATCTTCAAGCTTCTCTTACCCCTTGTACCTATCAAGGCCCAAAAGCTTCTTTTTCCCTACCCAAGTTTATCGCAGACCCTTTTACCATTCCAATTGGTTTTTGGGGATTCCTTCTCTCTTCTTCGCCCTCTACCCTTTTCACATCACAGTCCCTTGTTTGGTCTGATCCCTTGCCCATTCCGGGCTTACACGCAACAGTAGGCCACAACAATCCGCTTATCCCCGGCTCGTAGCCTCGCCGGTCCCCTCACGCTACAAGCCCACCCACCCCTGCCACTTATACGATGGCCAAGAAGCAGGACCCCGCCATCACAAATCATGTGTCCGGTCAGTCCAACAAGCCGATCTCGGCACCGCCCCATACCTTGCCTGTGAACAAGGTCGTCGAGGAGCTTCAAACCAATGGCGACGAAGGCCTCAGCCCGGCCGAAGCTGCCAAACGCCTGGAAGAATATGGCGGAAACGAGTTTGGCGAAGAGCAGGGTGTCCAGCCCTTTAGGATCATCATGGGCCAATTGGCCAATGCCATGACTCTGGTATGTTTTGTCTCTTTATTGTTTATTTCTTCTCTTTTCTTCGTCTTGTCACTGCATTGTACCGCCTACCTTGCTCCCTCTCCCGCATTGCGCGCACCTTTACAACCTTTGGGGAAAATGACACGATCTTTTTCCCAATCGCAACCCGCCAAACACCGAAGAAGGAAAACTCTCCCCAAAAACAAAATGAATAAATAGCTAACCGTCTGTGCTTGTTTAACACGGAACAGATTCTCATCCTCGCCATGGCCGCCTCCCTTGCCATCAAGTCCTGGATCGAGGGCGGCGTCATCGCCGCCGTCATCCTCATCAACGTCACCGTCGGAGCCACTCAGGAGTTCAAGGCCGCCAAGACCATGGACTCCCTCCGCTCCCTTAGCTCCCCGACCGCCAGCGCCGTCCGCGACGGTGAAACCATGGTTGTGCCCACCGTCGAGATTGTCCCCGGTGACATGGTCGACCTCAAGACAGGCGACACCGTCCCCGCCGACGTGCGCCTGATCGAGGCCATCAACTTCGAGACCGACGAGGCCCTCCTGACTGGAGAGTCCCTCCCCGTTCGCAAGGAGGCCGACTCTACCTTTGAGGCCGATACAGGCCCGGGAGACCGTCTCAACGTCGCCTACAGCTCCTCCACCGTCACTAAAGGTCGCGCCCGCGGCATCGTCTTCGCTACCGGCATGTTCACTGAAATCGGCCAGATCGCTGCTGCCCTCCGCGGCAAGACGTCTCGTCGCCGCCCTGTCAAGAAGAAGGAGGACGGAACCGCCAACATTGGCCGCTATGGTATTGCCTACTTCCTTACTGCTTACGACGCTGTGCTCCGCTTCCTCGGCGTGACCGTTGGGACCCCGCTTCAGAAGAAGCTCTCCAAGTTCGCCATCTTGCTCTTCTTCGTTGCCATTATCTGCGCCATCATCGTGCTGGCTGCCAACAGCTTTTCCTCGAAACAGGAGGTTGTTATCTACGCTGTCGCTACTGGTGTCTCTATGATTCCCGCTTCGCTCATCGTTGTGCTTACCATCACTATGGCTGCCGGTACCAAGCGAATGGTGGCCCGACATGTCATTGTCCGAAACTTACGCAGTCTGGAAGCTCTCGGTGCCGTCACCAGTATGTCCCCCCGCTTTTCTTTTTCCTCTTCTTGTATCCATTTCCACCATTACATAACCCCTCTCCCTGCCAAAGCTAACCCTTTGTGATTTTCAAAGACATTTGCTCCGACAAGACCGGTACCCTCACCCAGGGTAAGATGGTTGTCCGAAAGGCCTGGCTCCCTGGAACGGGAACCTACTCTGTCGGCAACACCGGCCGGCCCTTTGATCCCACCGAAGGCGACGTATCCTTCTCCGAAAAGGCACCCAAGGAAACCACCTCCAACCCGGAGAAGAAGAAGGACGAGGTCATCGACCGGGTCAAGGCCGTTGAAGGCAACGAGACCCTGAACCAGTTCCTCAACGTCGCTTCGCTGGCCAACACGGCCACCGTTCGTCACGCCGAGGGCGAGGAGGGCGTCTGGCACGCGCGAGGCGACCCCACCGAGATTGCCATCCAGGTTTTCGTCTCCCGCTTCAACCGCAACCGCTTGGATATCTCGGGCGACAACCACCAGTGGCGCCAAATCTCCGAGTTCCCCTTTGATTCTGATGTCAAGAAGATGTCCGTCATCTTCGAGGACACCCAGGCCGACCAACAGTGGGTCTTCACCAAGGGCGCCGTCGAGCGCATCATCGATTCCTGCCCTCTCGTCCGCTTCGGCGATGAGGAGATTCCCATGACGGAGGAGATCAAGGCCAGCGTCTTGGAGAACCTAGAGGCCCTCGCCCGCCTCGGCCTTCGCGTCCTCGCCCTCGCCAGCCGCACCGGTATCCGCAAAGTCAGCGCCAAGGACAACGAGCTTGATCGTGCCGAATTCGAGCAAGACCTTGTCCTCCGCGGTCTCGTCGGTCTCTACGATCCCCCCGCCCGGAATCCGCACGCTCCGTCAAAATGTGTCACCAGGCCGGCATCGGCGTCCACATGCTTACCGGCGACCACCCCGAGACTGCCCGCGCCATCGCCAAGGAGGTTGGCATCCTGCCTAGCCGTACCCAAGAGATCTCTGCCGACGTTGCCAAGGCCATGGTCATGACGGCTCGCGAGTTCGACAAGCTCACCGAAGACGAGATTGACCAGCTGCCCCTCCTACCCCTCGTCATCGCGCGTTGTGCCCCTAGCACAAAGGTTCGCATGATCGAAGCTCTCCACAGGCGCAAGAAGTTCGCCGCCATGACTGGCGACGGTGTCAACGACTCTCCCAGTTTGAAGCAGTCCGATGTTGGTATCGCTATGGGACAGGCCGGATCTGACGTCGCCAAGGAAGCCTCGGATATCATTCTCACGGACGACAACTTTGCCTCGATTCTCAACGCCGTCGAAGAAGGACGACGCATGTTTGACAACATTCAGAAGTTTGTGCTCCACGTTCTCGCGCAGAACATTGCGCAGGCATGCACGCTTCTCATCGCCCTCGCCTTCAAGGATCATACTCGCCTCTCCGTTTTCCCCTTGTCCCCCGTTGAAATTATGTGGGTCATTCTCATCACTTCTGGTTTCCCTGATATGGGTCTCGGTTTCCAAGGTGCCTCCCGGACATCATGAAGCGACCTCCCCAGAACGTAAGTTTTTGAACCCTCCATGGCTCAACTTGATAACTTTTTCTAACTTTTCTCTCCACCCAATAATAGTTGAAGCAAGGTGTCTTTACCCCCGAGCTCATGCTTGACATGCTTGTGTACGGCCTATGGATGGCAGCTCTCTGCCTCAGCAGCTTCGTTCTTGTCCTGTACGGGTTCGGTGACGGCGAGATCGGCGAGAACTGCAATAACCACTACTCGGAGGGCTGCGATACCGTGTTCCGTGCCCGTGCGACCTGTTTCACTGCCATGGTATGGTTCTCGCTCTTCCTTGCTATCGAGATGATGGATCTCCGACGCAGCTTCTTCCGCATGAAGCCCAAGAGCCCCCACTATCTGACGCAATGGGCCCGCGATCTGTGGGAGAACCGCTTCCTCTTTTGGTCCATCCTGGCGGGCGTCATCTCCATCTTCCCCTGCTCTACATCCCCGGCCTTAACCGGGTGGTGTTTAGGCACGAGGGCATCTCTTGGGAGTGGGGCATTGTGTTTGTCGAGACGGCTGTGTTCTTTGCGGGCGTCGAGGCGTGGAAGCTCGCCAAGCGCATATGGTTCCGCAAGAAGGCAGCCAAGAAGACGGGCGGTGTCACTGATCTGGAGTCGAGGGTGTTTAGCCGCTACTACAGTATCGGCCGATCTGACTCGGAGACTGATACCCCGTTTGTCAAGACCAAGATCAAGGATGAGAACCAAGAGGGTTGAGCTTGGGAGAGATTATACATGGTCTCGAAACATACGAAGAGATAGAGGAGTGTGGGGAAGCTGATGGGGAAGTTCAAGGGCCGTGGCCGTTTGTTTTTGCATTGAGAGAGACAAGAGTTCTTGTGTAGGCTCGTCTTCTCTCGCCACCGTTCCTGTTTTCTTTTTCTTTTTCTTTTTGTTTCATGATTGATGATACCATTGGAAGACCCAGGGCGGGAACTTCTTGCTTTGTTTTCTGCATTGGTGGCATTGATTGCTTTAGGTTAGTTGTCGAAGTCTCGGAGGCGAAATCAGATGCCCGGCTTGATCTGGACATTGGGAAGAGGTGGGAAAGAGCCCGTTAGATGAGCGTCGTTCGTCCATGCCTCTCTTTTGGGTGAGGAGGCTCGAACGTAGAGTATAGATCTTTTGGAATCCAATCAAAAGCACTTGCTTAATTGACCATGTTTCTCGTTTTCATCGCCCGAGTATAATTGTGATCATCAGCGCCCGTTTACACCATGAAGAGTTAGAGCGATTGGCTTTAAAATTATCACCGCGCATACCATTCAAACTCCGAAGGCATCGGTGATATAACCATTAATCAAATATTGATATTGGGAAAGGAAAGAAGTCCCCTCACTAAAACTGAGACCCAGGACAGGCTGAGCCGGTATCCCCCTCATTGACCTGGACAGGCTCATCATTCAACGAGGTCGGCATCAACCACGTGGAACTCCCATAGCCCGCCGCACTCATTCACCTTCACCCATAAACTCAATTGCCCAAGATCAATTGATACATGTAGGATTTACTTGGGGGCACAAACGCAAGATTGATGACACATGGCACGGCTTTCCAATGTGTGGATCCACCGGAGACTATTCCACGAGTATCTATGCCCCACGCCAAGCGAAGCACAAGAAAGATCCATCTGTTTCCCCCTTTTTCCCTTTGGTGCAAGCAACTAGCCTTGAAGTTACGGTCTCGACTCGTTAGTTGTCTATTTCCCTCACTTCCGAGATAGCTTGATGTGGTTCCTGTACTCCAACACGAGATTTTTCCCTTTACTTATCGCTTCATGAGGGCCATCGCAAAATAGGGTTCAGTTGCCCAAAGAGCTGTCATGGCCAAGACCCGTGTGAACTAGCCGTGTGAGAGGTCTTCGTTTTTTCCGGGGGATTTTTTTCAATGTTCAGTGGAGAGGGGGAATGACATCAATGAAGGCAGTTGATACCGTCATACCCTCCTCAATTACATCAGAGAGTAGATTGGGTTAGTGGGGGAAGAGGACGGACGCTACGCTGCCTCCCTTGTTTCCGAAAACATCAAGCGATATGACGCTTGCGCGAGAGAGCATCGTCTTAAGCATGAATGATGGACAAGGCAGTTGGCGTCTCAAAGCATGAAAATAAAGAGGTTGCGTGAGAAGCGTCGTGGAGCCCATTGTATTTGTAATGGGGGTGATATCACGCAAGGTCCCGGGGACCTTTTGACGTTCTCTCATGATCGATTTCGACAGACTTTGAAGGAAACAGGTGCGAATAGGGTGGAGAAACGTGCCCCATATCCCGTTGAACTTTAGCCTCCTTTTTCTTTTCTTTTCTTTTATTTTTCTTTTCCTAACAAGCGACTTTGTTCCGTATCGTGGCGAGAGACGCAGGCGGGTGAGGGCGATTTGTCGATCTGATGGTTGCATCTAACCCATTGGATTATCGAGATTATAGGTCCTTTTGGGCGTCTACGCAAGAATTGGAGTGCCTCCCTTCGTTTATGCCCGCATCCGAATTTATGCTTCGTTGGATCATCAATTTGCAACCCGACGCAGCTATCATTTCTGACTGCGAGGACAAGTGCTTGATGTATCGTTGACGTGGTCCGGCTCGAGTCACGAATCTACATGCAAGTCATGCTTGCGGTACGTGCGTCGTGCCCAAGACCCCAAGAACCCAGCAAGCCCAGCATGTCACTCCCTCGACCCCACCTCGTCATGCCCTGGTACCCCGCTAAATCGCCTGCTTGCCAAATCGATGCCAGCAACAGCAGACAACGGCAGCGATAACGAAGCCACACACACTTGAGGTCAAGGAATGAGCAGGCCTCGATTGATACCTTGACAAGTTGGCAAGAGGACGACACGAACTGGAGAGTACCACCTGGATTGATCTTCAGATCGGTTCGGGGAAGTTCCTGCCCAGCCATGTTTCCAGCTCTGGCGCCGCTCTCTGCTCAACCCTCCCTTCCAAACCACTCAAGCTGGCGCTATTGATGTTGGCGTTGCTTTGTCTCCCAATAACACCCCAAATACTCCAAAAGCCGCACCCCTCAGTGCCTGAACACTTCAATTGTATCGGGCAGATCCTAGGATAGAACTGTGGGCAGCGACAACTCATCGCTTAGCCGTTTGCCGCGCCCTCCGACAGATCCATTGCTACGTTCGATTGGGATTTATCCCTCACCTATCGCTTCTCTTCCATCTTCCCACCCTGACATCAATCCGTCCCATATTAGGTCCCCTTGACCTTTTGGCTTAGCTTTCGAAACAGCCTCCCCATAACCGATCCTTCAAATACCTCTCTTCTGCCTCGATAGCCACCTGACCACCATCCCCTCCTAGCTGTCCCTCCCCCACCTTCCCTCCTTCCCCAACCTCCATTCCCAAAACTTCTTCCTGGCCAAGCATACCACTCAAAAAGCGCACAGCCTCTCGCCTGACACACCACCCTCGAAACCTTGAAAGAGCAGAACAGTTCCTCGTCCCTTGCCCGGTCTCGTTTTTGGGTCTTCCCAAGTTTAGCTTGCTTCACCTTCCCAAATCACCTGTTCGTGCGAGAGACCCCCGGAGAACGCCAATACCCGACTACTCATACGGCGCCCACTTTTTTCTTTTATAGCACTCCACGCGACAGGGAATCACGTTTTGCTGTCGAGGTCACTTGGGGGCGTCCGTCCTAGGCTCAGAACATAGCGTTACAAGTTCCCTCCCTCCAGGTCCATCATTTCTCTCTCCATATCTTTCTCCCCTAAAAACAACTCCTACCCGCTGTGGCGCATACCAGACTGTCTCCAAACAATACCCCGCAACTCTGCCAGTATTTGTCTTCAAGTCAACCTGCCACATTCGATTTAGTCACTACCACTTTTTCGACCTCACACGCACACAACCGCACGTCCATTCATCTGTCCCCACGAGCACTTTTAGCAACCGAGGAAAGCGCACAAAACGCAACGACCACAACAACACACTTGCTCCCACTAGCTTCAGCCTCTCTCACGAGCACACTTCGTATATACCAACACAACACAACGCAACAATGGCTTCGATCTCGAGCCCGACTCTTCACTCCCCGCGCACCCATATCCTAAGAGGCCAAGGGGTACGTTTTTAGAGCTTCCGCAAAGAAAGCCTCCGCCAAAGCCCCTCCCTCCCCTCCCGGCCGCAGTCACTCCTTTGATGGGATGAGATTGAGTACTAACCCTCTCCTCTTATATCCACAGGCATCCTGAAGAACCCTTCTCAAACCTCGCCACCTGTCTCTCCCATCTCTCCGAGTGATCGGAGCCTCAGCTCCAAAGAAGTGACCATCGTCAACACCCAATACAACGCCGGTCACCGCCGATCCTCCTCCGGCGCTCAGCCTCGCCGCCTGTCGAGCCGAACCCCTTCCCACCACGGCGACGAGAATCCCGACGAGCCATCACAGCGCCTCAAGTGGGATGAGGCAAACCTTTACCTCACTGAGCAGGAGCGCACCTCCACCATGAAGATTACCGAGCCCAAGACACCCTTTGCTAAATCTTACGATCCCCTAGAAGATCCTAGCGACGACGATGAAATCATGGGTGAAGGCCTGGGCGAGTCGGTCACTGGCGACACTTACTTTCAAACTGGCCCGGCTCAGCGCTCGCTTCGCCGCGAAGAAAGCATTCCGAACTTGGACCTCGGCGAGCCCGAAGAGGGGCTTCCCGCGTCCCGCCTGTCACCTCAGAAGGAGGACGGCGACCACCGCCATGTCGCTGTGCATGTGGATAACGCCGCCGGCTTGGACGATGACGACGAGACGGCGGGCATGTCGCCCGAAGAGAGGGAGAAGCACCGTCGGTTTGAGGAGCTTCGGAAGAAGCACTATGAGATGAGAAATGCGGTCCAGCTTCTCGGACACCCCGAGGTTGCTGAGGACGACGACGACGACGATGATGATGATGATGACGCTGATCGTGCTGCGCCTTCCGCCTCTAATCCGGTGCCTCCCATGCCTACGATCCCCGCTGCGTATCAACCCACAAACGGCTCGGCGTAGCCGCGACGTGTAGCGGAATGATTAGCCTCCTTGGCCAGGCCTGTAGGATGGTGACAGGAGTTTTCCTGTATCAGGAGCCACGCAACTTTGCTCTATACACGCACACTGAACTCTTATCTACTTTGCTTTCTCGCCCTCGGTTTCCCTTCTTATTTCGCTTTCCTCTAACTGGAGGGTTTCTTGCCGTTCTCTACCTCCCTTCATCTACCGAAGTCTCTCCTCCCTCGCGGGACATTTTATGAGCGGCGTTTGTTTCTTTTTGGGCGGCTATCCCTGTTTTATGCCTGAGACGCTTATGTCTATTGATTCCATCCTCCATCGATTTGTACCATCTTCGCATTGACGTCATGACCCTTGGTGAGGTCGTCCTCCTAGGCCCCATCCTCACCAGCTTTAGCATACAATTACAGCACTTCCCCCTTTGTCCGCATTCCACCCTTTTCTTTTCCCCAGACACTAGTATTTGATAGTACGAGGTTGTTTTGGATTGGTAGGGGTCTTATCCGGGTCGCACACAGGACGGTCTCTTAGCACTAGATTTATCAGCACAATGTGTTCTCGTTCCCAGAGCCTTCAAGTAACTAATGATTCTTCTGTTGTTCCCCTGTGTTCCTCCTCACGCGTCAGGTGAAGCGCTCCTAGAGTGTATGTACAGTACTGGTTCGTAGCGCCAGCATGTCGTCTTGCTTTACTTTGCCTAATATACCAACGCAGATATCTATGCTCTGTTTGTGATTCCCGAACGCCGGCGTTATTCCGCTCCCTCTTGCCTCTCTCACCTGCCATCCTTTCCAACATGCACAGAGCTATGCTTCTTGCTGACCCTTCCTTTGACTTGCAGTCGCGCGCCAGAGACTTAGAAGAAAAGAAGAAAAAAAAAAAAAAGGGACAGAAGAAAAGCGTCAACCGAAAAGAAAAGAAAAAGTCCAACAAAAAGGCACCAAACATCACATCGCCTTAGGCATTTCTGCTGTTAGGCCCTAATTATATCAACCCCTTGCGCGCGAGTTCTACTTTTCTCGCCGCCTCGCCGAGCTTGAAGCCACCCTTGGATACGCAAATCTTGGAACCTTCGCCGAGCTCAAATTTTTCCTGGTGGTTGGGCCAGGCGCAAGGACAATGGTGAGGGAAATGGACACATGCTAGTTGGTTCCGTGTTAGCCTCTTCTCTCTTCCTCGGTTTAGCCCAGGTTTTAAGGCCAGGCGCGGAGGGGTGGGTAGAGCGCCTGTGACCTGCTAAAGGGGTAGCAGAAGGGCATCGCCTCCTTGGTAAAGAAAAAAAGATAATAACAAGATAGAAGGAAAGAGAAAGAGAGACTAGCTGCATACCTAGGGTATCTGGGCAGAGATACTTGTCGCAGTATGCTGTTCAATAAAGAGGGTGCGTTAGTATGTAAGGCACGCGACACATTCTCTGAAAGGGTTGGGAGGTCTATTTGTGACAATGACGTAGGGAGTACTAGTCGTTTTGGGAAGAAAGACCTGGGGATTTCTTGAAGACATGATTGAGACAAAAAGAGAAGAATCAGGCAGGAAAGAAAAATACAAAAGAAGGATAGGGGGTAGCGCGAGTTTCATTGGGACGAGGGGAAGGGGATGATTCTACGCACATGCTTCGTAGTTGTGTCTATATACGGAAGCGTCGCTAGGCACGTTTTGCTGGCGCTGTTGTTGGTGGTGGTGGCCACCTTGGTCATGCCCACCGAACATGTGGTCGAAGAAGCCGCCAAATTGCGCGGACGCCGCCCCGACGAGGGCGAGTAAGACAGGGATAGAGCGCATCGCTTTTGCGTAGAGATCGCTGGGGATTACGAAGAGGGGTTTCGTATCGCGAGGGCGGAGGAGCGCTGAAGTTGAACGGTTGTGAGGATTTGGTCAAGGTAAACGTACGAAGTGCAATGCTGTCCCTAATGAGCCAGTCAACGAGTTCAATATACATAGCACGGGCGCATCCTCTCTGGAAGTTGCATTGCTGGCAATTATTTTCTTATCGATAAGGCATAAAGGAGGATAAACAGCAAAGCTCCCATCATGACTCAGCAAAATTGTCAGGGGTCTTGAGTGGCTGGTAGACGCTGTATTAGTCATCTCAATTGAGAAGGGATGAGAGCAAAATCAATCTGCCCATCCGACAGGTGCAGCTCGCAAAGGGGAGGAAAAAATATCGAAGCTGTATCTCGCGCCCGCGACTCGACACCGAGGACGACCCTCCACTTTCCCCACCCACCGCCTCGAACATATAGCGGAATATAAAACACGAGTGATCCGGAAACGAACCCGAATATATCCGATAAATCTAGTAGTCGCCCCCGATGTCATTAACTTCGCTGCAGCGGCCCTTGGGGCGGCCGCAGCGGGACTGGCGTCGAGGCTGCTGCTGACGACAAGCTGGGTGCCGCGCGGCGCGGCGTTGGGAAACGTGATTGTTGAGGGTAGGAGAGGTGCCAAGGTCAAATCGCAGGGACACTATGCGTTCAAGCCCAAGAGGACGATCCCCAAAAAGCTTGGTGCGAAGAGGACAGGAGGTAGGCTTCTTTTCCTTTTTTTTTTCTCCTTTGATTTCCTGGTGACTTCCCTCATCTCTCCCGATGACCAACTTTCTGGAGCTCGACTGGTGCTATGGCGGACCGTGGTTTACAAGAGGGGAGAAACATCCTTTTGGAATATGTTGCCAGATGGGTGCTGCCGAAGCAAGCACGCCACAGAGCCTTTTAGTCGGATGGGCGTGATGACAAGCTCACCAAATAAGAGGAGAAATCGCACCGCAAGAAGGATTGTCGATAGCTAACACCCTTGGCCAACCTAGACCAATACGTGATTCCCGGAAACATACTTTACAGGCAACACGGTACGCACTGGTGGCCCGGCGAGAACTGCATCATGGGCCGTGACTTCACCATCCACTCCATGGCCTCCGGCTACGTCAAGTACTACCGCGACCCAGCCCTTCATCCCGACCGCAAGTACATTGGCGTCGTGTTCCGCAAGGAAGACACGCTGCCGTATCCGAAGCACGCTGAGCGCAAGCGCCGGCTGGGCATGGTAGCGGCGCCCATGCGCGGAACCGCCCGCGAGCCGGAGCTCAGCAACTCTGGTATCCCCAACGTCGTGCGTAGGGTTAACCCGGACCGGCCGCACGCCGATCCCCAGGTCCTCACGCTCAAGAAGGACTATACCTACCGCGAGGACAACTGGCGCATCGGCCGCCTCGTCCAGACCACAGGCCTACAGATCAAGGGTTACAAGAGCAGGAAGGCGTACCTCCGTCACAGGCGGTGGGCTCAGGACAGGAGCCTCGCCGGCCTGAAGAAATTACGCGCCAAGATGGATGAGGAGGATGCCAACGAAGAGTGGGTTGTTGCGGCTAGGGAGAAGGCCGCGCAGTTGCAGCAGAGCAAGAAGAAGGGCCACACTAAGGGCAAGAAGGGCAAGAATCCCAAGAAGAGGTAATGGATAGCCGCGATAGAGTGAGGTGGGGTGCGAGTGAAGCCTTTAGAGCCCTCCCGGACGGAACGGGGCGGGTTGAATAGCAGAACTTGAGAGCAGGAGGGGCGGAGGGGGCCGATGTACGATTAGCCTGTGTAACTACTTGGAGTGTACAATGGCCTGTCATATTATGTGGATTCATAGACTTTTGGATGCCCACATCCTGATACAACGTTCGAACTTGATAGATGCACAATGACCTACCTTGTCTTGAATAAGAATTGGTTTTGTTTTCTGCTGAATCCTATCCTCCGACTCGCGCATGCATCTACCGTGCTCGACGAGCAAGTCGGGACACACCTCGGAAGCATGCCATTGGGAGAGACGGGTAAACGTCGCTGCTGGTGCTGTCTCGTTTTGCAACTGTTGACCACCTTGCAGCTTCAAGCTCAAACAATGGCGTGTTCTCCAGGACCGTCACCGCATGGACCGGAGATTCTATAACACGGGATAGAGGCTACGACATGTTGCTAGCGCTATTAATTACTCAACATTCCCCAAGATTTAGCAGGCGAAGATCGAGGGCATACTCGCCTCGCTACATCCCTTCCCAGCCTGCTCTAGCAAAAAACGTGAGCCAGTGGGCTGGGCAGCACGGTTAGGCAGCTGATCCTGCCTGTCAGGCGTCTCGACTGGCAGAAAGTCCGAAACATACTCGCAACGCGAGATGGTGATGTAGTATCTCGGTGTGTGGGGTTAGAATGAATCCAGACGCCCTATTCCTCCTTGTTGATCTATAGTGCCAGGGCCGCCAATTTCAACAGCAGCGCCGGAGAGCGATGGGGGCAAGAGCTGGCCCCCAATACAGAGGAGTCGCCTAAGCTTGAACATAGATAAATCACGGACTTGGCGTTTCTCTATCTTTAACAGCCAGCAGCGGTTGACATATAGTGGATGAAGAGAAAACCGCTTGATGCTTCTAGCGTTTTTGATAGTGGGGTCTCGGTCAATGTCACTACACTAGCGGCTTGAGCCAGATACATAGCTGAGCACTCTCTATCACGATCTGGTGAGAATGGAAATTGTATGGACAAAAATTCGGGTGCCCTGGAGGGAGTGCTCGGCCGTGAGAGGCTGCAAGGGCTTGTCTACAAGCCAATTCTTTTGAGACTGGAGCATAGTATGGCGGTTGGACCTGGAAACTGCTAGCAGGGTGCTATTGCCGTCGCTTTGGTGTCCAGCTAGCCAGTGATAGCACAATCATTTGCGCCAACTGGCTGTCCGGTTCTGCGCGACTTCGCGAGACAGGAACGACTGATCAGTGGGTATCAGGTTCTATTTTAGTTTCTCTTTCTATCGTCGGGCCTGGAAGGTGATGAAGAGATTGGCCTGATAGCGCTACCACCGTAGGCGCGGCGCTCCTCTCCTCCGACTCCTATGACTACTGTGCCTAAGTTCAGGCGGCAACGAAGGCGGGGATAGTATAGGGCAAGTGGGAATACAAAAAATCGGATCTAAGTTACCTTATCCCTTTCCCTATAGTCTACGTATACACTCAGTCCAGAGGGTTGCATTGATTCTTATAATCCATCGCTGCTGATCGCCTCTTCCTTTCCACTTTCATTTATAAATGGAATGAAGGCTTTATTGAATGAATGCATGTATTATTGTCCTTTCTTCATTTGCCCTCTCTATGTTGGCCTTATAGCTGACAAGCCGGGCTTATCATTTCTAATCTTTTCCCTTCTTTTCTTACTTATCTCACTTCATTGTCCCCTTTCTTGGTACATGTTGTGTCACCCTACCCCTTGCATATCATTATTACTCTTTCCTTGGCTCCCCTGCTGCTAGCACTCCCTTCCGCGAGACGACGGAGCTCTGCGCCCTCGTTACCTCCTAATGTTTCTTCGAGGAGAGACTTCCTACTTCGTATCTTCGCGTTGACGTTAGTGGCCTACGGAGCAGAGATCAATGGATGATGAGCTTCCCGGAAACCTTGAGAAATGTTCGGCAACCTTGGCTCGGGCTTAAAAGCCTCGAGTAGTATTTAAACAGTGCTCACAGCGCTGAAACGAGCTCTATGTTGAAGCTCCTCAGTGTTATATAGAAAACTTAAAGTTATAACACTAAGTACCTCGTATAAATAGTGTTAAAATAAAAACGGAAATAAGAGAGACGGATTATAATCAGGGCTGTAATATGAGTATTTATGATTCTATAACTTTTGATAATACTAGTTTACTATAGCTTTTTTATAAAAATATAAAAATAGTATCTTCTATTTAAATTACTTTAATTTTATTACTTATCAGTGTATTTTACTTCATTATCTAATTTATATACTTTAAATACTTAGATCTGTTTTGAATCATTTATATCATAGAAGCCCCACTTTAATATATTACTCTACAGGGATCGAAAGTATTCGAAAGGGGGTGTAGCCTCCAAAATCAGCGTGATATGCATCAGCTGTTGGTGGCTGAGCGTTCGATTATGCTGTTGGTTCTAGAAGGAGACTGACACCGCCGGCATCTTCTATCGCACCCTGGAAGCCCCCCTTAGGCCTGAAATACGGGCCCTAATCAACCAATCGCTTTGCGCTTCCCCTCCCTACAAAGCGGTACCACACTCTTGCCCTCCTCCAACATCAAGAACATATCCCTGAACCACCACCAAAAAGCCCTTGCCAGCATTTGAAACGGCCTGTGGACGCAGCGGGTTGGCCGGGGCCTCATCGCTCAATTTAGATCTTCGAAAGATCTTTTCCTCGATCTTTAATCTAGGCTAGGATTGAGCGTATTATTAGGTGACACAGAGGTTTATTAAAGAGGCCTTGCCGTCATCTCTAGATTTGAGGCCCTGGTCCCTCCGGCTTTGGGACTTCAAGGATCTATAAACGATTCAGGGTATATAAAATGAAACCTAGGCCCACCTTTATAACCCCTAGCGGCATTTTTTTCAGCTTATAGCCTGTCTCAAATCAGGCGTAGTCAGCAACTCCTTTCCTTGATCCACGATTAGTCAGTGAGGAGCTAACTGTTAAAGGGGGCAAAAAAGTGGGCTCGGCTCCTTTACTTAGACGAGATGTCAACAGCTTCGGACGACGACGACGAGTTTTCAGAGGACAATGTGCTTAGCACTCTCTTCCCAAGTCGCCTAAAAACCATATCGCCGCAGAAGCCCATCGTGGCTCCGTCTCAAAGCCCCGCTGGAGCGGCTCTTCCCGTCGCCCCCGTCGTCGACGGCGGCGCGCCCCAACCCGTGGCGCACGTAAGAGCCGCCCGTCTCTCGGACCACGCGCGCATCCAAACTGCGCAGTCCCTTTGGATGGGCGCCCAAGATGGGACTTCTGAGCCTCAGCGGCCGTGGCAACCCCAGCAGCACCACCAATCTCAGTCCCCGTCACAGCACCAAAATGGTAGCATCAAGAGGACGAGACCGGGAGAAGATGCGGCTAATAGCTCTAAACGGAGGGTGACTGACTGGCCGATGACTACTAAGTTCGAGGTGCCGAGTCCGCACGCGCCAGGGAGCAGCACAGCTCCCGAGGCAACTCACCCGACCTTGAAAGGGGGTCCAGCACCGGCCGTCCAGCGCGTCGGTCAATGCCGAGCGGCAGGCTCGAGGCTCTGACGCTGGCGGTGCCAGTTATCGACATCACAGATAGCAGTGACGGGGGAATCCACGCCCTCTTCCGCACCGCCTCATAGTATATCGACGGCTGGTGGGGCCTCTCGACGGGCCCCTGGCGTCGTTGGTGGACTCTCCCAAACTCCTGCGTCCGCGACGCCCTCGTCGTGCCTCCCACAAGGTCGACACCTCCCGTTGTGAACCCCACAGCGACGGCACCTCCTATCGTGACTCCCGTGCCAGTGCCACCGCCGTACGGGGGCTCCTTCTGAATCGCCCCCTCCCAAGCCACCAGCGCCGACGCCCTCTTCCGAGCCCGCAAAGGTGGCTCCCATTTCTCTCTCAACGTCTAAGTCCAAAAGGTCCTATCTTGTGTGGAGTAGTGAGTTGATTTCCCAAAGCTTCCTCTGGCACATCTGCTGCCATATCTCTTGTCACAGATAGCCCCTCTCCCTTCATTGGAGATGGTGTCCCGTTCCCATCAGTCCTTCTAACGATCTACAGCTCCCGATGGTGGGATGCGCACGACGTGTGGTGCCCTCCTTCCCGATGGCTACCGGGTAGACGATGGGTCGGAAAAGCCATATCCTTGCCCCATCGATTCATGCGGTAAACGATTCGGCGATCTCAGGGGAGTAGGTGGACATTTTCAAGTGCGTAGGCGACCCGCCCCCCCTTCTCCTTCCTCTCCTTCTCCTCTCGTTCTCTCCACTGCCCTAGCCCTCTACCCTGCCATGGTTCTAATACATCTGGGCTGTTTAAAAGGGTGCCCATAAAAGGTGTTGCTCAACGACAATTGTGACACTCCTGGCACACTAACGATCGTGGGCTACAACCCTGAAGGGGGCCTGCCCATCATAGTGTCGCAGAACCCTCGGCAGCCCAATAGAGCAAGTCCCAGGGGAGAGCAGGGGCAAGTCGTTGGTGGGGACCCGCCCCACGCTTCAAAATCCAGTGCCGTGAGGACGCCAGCCACGGCTCAACTTACTAACGTTCCACCACCACTACCCACGCCGCGTACTGTTGTAGCACCGTCCATGGTGACGACAGAGGTACAAATGGCGAACATGTTGCCTAGCATTGAGGCAAATCTCCAAGTGCTCCAAAGTGCTGGCCTCAAGATGGGGTTTTAGAATCCCATATCCTGTGGCCCAAGCTGAAAGCGCTTCCGTGCAGGCGCTCTGCGCCCAGCAAGCTGAAGCTGGGGATGGGCCTCCAATGCTCGGCCTCATCTTATACCTCGCAGGCGTCGAGGCGCCGAGGTCTTGCAAGCCGTGTATGGAGCCCAACAAGAAGTCGCTGTGTATCGTTGGCGACGACACTCTCCCGCCGGACGTTGCTGCCTTGTATGGCGGGTCCTGCGCCATGTGCTACTACCGCCACAAAAAATGGCACCAGCAGAACAAATGCACGCTCGAAAGCTTTACAGGGGCCGAAGCCCTCAACGGGCCACCGACCCGTAACGGCGGCAATGGCACCACCGGCAAGGGCACGGACAACAGCGAGTATGGAAGCGACGAAGATTCCGCCCAGGACAACTCCAAGGCCCCTCCGAGATCCTCGCTCATGGTAACCCTCCGCCCTGGCCCACTCGCGCTCACCTCGTTAACCGCCGCTTTCCAGATGCAGTCCGCAGCCGCCCGCGGTGAGGAATCCGATAGACGTATTCCTGCCGCCGGGAGCAATGGCAATAGTGGCATGAGTGGCCCTACCCGTACCAACGGCGGTGGTGAAGAATTGCGCGCTATTGGGAACAGTGTGGCACCAGATATGCTAGTTAGCCAAGACTGGGAGTTTGCCCCAGGTTTCAGGCAAAGTAACGGGCCCCACAGAGAGTCAGTTTTCAATCCTCGCCGTCATGGCCTCTCGGTTTATCATTTTTGTTTTCTAACTAACGCTCCTTGGCCTTTTAGACATCGCCTTCTCCAACTCGTATCTGATCTCGAACCGATCAGTCAGGGTTGCTGACGGTCTCGGCTTCAACGTCACATACTTGTTGCCGGGTGCCAAGCTCAAGTTGGGAGAGGACCACAATAACTTGAGGATCTGCTCCGTTGCCACGGGTGTGGCAAAAGTCAAACTGGGCGACGATCCCGAATTCACCATCGGCACAAGCGGCATGTTCAAGATCCTTCCGGGGTCCTATGCAGGCTTGAAAATCGGCTTTACATCACGACTATTCTGCATGTCACCTCGGTCAGCACGTGCTGAGGAGGAGTCTTAGACTGCGCCCATGCATACATCTACTAGATCAATTGATCGATGTAGCAAGGCCCGTCTTGGTCCGGGCCGTGTACACCACCCTAGTTCTATTTCTTCTCCGGATCCCGCCTTGAGCGCGAAACAGCTGTTTTATTCCCATTGCTTTCAAATGTAATACCTCCCTTTCTTTACATTACCCTCTACCCCTTTGGAGCGTTCTCGTTCTTTTGTACCATACCTCGACGCAGCCATTGAGACTTGTTAGTTTAGTTTTACGATTTCAAGAGGGCATCGCTTTTCGATGCAGGGACTTTTTATGGTGTACGGTTGGGTTTTATAGAGGCCGTCGACGCGGTCCAGGACGTTTTCAGGCTTTACTGCATCATGTGCTTGCGTCAACATTAGCGGAAGGATTTGATAGGCCTACACCCGAGTTTTGTAGCATTCAATCCATGCTCTATTATTATTAGAGGCTTTTAGTGTGATTGTTGAGCTAGCATCAAGTGTTTGCCTATCTGTAAAATGGAGTGCATGCCGCGAAGCAGGACGGTATTCATTATCCGTAATGTGATGGATGATCATTTTGATCTTACAATGGATCCATTCATCTAAGCAACTACCGAGGTAGAGCTGGTGCGACATTCTCGTGTTGTTGAACAATTGATCAGTCAAGCTTCTTTTTGGCCCCCTTGTTGTTACTGCTATGTGCTCTGTCAAAATGCAAGGTTGGCGTGCTTCTAGGCAGTAATATTAGTGGCTGCTCGTGACTTGTTCTAGGGCGCCTGCCTCTTCTTTGTAGGGGATGTGTGGGGCCGTCAGGAGGAAGGTGCTGGCCTGGCATTTGATCTCGGTGTCTCCCACGTAATACATCGCAGCCATGGCGAAGGCCAGCCCTCTATCGCTTCCTTACGCACTTCGTTCCTTGAAAATCTATTCAGATTAAATTGCTTGCGCAGAAGTGCAGCCGAATTTCCCCATGCTGGTGTTTACACCTCCCTACCTAACAACTCGTATCTTCTGGTGTGCCTTTCCCTTCGTCCCAAAATTCCCCTTTTTCAAGGTGGGGAAGCTTGTGTTCGGCAAGGCAAGCCCAGGTGATCACGACACCACCACACACCACCAAAACCAGAGTCACTCCAAGACATGGGGAGGGGCCAACTCGGCTCAGCTGGCACCGCCAAACACTCGGCGTGCACTCCTTCTTGGCCCGGGGATTGTTATTCCTTAGCTTTCCTGGGCTGATGCGCATGTGCAGGGCAGCTCTCCACCCCGTGATAGCTGGGCATGGCACTCGAAATGTGCTGAGTGGGAAGCGCGTTTGTCTGGCGGGTTGAATTATTAAGCTTCGCAAGGAAGTTTGGAGGGTGTGTCCCGTGAGGGGGACATGGAGCTTGATCCCTCGTGGGAAAAGCTAGGAGGAAAATGAACCGTTTATAGCGCTTTTCATTCATTCTTTACTCTCCATCTTTGGGGTTTCAACTTTCGGTAGTTTTCTGAATATTCTCCCCTTTCTATTTACCTTTGCGAAGCTTAAAACCCAGTGTGGAAAGACATAGGATGGAGCTGTCTCGAGAGGAAAAATGATGACCGGAGCAAGGGCCGGCTCGGAGCCGATCCCAGCAAGTGGAGAATTTGTCGACCCCACCCCAGCGGCTCCAGCTCCGGCGAGCGCCCCAGCCACGGAACGCGATCACAACGAGGAGTCGCAGAGGCCACACGAGAATGGAGAAGCCGCGGAGATTCCTTCAAAAACTCAATTTGTGCAGGTTGATGGTTCCGTCGGTGGGACCGGATACGACGAGACCTCGGTAGAGTATGTTGCCTTGCCGTCTTCGCCAGCGCGTGGGTTCCTATACACCAGGGAAAGGGGGAGCAGGTGTCGCAAAAGGAGAGAAAGAAAGTCAAGAAGAGGAAAGTCGAATCGAAACTAACAAGTGAGCCTCTACAGCGTCATAACCGTGCCATGTCCTGGCGCTGATCCACTAGAAACCTGGTCCCGCGATGCTTTGGTGGAGAATTATTTTGGTGCCCCCTCGATGAGGAGTTCTCAGCGTAACTCCGATATGCGCGATAGCCAGAGGAGTGGCCGGACGAGAGCTAGCGCCAACACAGCAAGGACGGGCCCTACAGCTTCACCGAGCTGGGTGAGGCTTGGCGTGAGAAAGGAAGCCCCTCGTGCGCGAGTGCTGATGTACGGACACCGCGAGCTTAGCGAAGGGACAACGTTGAGCCGGCTGGCGGATGATCTATTACAGCAGGTGCTGGACCTACGACTTATGAATGTTAGTAACAAAAAAACATTTTCCCTACCAGCTACTTAACCATGGGTCGAGTTTTCGGTTGCTAACCCGAGCATAAACATGTCTGCGGGATGTGCAGGCCTCTTCGAGACCTATCTTCTTCATTTGTCATAGTCTAGGAGGCTTAGTTGTCAAGATGGCCCTGGCCAAGGCTAGGAGAAATCCATTATATGAGGGGATTGCGGATGATTGTTATGGGGTTGCTTTCTTTGGTATGGAAACTTGTCCATTATCCACTTCCAAATTCTTCGCACTGATTAACACGATGTTAGCCACTCCACATCGCGGATCTAACTATCTGAGTATGCCGGACATCTCATCCAGCATCCAGAGCCTCCTTCACTTATCACAGCCTCTTCCCAGATCCATAACCAATGAACTCCGCGTTGGTCACACTTTGCTTCTCCATATTGATGAGGAATTTCGCGTCTTGGCGAGTGACCTTCAGGTGTGGACATTTTACGAGACGATCGAGTCTCGAATCTCTGGCCAGGCCGAGTCTCGTCCCGGCGAAGTCTACTTTACCACTTCCATCACCTCTGTCAAGTCCGCCATCCTCGGAATACGCCAGGAGACTATTTACCCGCTGCAGAGCGATCATGCCAACTGTGCGTCGTTTGGCAAAAACAATGCCCAAACGATGAAGCTGTTCCTTAAGGCCCTGGCAAAATGCATCACAAGCGCGGACGAAAATAGCGGGGGCAAAAATCACACGCCTATGAATCTAGAGCAAAAGGTCCCTATTGAGGTGCATGGCTTCTACGAGGATCCCGTTGCCGTCACCAACATAGAGACGCTGACGACGATCCGGGCCTGGTCCACCAGGGTAGCGCTCAAAGACTTTTTCGACAAGGGTCCGGTGGAGTGTATAAATGACCGTCTTAATGAAGTGAATGACGGCCCTACCGACGAGCAGTACATGGCAGCGCGTCGACGCACCACCAGACTGCAGGAAAGGGATTTGCCCTCTCCTCCCGCTCTCGAGCTTGGCGAGAATTTGCTTGGGATCGGTGAAACCCTCCATGATGGGCGAAGTGCAAACTCGGAGACTGCACTACTATCTAAGCCATCCCCCATGTCCGAAACTAGTCCTATAGGCAGCCCGAATCTTGCTGCGGCGAATGGTGATGAACGTGGCAGGTCAGAGCAGATCCCCGAACCCGAGGCGGTACGAAGCCGGTCAACTAGTGGAACGCGCACTTCGCGCGCAAAAGGGGTCGATATCGAGTCCCCTAGGTCTAGGAGGAGGGTGGCGCTCACACGGAGGTTTACAGACCAGTTTAATGCCAAGTGGACCGGGCCGCTGGAGAGGACCTTCTTCCAAGGGTCCCCATTTGGCCCTAGCCCTTTGATTCCGGCCACCGATCCTCTGATTCCCGTCTTTGCAAAGCCGGACGAGAAGAACAGACGGTTCATCTGGACACACTTGCCGTTCACTAACCCGGCGTGGGTAAAGGTGAGTAACTCAACTGTCATTTGTATTTCCATGCTCGGTGTGCCGTAACTGACCACCTGGGTTGCAGAAAGTGTTTGAGACCCTGCAGGTTAAGGAAGGAAAGGACTTTACGGAGTTGTTTAATCACGGCCAATGGTACTCGAAGCATACCCGAGGACGGCATTCTCAGCACTACGCTTTCTTTGTTCGACCAGCCTGCAATCTGATTCCACCAGCCCCAAGTAAGTCTGACAAGTCCCTTCTGTTTGCTTCATATTAGTTGGTTTTCTATGTTCTCTACAATGCTTTCTAACGCTCGCTACCCAACAGTGTCACCCCTCTCGAACAGAAGCTCTTTAGTGGCCATGAACGAGCCAATAGTCTACCTTTTCCTCCCATTCCTTCATTTTGACTCTTACAAGAATCTTGTGCGCCGCAGAAATCTGATCAGGCGTCGTCTCCGCCAAGGGAGAGCCAGACCGGTTCCTCAAAGCGTTGCCCGACTCGACTCCACGGAGCTCCAGGTCATATGGGAATTCTTAGGTTACGACCCGCCTGTCAACTGTAGACGGACACTAGATCAGTATGGATACCCTTCGCTCCATGACACTCGGCCACGGGACGACGACCAAATGCTTTACAAAATGACCAAGGAACGCATATCGCTCTCGGAGCTTGTGGGGCCAGACACGTATGAGAATCCGAATGAAGTCAAGGACTCTAAGTCAACACGGGGATCGCGAAGGGAAACAAGCTCCCTTCATGCTACTACATTGGAGGACGATTGTGAGAGCAGTGACGAGGAGCTGTCCGCAGAGGTGGAGGCAGATGTGCTGAACGGAAACGTGCTTATGGTGGACCAGCTGTGGATGTGGGTTATAGGACCAAGTAAGTTGCTCGAGAACCCTCGTCGTATCAACGTAATCCTGCCCATCGCTACCCGGCCGATAGCTGACAAGAAACTCTTGCCTAACAGACTCCCTCGTAACATTCTTTTCTCGGCGCGAAAGCGACCCTGCGGAGGGCCCACTTTATCAACAGGCAGATCTCCGTGATAGCATCTTCAACGATGTGAACTCGGACGTCACCCGGCAGTGTGAGTCCGCTCTCGATATGGCTGCGCTTATTGCCCTCCACGCTGTAACCGTGCTCCTTGACCGGGCCTCTCACCCCGATCTTGAAGTGTTTCGAATCTTTGAGGAGGCGATCAGTATATTGGTATGTAGAGTCGAACCATTCTTTGCCCAAGAGTCAAGCCTCCTGCCCTTCACTTTCTAAGTTCGCGTTCAATGCTAATTCCCACACTTGTAGACGGAAAAGATGACATCATCCTTGAAGGACTTTAGGACACAGGGTCTCCGCGATAAGTCTCTTGATGAAGAGCCAGTTGAGAACAAACCGCGCTCGATACGCGCCCGACATCAAGAAGAGGGCGAGCGCGTTTTGCACGAGAACAGAGACTCTACATCGGCACTCTTGGAGCTTCGCGATATTGAAGACGAGTTGTCCACCTTGTACTCCCTCTTCGACAAGCAAGAGAAGATGATTGGGGCGATGCGGAACGTTTACCGCCGTATCGACGCCCCCGCGACGGGCGTGTCATTCTTGACCGAGGCTCTCGGCAGGCTCTCCGAGTACAAGCAGCGGACGGCGGAGATGATCAAACGGGTGCGGGCTACACGCGATGATTACGATAAGCTCCTGCAAATGGTGCAGCGGCAGGCTCAGGTCGACGAGGTCCGGCTCCAACGCCTACAGACAGATGTGGCCAGCGCGCAGAGCCGCAGCGTCATGATCTTCACCGTCTTCACCGTCATCTTCCTCCCGCTCAGCTTCTTCACCTCGCTCTTTGGCATGAATACACAAGAATGGGGCGGCGAGAACTTCCCCAGCCTATCGACGATTGGGTTCATCGCCATCCCTTCGTCCGCATTCCTCATCGCCTTTGCTCTTGTGACGGCCTGGAGCACGCGCATGCGGCGCTTCTTCGTTTTTGTCGGCGAATGTGGCGCTGTTGTCCGGGCTCGCGTGGTCGAGGTGCTCGACACGAGCCTCTTGCTGGCGCCCTTCCGCCGCTGGGAGGATGCGCGCCGCAAGGCGATGCGGGAGGAGGCGGCCCGTAAGAAGAAGAAGGCGGCCGCAGCGATCAAGGAGCGGCGCAGGCTAGCCAAGGAGCTTAGCGCGGACTCGCAAGACTTTTGGGAAAGGCACCGGCTAGAGAGGGAGCACGCGTACAGGATTCCCGTAGCGAACCGTAAAAGCGTGACCAAGGAGAGGGCGCTGGCCAGGGCCAAGGCGGAGAGGAAGGGGAGGGTCAAGAAGGAGGAGTAGCAGTCGAGCCAGCGTAAATGAGGCTTCATGAACCGGCTGTGACAAACACATATGAGACAAGCGAAGCTGTCTGGCACAAATCTCAATAACCGATGTACGGTGAGCAAGAAGGGGTTTGACGCTAAAGCCTGCGCAGTTTCATTCTGAGATTAGGTCGGACCGCGCGGTCAAAGAGACCCACGACCGTGTGTTTGATAGATTTAACCCATGTACGCCCCTCCTCGCTGATAATGCCCGTTTGAACAAAGATAATTGATACACGATATGATGAAAACAAAAAAGAAACGAGAAAAATTGTAGAAAAGAAGATAAACAGGGCATCCCCATGTGCCCATTGATGCCAATGCCTAATGCGTATCCGCGTGGTTTTTGTCTCTCGTGCGGTGGAAAAAAATAGAGCGTCATGAGAAGGAAGGGAAGGGAGAAGCCATTGATGCCATTTCTCCAGAACCTTGCCCGCCTCGCTTGGGAGTGAAAGAAAGAATGGTAGAGTGTGAGAAGTGAATCCTTTGTTCCTCACTTGAAGATCTTACGCGAGTTCCTCGTAGAGTACCGCTCCGCGCCCGTGTTCTGCTGGTTATGCCAGAGGCCGAGCTGGCCGACATGGCCGCCCTCGCCGGCAGCCTTGTAGCGGCGCAGGGCTTCCTGAAGGTGTTCGGGGCGGAGGGGAGCGCCAGTCGTCGCGGGGCATGGTGCGCGGGGAGGAAGGTCGCCGCTCTCGTCGTTGGAGGGGCGGGGTAGGCAGCTCACCCTGTGGTTCGCTGTTGGCCTCCATCCACTCCTCCTGGACCTGGCGGGCGATTTCGATGATGTCGCCAATGTAGATCTTGGCGATGAGCTTGGTGACGAGGACGGCGTTTTGGGGGACGGATTGGGACACGGTGGCGTTGATGATCTGAATGACCCGTTAGAATTAAAGGTAACGAGAAAGAAAGAAAAAGTACAAGTGCGTAGAGATGGGAAAAGAGGGTGGAGGGGCTTACACGTCGGACACCAGCCTCTGGAATTCTGGTTAGACGCCATGCCTCGAAGCGGGCGTACTGGTTCTTGTCGAGGGCCTGGGAGAGCAGGGCCCTCAAGCGCGTCTCCTCTTTACGCTGCTCCTCGGACGTGACTGAGTCTTGCAGGTGCATGTCGTTGGCGTCCTCATCCACTTCTTCCTCCTTATCCTCGCCAGCCGCCGCCGCCGCACCACCCTTGCCGCCCACAAGACTCGGAGTGGCCTCCTTAGAGGAGGCAGCATCGGCAGCGGCAGCATCCTTCTTCTTGCGGCCGCGCTTCTTCTTGGGGGTCCGGCCACGCCGCTGACGACGCTCCCGCTAATTATACTAACATTGTCTACCGACGGAGAGCGGCGCTGGGAGCGGGCGTCGTCGTCAAATGACTCTGGGGGAAGCTGGTCTGGCGAAGGGGGTGAGCGGAGGGAAGGGAGGATACAGAGAGGTTCGAGGCCTTGCGACGCTTGAGGGTTGGCGTGTTGGGCATATCACCCGCTGTGCGCTTCTTGGGCCGGGGATCGAGGGGCTCTGGTACGGCGGGGACGTCGCGGTGGGGGAGTGCGACATATAATTTGGCGGGGACGCCATCGCGACGGAGTTGGTCGTGTTCTCGTTTGTGGAAAGGGGGTTCGAGAGGGTGAAGGGTCGGTCGTTTCGCGCGTTCGTTCACGACGATCGGTTGATAGCGCGAGGAAGGAGTCTGGTCCACCTTGGCACGGCGCGGACGATATGACGAGGGGCGGCGGGGACGAGACCTCAAGGAGCCGTCAGGGATGCGATACGATACGGCGGAGATAGCCTAGCACGAATAAATGCTCAAGATCTCTCCTCCTTGATGGACAAAACTCATTAATCATGCCTCGACTGGCAGGCTGAGAACTGAAGGCCGCCGCTGTCGAGTTCCAGGGCGGCCAAGAGCTGTATCACGTGATGGATGAGCAGTGGACGATTAGGTAATGGTTTATGCTTGGAAGGCCATTTAACGTCTCCGTACCCCTGCTCTTTCCTGAGGAATGACGCGCTTCTGGTGGTCTTGGCGACACAACTGGTGTCCTTTGACGTCAGCTGCGCGATAAGATAAGAAAAAAATTCAGAGTGGAGGGATAAAGAGGAAGGAAAGAAAAAAAAACGAGAGAACGAAAGATGGAGTTGAAAAGACGGAATGACTCGAAAGTATCGAGTACATCCGACACAAGCCGCTGTCAGTGTTCAAAAGTTTACCTCGATTTCAGTGACAGACAGATCTACCACTTCCTGGCAAAGAGTCTATGAACATTCTTCGAAAAGGCCAATAGGAAAAAAGTCGAAGCAATTCCGACACGAGACTAGCATTGATACCATACAAGCCATACACGGGAAGAAGGGTGCTGAATGGAAAGAAGCGATTCCGGTCATTTCTCACAATAACACTCTTTCCCACCACCCGTTCCCATTCTCCAAGAATGATATCCCCGAGGCATATCGCCAGCGCTTCTCGCGATTTGATTTGAATCAGAGGAATAGACTAGGACAAAATCCCACCTGTAATAAGACGGACGGAGAGGATCTAAACGATTATTTTTCAATCCTTAGGAGTGTCGTTTCCCCCTCTTGCTTACTCTCTGTCCCCTCGTGTTATCTTGCTCCTTTCCGTTGAAGAGTCCGGTTGTCCCACCTCTGCGTCTCAACGTCCCCACCGCCTCTTGAATAACGCTACTGCTCTCCAAGTCAAAGTCGCAGTACCCCTCCAAACCAAAAAGGACCCTGGACCTGACTATCTTTTGGCTCCGATATAACCCCGCCGAACCTCCTTCTACAAAGTATCACTACCTTGCCTCTCCTTCCCGCTCTCTCCCACGTCGTTTTTTTCTTCCTCCCCTTCCTTTTCCCAACATTCTCCACGACAGGCATTGGGACAGTGCCGGACGTTCCCTTCTTTCCCTTTTCCCAATCCTCCGAAAGGGATTGACCTGAACCAATCTCTTGGGAACACGCCACCCTTCCCCCTCCACAGCCCTGCTCCAATTCAACCATGGCGCCATCCGAGATTGCGATCGAGCCTGTCAGCGGCGCCGTTACGCCCAACGCTCCCAGTACCCGGCCCTCGAGCGACGTGGAAGACACCACCAGCAACGGTGGCGGTAGCGCCAACGGCGACAAGAGCAAGAAGCGCAAGAGGAGAAAGGGAAGCAGGAGGTCCAAGGCCGCCGCTACCAACGGTGAGGCGAAACAGGGAGGAAGCAAGATAACGAGGCCGCCGACGAAGAGGGAGACGAGGAGGCCGCTGCGCTCGCTGCTGCCGCCAAGAGGCCCAAGATTGACCTCAATGACAAGACCAAGAGCTTGGTACCGATAGGTTCGTCAGCCGTCTTCTCCTCCTCCAAACGGAGTTAGGGGGAATCTCTAGGATTGTCTTGCGTTCAAGCGCTAACCTTTACTTTCTTCACAGGAAGTAAGAAGGTAGAAATCCCAGCCGGCGCCGATGCGGAGCGCTTCGAAAGATGTGCGGCGCTGTGCGCACCATCCTCGAGTGCATCGGCGAGGATGCCAACCGCCCCGGCCTACTAGACTCGCCGGCGCGGTACGCCAAGGCCCTCCTTTTCCTTACCAAGGGCTACCAACAGACCCCTCGCGAGATCATGAACAACGCCATCTGGGACGACGAGGGCCACAACCACCACGGCATGGTCATTGTGCGGGACATTGAGGTTTTTAGTCTCTGCGAGCACCATCTTGTTCCCTTCACTGGCAAGGTACGTTATCTCTTCACACAAAGGAGAACAGAAGTGCATGGAAGAGAGTTGTGACGAGAAAGAAGCGAGAGAGAATCAACCCATGGTCAACAGAGTTGGGCGGTGTGCTAACACTACCCCCTTTCCTCTAATCATAGATGCACATTGGTTACATCCCCACCACCCGAGTCGTCGGACTATCGAAGCTCGCTCGCATCGCCGAAGTTTACGCCCGCCGCCTCCAGATCCAGGAGCGCCTCACTAAGGAAGTTGCCAACGCCATCATGGACGTCCTCAAGCCCCAGGGCGTTGCCGTCGTCATGGAGGCCAAGCACTTTTGCATGGTCATGCGCGGCGTCGAGAAGACCTCGGCCACCACCATCACCAGCTCCGTCCTCGGCTGCTTCGAGCGGAGCACCAAGACCAGGAACGAGTTCCTCAGCCTCCTCAGGCTCGAAAAGTCCATCTAGCGGACTCGAGCAGCTGCGCATACATTGGCGGAACTAGAGACTTGTGTCTCCCCGTCTTGGTCTCCATCTAAATGATTGGGCTGGCCTCGTTTTCCATTTTTCCCAGCCAAACTGTTTTCGACTCTGCCTCCACCTCTTACACCACTCATGAAATCGATATGGCCGCTTCTATACCCAAACCCCTCGAAAGAGAGTTGCGCTTTACTCCCTTCATGCCACCTCACCTCGTTACTCTCGCACGAACGGCAACTTTTTTCCTTTTCTTCGTTTGCGGCGGGTCAACCCCCTTGCGTTTTCTCTCAACATTTGCAGGCGTCTCACTCTCCCATTCCTTTTCCCCCAGTTTTCACCTCATCGCGATACTGGTACTTGCGATTTTTCTCCCCGTATTCAACACATAATGGGGGTAGTAGGAAGATGGGCGAAGCCCCCCCGGTCATACACCCTATACACGCATAGCGCGCGCGTGCGTGGGCGCATACACGAAGATGTTGGATCTCTCGTGAACTCGTATATACTGGAAGAGGGAGGCAGGGGAATGGTGGGATCCAGAACCGCCCTTTTCTCCCCTCCTTATTTTCTCCAGCAGCTACACCCGAACCCAGAGGCGTCGATCATGTTTTCTTTCGGAGTTACAATCTGTTTCATACTCTTTTTCGTTTTATTTCGTTTCTTTTCTCCACCACCGTCCTTGGTTCATCGTCCAAGTGCGAAGTTGATAGAGGTTTCCACGGTTCTTTCTAGATTTTATCTCAGGCTAGGGGCTCAACGCCCCGTTTCTTCTCTTTTCTCTCTTCTCCGGGTTTCAACATTGTCCCCGCTCAAAAGAAAGAAAAAACATTCATCGGGACAGGCAAATAAGATATCGGCGTTTTCTTTTTCTTTCCCCTCCTCGGATCTCTTCCCACCGTTGATCAATATCTCTCAGTGTGTGTGTGTGTGTGTGTGTGTGTGTGTGTGCATACAATGTATCTATCTGTATCTGTGTATAGGTCCTTGGGCTTCGCTGATGCCTCCACCAACGTGCTTACCCTTAACTCCGGTTTCAAGAACTCTGCACCACTGTGTGAAGGCCTGGCTTATGGAATTTATTGTTTTATTCTTCGGGATGCGCTCTGGCTCTCCCATAGCTATTGATATGTATGCACACCCATACCATTTGATTCTCCTGGCATGCCACTTCAACATAATCGTGATGCAAAACTCTCCCTTCCAAAGCCCACCACAGACGAACCCCTGAATCTGAAAGGCTTGATATCTAATGGGTTTGAGAGGAAAGGGAAGAGGGAAAAGAAGAAGAGAAGAAGAAAGGGCAAAAATGGGTGTTAAAAAAAAAAGGAAACGAAAATCTTCAAAATAAGTCTCCGTCATGATCCCGAAATAAAACCGCACCTAGGAGGAAATCATACCACAAAACGCAACGCTCGCATTAACACAATCAAGACCCAACTTGCTCTTAGCATTATCTTTCACCGGATCGTTTAGTCCATTATCATGAACACCGCGCTGACTACAACGCCCAAGCATATCGCCAACGTTACAAACGCCGCGGCAACGCGGTCTCTCGTCTCGATGGGCGCAAAGTCATACTTGCTCTTCTCCGGCGCGCCCGCATTTGCGTCGCTTTGCGAAGTGCCGCCAGAGCCTAGTGTGACGGGTGCTGCGGAAGCGCCGCCCTGTGTGTACATGACGGCGGCGAGGGCATTCATCTGTTCTCCCACGCCCGAGAAGCCGTCAAAGGTCCGTCGGGACCAGTCTTGGCCGCAGGCTGTATCGGCGTGGCCCTTAAAATCTGGGTTGAGGGGTCCATCGCACGCAAGGGCGGCAGCCTCACCGCTAGCTCGGAGAAGGGGTCGGATAATGTCAATCGTGTGTGGGGCGAGATGCGTGGTAGCAGACATCCAGCGGAGCAGGTAGCCCTTGAAAGAGCGCTGATCAATGTTGCAAACCTTGAAGGGCTCGCACGCCTGCTCGAAGGCGACGCTGTCCTTGAAGAAGATCTCAACGGTGGTGGCTAGAAGCCCGTCAAGGCGTTGTTTCCAGACATCGCTTCCGGTAAGGTTGTACATGACGGCGGCGCCGTGGAGGTGGATACCGGCGTTGTAGCTCCACAGGAACTCCGTCTTCTCGACACAGTTGTCTTCGACGTGGCCACCGTCCTCTACGGTGAACTGGGGGTGATGAAGCCCACCTCGGTTTCCCAATCGTACACCTTTTCGGCCCATTCGGCGTACGTGGAGTTTCCAGTGTAGCGGGCGAGGCGGGCCGCAAGGTTGAAGAAACAACCGTTGGAGATGGCGTTCTTGTAATTGAAACCCTTGTTAATGGGGAGATTTGCCATCTCAGGCCGCCGTTGCACTCCTGGGGCTCCCAGCGCGAGACGTAGAGGTTAAAGACGGCTTGGACAAGAGGGACGTATTGCGGCTGGTCGGCGGGGGTTAGGAAAGTTGTTCTCGGCGGCAGCCATCACGGACATGGCCCAAAAGCCTTGGTCGTCGTTTCCCTCGGTATGCGTCTGGTTTTTCGGCATGAGATCGCGGAGATCGCCCGATTGGTGTACTATCGCTTGAACCGTTTGGTTAACGTAACTCTCGTCCCCGGTGATGTGCCAGTAGTCCACAAGATGCCCGAACATGGCACCCGCCTCCCACCCTATTGCGCGTTAGATCGAATAACTTGAATCTCTTGAACGGGAAGAGAAATGGGGAAACGTACAGAAATATGGGTCAGGAAGATTTCCGGGAACATCTCCGGTATAGTTGCCGGTATAAGACCTCATGAGGCCAAAGGCGATAGTGGACGCAGCATCAAACACATCGCCTAACATGTAATCAGTTTAGTCATGCCTGCGCAACAGGACAACGGCCTAGCCAGACATCCCACAAGAAGTTACGCACCTTGATTGTCAAAGTTGACTTCGAGAGCCGTTGCCGTATGAAGCAAGACGCCAGCGAGAGTGCTGGCGAATGAAGCTATCCTAACCATCGTGGCTCTGTGAACCCTGCAGGAGAGCAGATAATCGTTTCCTGTTTGCAGGTCGTCGTTGCCAAATCCGTATGCTCGGTATCAGCCGGTCCGCTTTTGCTCGTCTAGGATGTCCGTTTCGGGGCTATGGCCAACTTCTTGGTCGTCAAATCCGGCGATCTTTTCGTAACTAACACAAACGCAGCCGAACCAAGAAACTTCGGCGTGAAAAATCGTAATCTTTCGCAGAGAACGTGAATGCAAGCCAGGCAATTCTCGGGGAAAAAACCCGCCGGGAGTCAAAGAAGCAGAAAAATATGAAGAAGAAATTCAGAAAAGAAAAAGGAAAAAGAATTCAATAGACTCGACCAAAGCGAACCGCAAGTTTCTAATCAAAGAAACCGAAAAAGAGAATGGAATGAGTCCCCAGGACTCGAACGAATGGAACTGCTTCACCAAAGAAGCATCACACTGGAGAAGGGAATAAAGAAAAGAGGAGAGAAGAAAAAGGAAAGGAAAAACCGAACCCAGTCCCTTTTCGAAGTTTAGAGATGGACTGGGGAAAGGAAGAAACGAAGACAGGTGTGGAGAAGAGACGACGTCCCACCTAAACAATAAAAGGGGAGTCGAAGTGGTAGTGTCCAAGAGGAGAGCTCCGCCACGACAAAGAGCTTCGTCCACTCCCAAGAGTACCAAGATCTTGATCTTGTCAGAGAGCCATGCGCCAAGGGGGATTCCAACTGGGCCACCGCCCGCGCGTGCGTCTTGGCTAGTGTTCGTCCTCTCACAGCCCATCTATTATTGTGGGTGTTCTTCAAGGCCAGTTGTTTGGGAAGGTCAACAGGGGAGCCTATAAGAGCGACATGCTAAGTCCATCAGGATCTCCCTTGAGCCCGCGAGGATGCACCTAGACGCCATCCACCGGAGCAGGCCTGGAGCCGGAGGCTGTGCTCATCATTGGAGTGTACCTGGTTTCAAGAGCAAAGAGCGACGTTGACGCTCGCGCACGCATAGCAGGTCACCAAAAGGGACGGCGGCGAGTGGGGCGGGACCGGGGCCCCTTCTGTGTGGTTGGCAGGCAAGGTCTGGTCTGGCCCCGAGCTGGCCGAACAAAGGGCAGAAGAATTGTGGGGCACCGTCGTCGGCCGTGTTTGGGTGCCCTTGCCAAGGTCGGCCGTGGGGAGGGGCCTGAAACGCTTGGGGTTTCCAACCTTGTTACCGACAGGAGGGGCTTGACACAGAATTGGCAAAAATAAGGGGCGACAACATGAATAAGCTTAAGGGATGTCAGTGCAGGTTGCATTGTCGTCAAGGTCCCTTGCAAAAGAAAAGAGGAAGCAAAAGAAGAGAAATCCAATTTTGAGGAATTGATAGAGACAAAATGCGACAATGATTTCAACGTCTCTCTTACAGGCCCGGCAGCACGATATAATCGTGGGGTTCAATCTCTGGGTTTCTTGCTCCTTCCTAGCGTTTAGTTGGCAGTAGGCGCCACTTTCCACTGCCGGAGAAAGCACGGGGAGGGGTGAGGCAGGGACCACGCTTTTGACACTTTAAGCGAAAGCACTTCCGGCTACTGTCCCGAGTCGCCCTTTCCCTTTTCACTCAATCAGAGACTTCGGTTGATCATGATTCGTTTCTCTTTCTCAAAGGAAACTGCGAAAGGAAAGTCGCTAATCTTTCTGTATCCTTGATTCACAAGTAAACATTCATGGGCCTCTTTATGTTCTCTTTATTTATTTTTGTATTTCTTTTCCTGCCTCGGGAGAGCTTCCCAGCTTCCCATTCACCTCGCCTCTTCACAAAGCTGTGAAGAGATGGTCAGACCAAAGTTTGTGGGAATCGGCCGGGCGTAGCCTACGAGTTGCCCCCTTTTCTCATGGGCGGCTGGCAGCCAAGCTGGTCGAGCCAAGCAAGACCTTCGCGCCACATACACCCCCTTTCTCAGCTATGGTGGAAAGGCGGGAGGAAGTAGACTGGGTCGTCGAGTTTCCTCCTCTTTTAATCCAACCAAACGAGGACGAATCCACAACCTGGTACGGCATGAACAGAGGAAGAAGAAATTCCCGGAAACCCCATTTCCTCCCATTCACCTAGAGACAGAAGTGGGAAGAAAAAGAATTCGGAAGAGGAAAAGAACAGAGACACCCACCCGTCAACTGATCTGCCTGATCGACGGGAGGCACCTCGCTCCCTTTCATCTCAAGAGGAGAGTCCGCGCGCGCACACACCCACACACACACACACACAAAGAAAACTGTCACTAAGGTGGTTCATGCTGCCATCCGTATGCGCCCATGGACGTCACATAGTGTACACTTATATACCCATTGTTGAATATTGAATCCATGAACGAGTACAATGGCATTGCAACGCTTCCTTGCTAGTGTAACTTGAAAAGTACCGGTCCTTTGCTCCTTGACATCAAACGGCGAGTACCTCGGGTCGTGTGGATAAGAAAGCGAAGAAAGTGGCGATTGTTCTTTATATAGGAGATGGACACACTTACACCCGCCGACGAAATATTCTCGACTTGGCCTAAACAAGGAGCTGGGGGCCGCTATCATCTATAGCAAGGACGCAACTGTATTGAGTTCTTATCTACCGAGGTACTCTCGTATTTTCTCTTTTGATAGACACAATAAAATACTGCCTGTTAGCTTGTCGCTGCCAAGGCATGTCCCTCCCGTGCTTCTCGTCCAACCTAACCTACCTTTCCATCATCTATTCTTCTAGCCGTCGTGTCTTGTTTACCATCTCGTTTCCGAACTTGTTGAGAAAACAGGAGCTAATAAGAAACAAGGGGGAAGCACAGATGGTAAGAGCGCAATGATAATGAAGAAAACGGAGGAAAGAAATAAATGTGAGGAAGCTCTATAAAACCTGCCTTTCCCCTTGAAGAGCCTCGCCTTGCCCTTATACAGCGCAGATACCGGATGGCAGTGTCGCCCCTCGCATCCGCTGAAGGGGGAAAAATAAAATAAAAGCAAAAGTCATTCGTCGTTCCTTACTCCCTCTCCCCTTCTAGATAAAGTTCATCAATCATGGTTTCTCCTATTCTTCCCCTTTCTAACCTCCTCCGCCAGTGCTTGTGTCAAGGAAGGCGGCACGTCGAAAACACACACACACGCCGGCGGAGAGCGTCATCACCCTTTTTCCACCATCCATGTGTTTTGGTTTTCCTAAGGTTCCTCTCCATATGATAGATGCAAGTTTGAAGAAAGACAAATGAACAACAAAAAAAAGTGAAAAAGGGGCAAAAAGAAAAACTCCAAAGGGAGGCCCAAAGCCGATAACCGGGATGCCCTTCAAATGCTGACTCTAGGCCAAAAAAGGAGGAAAGAAAAAAGACACAGGGCGGCCGTGACAGCAATGGTGATGTGACTGACGTTTTCATGGTACCGGCGAGCCGGTTTAGACTCCGCGGTGCCGACTCGGACTTCGATGAAGCTTCCTCTGCATCTTCTCTTTGATTAGGTTACGACTCGTGGCCTCGTCATATCCAATCATCCATAAGAGATAAAACAGCCTAGAGTTGAAGTCGTGTTAGTCTAAAAGAAGTGATGGATGGAAAAAGATCGAAGATGAAAGAAACGGCGAGGGGGTGACAGCGGCAATAATGAAGGGCCGCCATCATCTTATCATTCACAGTTTCATAGTGCTTCTCCCCTCCAAATCAAGGTGACAAACCAAGAAAGCAACTTACTTTTCATCGTGGTAGGCCTGCTGCCGTACATCCTCCAGCCTGCGCAATGAATCCGCCCAAATGTCGGCTCTCCTGACCTGATCAATTGATTTGACCGTGTAGACGAGCCGGGCCGTTACTGGCCGGTGGTCCGACACTCTGACCTCGTGTCTGCGGTAGTCAAGCTGCCGGATGCGGCCCCCGCCCCGGTGTAGTACGCGGTCACACCACGCTGGCGATCTCTTCTTCTCGCTCGTGTCGTATGTATCGGTGCCCACATCGTACTTGTAGGTCGGCGCAAACGTGATGGGCATCTCTTCAAACGCTCGTAGCCGGAACGCTGGGTTGCGTCGCCGTGCGACTAGGAGCTGGTCCCGCTCTAGGAGCTTGGCCAAGTTGCCCGACTTGACGGCAATAACTACCGTGTCGCGCGACATTGTGTCGATACGGTAGTTGAGGTCCCCGCTGAGTAGACATAGCTCGTGATCCAGAATCATTGTGCCGTCCCCACCACCCGCGTAGCTGTCCATGCGCACCGTTGGGTCCCTCTCTGATGGTAGTAATGCCGCGTCGAGGATGGCTGCCACGTCTGTATGCCGTGCGTTTGCTTGTGACTGACCCGCCGCTAGATGGCAGTTGACAAAGCAGAGCGATGTGTCATCCACCATAAAACGGATAACTATCGCACCCTTGTTTCCGTGGAGGCCGCCCATGCCCCGCTTCACCTCAACGTTTTTGAGATTGCTGATCCTGTCTCTGACTGTCGACTTGACAAAGACGCAAGTAAACAAACCGACCATGTGTGCCGTTTGTAGGAGGTGATACAGATCCTCCATGTGATCGTCCAGGCTTTTGAGCAGAAAATCCCGCCAGTCCCGATACTGGTGGCTCATGCGCTCCTGCACCGAGCCCTCCTTCTTGTCCTTCTTCTTCGGTTTTAGGAAGCGCTCTGAGAAATCCAGTCATTAGTCTCCATCTTGGAAAACAAGACGCCCCACCAGGCATAATCTTGGGGGCGTGGGAAGATTGAGGAAAGGAGGGAAGAAGAAAAGAAATGCGAAGAAAACATACTAGCAGTGGCCGTCTTATCCTCAAGATCCACCAACTCTTGGAATCCAAATATCAATATATCGGGCCTGTCGGCCTGCTGTAGCAGGTTCTGGACAAATGCCGAGTCCGTGTCTGAGTACCGCAGGCTGTGGGGAGTCGAGGCTCCTGCGTTCCACGTCATCAGCATGACGTTGAGGTCGTTGAACTGGCAGTAGGTGGCATCGCGCGACTTCATCTGCTCCTCGAGCCAGTCCTCCTGGAGCAGGCCGTCCCAGGCCCGTATCATGTTGTCGGCACCAAATGAGACCACCTGCGTACGGTCAAGGCGATACGCGCTTGCTGGGTCTGCCGTAATTTTGATGACGGGGTTGTCGTGCGCGTGCCACTCCTTCTTGACTACCCAGGGGTCGTCGCTGTGTCGTAAACGCAGATGCGCCCGTTATTGTAGCCGGCCCAGATGTGAGTTCCCACGCACGCCATCGAGTTGATCTTGTATGAGCTCACATTCATCACCTTGACACACGAGTAGTCGGCTCTGGAGTAGACGCTGACGCGACCGTCTGAGTGCCCAAAGAAAACCTTGTCTGTGTCGGACTTCATCATCGTGCCGGCCGTGACCTCTCCAGCGGTATCTTGTACAAGCGCTCTAATCAGAACCTGGAACTGGGTCTTTCCATTGAGCGAGGGAGCAAACACCCGGATCTCTTTGCCCGTCGCGTGCCATAGTTGGCCTCCGACGACCATAGAAAACGTGTGGCCCTTGGGAACCCTATATATCTGGCTGGGGCTGCTGCTTAGACTCGGCACACCGTTTTCCGTGGGTCCCCAAATGTGTAGGGCGCCCGCTTCATCGAGCGTCCATATCTCATTGAAATGCCTGTACATCTTGATGACCTCGCAGCGTCCGTGAGCGTTCGGCTTGATGGCAATGATGCTCTGCGTCAGGACATCCACCTCCATTAGTTCTCCTACGTTGTTGCCGATCCATAGTCGGGCTCCTTCCTCATCCACGTGCGTCCCTGGCTTGAATATAGCTGCTGTGGCCTTGGTCCCTTCGCCGTGAGCTAGGCTCATCACTTGCTCCCCGTCTTGGAGGCTCCAGGCCCTCGTCAACTGGCCAACGCTGCAGACAAACTCACCGCACACGTCAATCACCCTTGCATCGTACTTAGTAGGGATCTCATGCACACCCTGTTTGATGTAGGGAGGTCGCCTGTTGACGTTGGATGCGTCGGGATAAGAAACGGCCTGCCCAGGCGGCTCCGCTCGGGGCGCAGCGGCAGGCGCTTGGGCGGGAGCATTGGTCATCATCTTGGGATCGACTGGTTGACGCTCGCCCGTGTGCTGAGGGGCAGGGACCGCGTGTTTGTCCGTGTCGGAGGCGGCGGCAGGCGGTTAATCGATGGCGATATCATTCGGGTGGCGGAGGATGGAATAGGCGGAGCTGAGGCGCTTTCGACAAAATTTGAGTTTGTATTTACCGTAGGCCGAGGAGGCCGAGGGGAGGTGCCTTCCCGGTGCTATTGATTGGAGCCGGACGAGGCGGTATCTCCGCAGCAGCGTGCTGCGGTCTTGTTGGTAGGGCGGGGCGACGTTCACCCGAGTATTGGGGGATATATTTGACCTGGGCGCTTGTTGGGCCTCTCGCTCAGGCCGCCTCAGAACGGCTGGATGCACTGGAGGAGGCTCAAACGTATTCCAGCCTTGGCTTCGCGATTGAGAGTACTCCGACTGGGGTCGGGGTCTACGAGGAATGGGAGGAGGAGCCTCATCGTCGCTGCTCTCGGGGCTGCTCGGCGGGCTGCTGAATGGGGACGTCTCCTGGGTTAACTGTGGGGTATGGATGATGCCGTTCTGAGGCCGAGGGGCGATCATGGAGTGCCTCGACAAGATCGTGGGCTTTTCGGCGCGGTTCACTGGCGGTGGAACGGGCTTCATCTCTCGTTTGAACTCTCCGGATCGGCGAGGTGGTGGGGGTGACGGCGGGTTAGAGCCAGTTGTTTTCGAGAGCCGCCGGGGATCGAGAACCGGCGAATGGGTGCGACTAGGGATCTTGAATGTTCGAGGGGAGCTTGCGGGGTCGTTGCGGCAGTGATAGATTCGGGGTTGAGGAAAGCGGTGTGCTCGCTGAGATTCACATGTGTTGTCCGCTCCTTGGGCGGTGAAAGCGGAGGTTGAACGAGAACGGAAGGCGGGCGTACGGGCCTCCCGGGCCGCGGACTAAAGGTAGGTGGCGGAACCGCCGGCCGCGTGGGTGACTTGGGACGGACGGCATCGCCAATGTTGTTGCTGCTACTTGGAAGCTTGATGGCGTTGAGTGTCGGCCGGTTCTTGGGCAGGGGCGGGGGTGTAGGTACAGTTTCTCGCTCGGGGTGGGCCTCGCGGACGGCGAGTTGTTTCGGGGCTGGAGAAATGGGCCGGAGAGGGGCGGCTTGGAGGGCGGGGTTGCCCTCCTTTGCCTTGCTCATACTTTCAAAGTGCGAGCGTAGCGACGAGACGGGTTTCTAGGGAGCGCGGAGGTTAGTAGTCGGGTTCGGCGGATGTAGAGGCAGAGCTTGCGGTGGCACAAACGATATGGGAGGCATCCTGCCCGAGGGCCTGGTCGTTGTTATCCATGGCTTGCCAGTCGATCCCATGCTACCACCTTGTGGGGAATCGTAACGTGGAGGTGCGGTGGCGGACCGAAGGGTTGGTTGGTGAAGGAAGGGGTTAAAAGGGATCAGAGAAAAGGGTTGAGGAAATTAAGCCTTTGACTTAGTGACGGCTCGGCATATCTCGTCCGGCTCGACGTTGGGAGGCGACAGGCGGTAAGGTGACGCGGCGATGGGGTTTGGGTTCGTACCCGCCTCTTGTGATTATTGGAGGGGTATGACGGCGTTGAAAGCCTTGGGCAGGCGGAGGGCAGGTTGGGTGATGGCGGTCGCTCTCTTGACGAGGCCGTACATAATCGGTGCCCCCAGAGTAGGTAATTGGAGGGTCGAAGATGAGACGGAAGCGGAAACTAAGTTCGTAATGTCGGCGGCGTTGGATAATTCCAATTTCACCCAAGGGGGCGTGTAGATTGTTTAAGAGGAACCGGGTGTCAGGTTGGTGGGACGGGGTAGCATAATTGCCAGAGTATTCGAGTATTGTCGGCTAGCTCGACTCACATCTATGAGAGTGAAGATCCCCAAGAACAGAAGGAGACGAAAGAAAGAAAACGTGCATATGAAAGAAGTCAAACTGTAAAGGTAGAACGGCCACGGCCACTAAGGATATTAACCAGGCTTGGGAAGCATGTGTCGTCGGGTCAGAGTTCTTTCGAGGTGGGTGGGGGAGGCAGCTCGGGGCGAGGTTGAGGCGTCTTGTGTAATAGTTGAGTCGCCAGAGGTGCCAGGTAAGCCAGGGTGGATCAATTGTGGTCAAGTGCGCAAGAGCACGGGGCTTGTTGGGAGAATGACGGCAGGGGCCACTGAGTGACTGGGTGACTGAGTGACTGAGTTGAGGCCAGACGGCTGGAATAGGTCGGGTTTTGGCGGTGGTGGGGAGGGGTGGAAGGCGGTGTTCTGCGGCGGTTTCTAGAAGAAACATGGCTGCGGGTACCATCACAAGAAAAAGTCAATATTAAGATACATCGTGTTGGTACCCTCTTTGTAGCCCGATGAGAGGTGGGCCTGTTTCGCCTGTGCAGGCACCAATGCTGGGAGATCGCATGGACCAGGCGGCACTATTAAAGCTGTCGACGCCGGGAAAACTGGATGGCTTGCAGTAACGCTGGACATTGTCACGCACATCTTGAGGTGGGTGTTCATTCGGTGCTTGATCAATTGACGTGCGTTGCCTGCCCCGCACTGAAATCTCCAACCTCGTCCTGGGACTGACAAGAGAGGGAGAGACTTCAAGGGTGTAGATGAGTGTCTCTTCAGAGCAGGGATTCGCCGCATTCTCGTGCGTCCGCTGCCCCTCGGTGGCCAACACACAACTTGCTTCTCTATGGACCCCTCTCCACATCTAATTCATTGTCTTTAAATCCAAAGAAAAAAAAGAGAAGAAAAAAACCCGCTACGCCAGCGGCGGTGGACGGCTAGATTGGTCAATCAGCAAGGGGCCTGCTGATCGATCCACCGCCGAGTGGCTACACACTGCGCTGGCCACCCTCCCTCCTGGCGAGAGCCAGCGTTGATATTTCTAAGACGATCTTGCTTGGCTCCTGCTGAAACAGCTAGACGAAAGCTCGGGTCCATGCAACAACTAGAATTCACAGAATGTGTGGTGCAACCTTAGACCTATGACCATCATACGCGAGCTAACCAATAGCACCCTCGAGACTACATAGGAGCACAGCTCCACAGTCCTTCTCTTTATCGAGGTACAAGCGGCTCCAGCTTCATGTCGTCATTAATAGTATTAAATCGGCTCCTAGCGGGCAGGCTGTTGAGCAACGCCACAGTTCGGCCAGCCCCAAAAATGCGCCGGGAAACTGCGTGCCTGGGCAAGCTGGGGTCTGGGTGTCTTTGGGGACCGGCTTGCTGAGGGAGCTCTGGAAGGAGGTTTACCCTGAAATTAGCCCCTTCTCCGAAGGACTCCCGTCTTGAGAGCGACTCGAGGTACTGAGGTAATCTTCTAGTTGATGGGTCTAGACCCAGGGTACGTACTCACTTCGGGGAGCATACGTCGGCGATTGGACTTTTATCGTCATAGGCCAATCCCCACAGATGGTGCCAATATTCCCGAAGCTTTGAATCCTTCACCCTCCATCTTAGAGCAATTTTTCTCCCTCCCCTTCATCCGCTTTGCGCGCAAGAATCTCTGTAGCGCTCACAAATCTAAACAATATTGCATCGAACCTGTTTGTCAACACGATTCAACCACCATTTACATAATGAACACTGTAAGTCTCAAGTTCTTTCGTTGCTTTGACCTTTGCTCACACGAAATCGCGACCAGGTTCGATCTTTCTGGTGAGAATGCACCCCTCGAATCCATCCTCTCCCCTTCCTCGTTGTCCTTTCGCTGTATAGTTAACAACATCAATAGGTTCGGATGGGGCTCCTCTGTGTTGGTATGTTCTTACCAGGCTATACCTGCCCTCCCTCTTTCTTTCTCGCTCCCCCGAACCCGATCACTTGGGTGCTTTGCCTTGCGCAGTTATAGCTAATTAGTCAATAGCCGGCGCCGGAGCCTACTACTTCGCGAAAAAGTCTATCAACGCCGATCGTGCACACAACCTTGAACAAAGAAGAATGAGAAAAATACAAGACGAGGCTCTCGCCCAATCCCATTTTGCGTCAGGACAAAATGGTCATCGCGAAGCTCCCCGAACCGACGCCGTTGGCTCTCCCTCCCAAGAATCTAGCCAGGATCCCGCTCCCACCCGCCACGCACCTGAGAACGAGCATCAACGAGTCTACGAGAAGAGCAAATATGAGAGCGACAAACCGTTTGTCAGTCGAAAGGGCGATCGATTTGCGTAGCAGCCCGCCATGGCCACAATCCTTATGACTAAGAATGAATGCTTCCCCACTCAACAACAGCAGAGTGAGAGCAAGAAAAAAATAGATGAAGACCTGGCCATTGCTCGAAGAGACGAACTGGCGACCATATGGTTCAACATAGATGTGTGCGGTGGAGGGAACGTAGTAAAGCCGGCAAGGGGAGCCACCTATTGCCCTGGCAGGGATGGACAACTGGATTATCAGGCCACTTGCCCCGGTTCCCACCGAAAGTGGCCGCCAACAGAGTGTCGGCGTCCAAAACCCCTGGTGATTCTATCTTCCGAATGAAGAACGAGAGGAATCTACCGAGGGACCAAATGACCCAAATCGTTAATGTATTATATGGAAATCTTGTCAAGGTGTTTTTTTTATCTTTAGAAACAAAAGAAAAGAATAGAAAAAAGGCCATCCCCTCAGCGTTGTGTCCCTGCTCAGCAAAAAACTTCCTTGGAGAGCCGTTGATCTTATCGGATTTCCCGATAATCAACCGTCGCCTGGAACTCCACAAACCACAAGCTCAGACTCGTTTTGCGGCACCATGCAATTCGTAACAAACTAGCCAACGAAGCTTCTGCATACCCCCAAAGGATCCCCCTACTCTCGCCAGATCCAGTTTTATCGAAATCAATGACTACAAATTAGCTGCCATAGCCGCTCGAAGGCCTTTCGAAAGCATAAAGCGTAAAGAACCACCAGAAACAAGATGGCGTCCCCGGAATTCGCTATCGCGAAAGCCGCCTTCTCGGCTGCCCTCCTCCGCAAAGATCCCGTCCTCCCCACGAGCTGCACCCGCGAAGACGTCGACACGTTCCACACCCTGTTCCAAGACGCCGTGCGGCAGTGCTCTCCTCAAAACGTTCAGGTTTGGCACATCTACTCTCCATAGGCGCCCGACGCCCTCATCCTACCTCCCATCTCTGTCAAACTCCTGACCTCTTTCTCGCTTTCGCCTTCTCCCATGTCTCGTCCTTCCCCCTGTGAAGTGCTACTTGCGTACTCCAAGACGCAGGGGCTAGGTTAGACGGGAAGGTGGAAAGATGGCGGGGAAGAGGCGGGGTTCAGTGAGAAACACGAGTGCATTGCGTGACACCAACAGAGCCTAAATCCTTGATTCTCATGTCCTTTTCTTCTTCACAGAAATGCAAGCGATGGATACTGCACAACCTGGTGCGATCGCCAGCGCGATCAGCCGCATTGGGAAAATATCTCTCTGCGGCGTCTAACTCATTCGACGAGAAGCATAAAGACGCGGGGGAAGGCTCACCCTCAGCGAAGAGGAAACGCCTACACGTCCTTTACCTACTAAATGATGTGATCTACCACACGGAAATAAGGGAACCTGGTAACTCCGAGTTTTTGAAGAGTATCCAAAGCTATCTCGTGCCACTCTTTGCCGCCGCCGCCTCGTTTCACGATGCGCCAAAACACATCGCCAAAATCCAGGACCTCCTCGAGTTTTGGAGCGAGAAGAAGCTCGTAGAATTCGGCGAGATTGAGAGGCTCAAGGAGGCGGTGCAAACGGCAAGCATTGCGAAGCCAGCCCAGGTCGCAGTCCCGAGCACGAATGCCAAGTCTGAGAAGGCGCCGAGGGAAACCCCTACGTGCTGCCGCCGTTGCATGGCGACCCTTCCATGGCCTGGTTCGATCTCCCCGCCGCCAACTGGCTCCCCACCTAACCCCGAACTCTACGAAGGCGATGAAGCCCGACATGATCCAACCCCTCCAGTTAGCCTCTGGTCCCGCTGACAAGGCCGTTGTTGATGCCGTAAAGGCCCTACTCGGCAAGGTCGACCGCCTCTTCGCCAAGGATGTCGACTGGCACGACGAACCCCACGTAGACTTCAACGAGCTCGGCGAGCGCGTCCTCCTCGATGAAGTTACGGGAGAAGTAATCGGTGGCGAGACGTACTACGGATGGTCCCGGGAGTTTTGCACCAAGATGAAGAAACGCAGGACGAAGCCTCAGAGCGGAACCGGCACCGAGGACCGCGGGCGTCGCCTCTCTAGACCCAACAGTAGCCGTTCGAATTCTCGGTCGCGCTCGGGATCTCGCGACCGGTCAGCAGGGCGAACACCATCCCCGTACGCTCACAAACGAAGAAGACTTTCTAGCTCATATAGCGGAAGCCGGAGCGGGCGGAGGAGAAGCCGCAGCCGCAGCCGCAGCCGTGACCGTAGTCACAGCCGCAGTCGTAGTCGAAGTCGAAGCCGAAGCCGGGGAAGGAGTCGGAGCGCGAATCGAAGCCGCTCTCCTAGGCGAAGTGCTAGCCGCGAACGCTACCGTCGTCGTTCGAGCTCCTCTCGTGGCGTCCGATCACGTACTCCGTCACCGTCCAAGACAAGGGTGGACCGCCGCCGAGAGTATCTAGATAGACGCTCTCCTCCCCTCCCCCGAGGAGGCGGCAAAGGAGCCAATCCCGGTCTGGGCTCTGGCCTTGGTCAGCAGCTCCCTTTCCCTCCCCACGCCTCTCATCTTCCTCCCCCTCCGCCCCCTCCCCCATACGGCATGCAAGGACCCGGAGGCCCCGGGTTCCTGGATTTCCCGGCATTCCTCCGCCTCCACCCCCAACTTTTCAGGCCAGTGGCCCCTCCGCCACCCTCCCACCCGGTGGCCCGGGCTGGAACCACGCCATGATGGGTGGCAACAACGCCCCTATGCCGCCGATACCTCCACCTCCGCCAGGCATGCCGGGGGCTTGGGGCGGCGCGCCCTCACACCATCACGCTCAACAGGGGCGGGGACAACATGCCCCTTACGGCGGTCGCGGCAGGGGCAGCCCGGGATACCGTGGTGGGGGAGGGTACGGCCCCAGGGGACGAGGAAGAGGATGGTAGACACGTGTTGGATGATGAGGCACAAGTGTGGATGGACAGACAAGAGTTTTTTTCTTTTTTTGCTCTCGCCCTCTCAAAGAGATTGCCGCTTTGCATATTCCGAACTTGGTTCTGGCGCAAGCTCCTTTCCTTCATGTACGAGCAGATTATGGTCGTGGACCCGACCTAGATACCAACCAATTTAAAAGGGAGGCTTTCACTCATTGCCGAAAAACCATCAATGAACCAATATTTTTGTGACGATGGGAACCCTAAGAAGGTCTGTCGAGTTGAGGTTTGGCCCTGTCTGTCCTAGAGAGGGAGACGGTTGACCCATGGGACGCTCCTCATGCAGCACAACACGAGCCTCAACCCTTGAAAGCAAAACGGCTTGGAAAGGGGCTGTATAACCGAGTTTAACCCAGCGGGCAAACCGGTTTCACTACGATAGCTGCACAAAGGGGGTGGGGATGGTAGTCTCATCCTATCTGGCCCGCTACAACTTGCGTATGTGTTCGAAAACCTCATCAGTCATTATATTTTGATGCGAGCTAATCGACATAGCGTCATACTCCGAACAAAACAGCGGCAATCCTCCATCTTGACCGGTCGATATCGAGACCCAAAAAAGGGGGAAGAGGAGAAGAATAGAACAAAGAAATGAGAAAAGCGAAGAGAAGAGAGAAGTCAGGATAGAAGGTCCAGGGGAAAAGAAGAACAAGGAAACAAGAAAAGAAGAATGAAGAAAAGGGACAGGCTATCTTCGACCAAATAAATGGCAGAAGGGGATGAAAGGAAGGAACTAGGGGCTAGATGTGTGAAGGTTGCTCAACAGTTCAAGTTTTTTTTTTGAAAACAGACAAAACTGTCCAGTCAAAGAAGACACAGCCCCCAAACACGAAGAAGAAGAAAAGGTTCTGTATCAAGAGAGGTCCGACTCCCCAGGTCTTTCAGCAGGACGCCGTGTTTGTTTAGAGATGAAACGAGAGACACAAAAGCCCTGTAAAACGCCGGTTATTAGAAAGAAAAAAACAAGAAAAAAGGAAACCCCAGATCAGCTCCTCCACCCTTTGAACCTCCCATCATAACTCGCGCCATGGCCGGATCATCGCCCACTTCGTGCGGAGCCTGTCGACTGTTGCCTCTCGTGGAGGGCGGGAAGGCGCTCTCTACGATCACCATCTTGGAGCTTTAACGAGTCTAGGCGCTTCTGGTTATCATCAGAAGCAGGATCGACGTCGCCGGGCCGGGAGACGGAGCCCGAGTGGCCTCGACCGTTGGCACCGTTGGTTAGCCTTCGCTGGTTTGCCTGTTCCGCGATAGCCTGCCACTTTCGCTGCCGCATGTTTTCACGCGCAGCCGCCGAATTTTGTTGCTCCGTGTACTCGTGGGAACAGTCGTCGAAGAGCTGGGGGTTGATCTCCATAAACAGCTTCATAGCATTATATACCATTCCGTGAATTGTCCTGTGGTCGCGAGATTAGCCAGTGTTCCAGCCCTACCCAGCAACGTATGTTTTCAATCTCGTAGGGCCATTTAATGTGTAAACAGACCTGTTCCAGTGTCCCTTAGAGTTTTCGTACAGGGGAGCAAACATAATGGGTAAGATGATCTCGACATTATCGCTAACGAGATTGCAGAAATACTCGTTATTCCAGAAGTACAGCGCGCGCTCGGCAACCTGGAAGTGGGGGCTAGCGACCGACTTGGCCAACTGGTGGAACAAGGGCTCTTGGACCTTGGCAAACTCTGCAGGATCCATGACCTCGAAAATATCCTCAACCTCGTTGAGGAACATGACTTCCTTGGTGCTGTTGACTTTGGGCCAGTAGCGGAGCAGTCCGAGAACAACCTAGAGGTGACACCGTTAGACACGAATATTCGCCCCTCTGCAGGCGCTGGCTTATCTCGGCCAATATCATGAACAGATAGGGTGGGCAGAGAAGGAGAGTGGCGAACGCGGGCATTCCGTGCGAATCAATTACACATACCTCTTCAGTGAGAGAAGCATCTTTTTCTAAGAATTGCACGATACAGTAGGCGAGCTGAGGGTGGTACATGCTGAGGCTCTTGACCTTATGGAGCGGGAGGAGAACGCGGGTGAGGAAGGTCTTGTGCTCCTCTTTGAGAGGGAGGGCGAATCCGTTGATGATGGACCCTAGAATCTCGAGAAGCTCGGCGATGCCATTGAACCTCTCCGTCTCATAGGTGAACTGGAAAAACACGTTGTTGATGGATTTTCGGATAAAGGATCGCAGATTCAAAACTTTCCGTAAATGCGGTGGAGCGTGGTCTTGAGGAAGTCCCTTTCACGCGGATCCTCAGAATCGAAGAGCTCCAGCAGCTGGAGGACGAAGCTGTGGTCAATGTATGCCTTGGCAATGTTGGTGTTGAAATCTTGGCTCTCAATAAAGCGGAGGAAGAACTCATAGACAACTTGGATATGGGGCCAGGCAACCTCAAGCACTGGCTCATCCTCTTCTGGGTCAAATGCTTCGCCCTGGGGATTCACAGGGGAGGGATCGGGCGGAAAAGATTCTTGGCAAACATCTCAACGACTTTGGGATACATGGGCTCCACGATAACCTGGCGATTGTTGGCGACATAGTCGAGGAGCTCGTGGAGGGCAAGCCTCTTGATCTCCTTGGATTTCATGTCGGCGCTTGCATCATTGAAGTCAAAGATGACGTTACATTGGTCAATCTTCTGCATAAAGAGCTCCTGGCGACGATTGGGGGACATCGTGAAACCCAGGTAGCTTTTCGAGCTCGCGATGAGGGGATATTTCGAAACGCGACGAGTGCTGGCGCTTGGGGGTTCTGAGTCCCTCGGGAACGACGTCTTTGGGAGTTATCTGGTGGATTCGGTCGTACGCGAGGGACTTGCCGGCCTTCGGAGGGGCCAAATCCCCGGGAAGTGTTTCGGTGGCGCCGGGGGAGGAATGTGCGGCTATGGAGAGGTTCATGTCAGCTCCTCATAAAATTGCAGACGTTTAAGAGACGCGAAATACGGCGAGGTTGGGACGTGGGCAAACATTGGTAGGGAGCATCAGACGATGAGTTGGGCGAAGAATTTTGGCAATGAAAAGGGCACGTACCATTGGGGAAGGGCTGACGATAACGGTGGGGGAAGAATGCCATGCCGGGCTTCCTTTTGGCCATTCGTAGCGGCACCACCTCTTTCTGGACTTCCCTGGGACCCTAAAGCAGGTATCTGTGGCGCCTGTTGGTTCGCACCCTCACCCGAACGGAAGCCGGCGTTGCTAGGGGTAGAGGTTTGTTTCGGATGTCGTTGAGCGTTGATGTGGACGAGGCGGGCGTCAAGACGGGAGACTGATTCGCATCGCGGGAAGATGCCGGCGAGGCGGCTCCGTCTTTGGCATCCTTGTTCTTCTTGGAGGGCTTGTTAGGGTCCTTCCCCGAGAGAGCTGAACAGAGGGCGCCGAGGTGGCCAGCAGTTAGCAACGAGGCTTTGATCATGACCTGCCAGCGAGCGGCCAGCAAGAGTCGAGGCGCGGGATAAGAGTTCGCTTTATCCAGGGAATATACGAGAGATGAAAGCACATGCACTTACGACTTTCTGAAACCGCTTCATCTTGGAGGTCGCCAGTTTGGGCTGTCGTTCGAGGCCCGGCACTCGCGGTGGATTAAGGTTGGTGCGATTAAGGGGCGCGGCTGAGTAACGGCGGCGGGGTTATTGTTCTATAAGATATGGGGCAGTTGGTGGGTGCGTGTGTCGAATGGGGCGGGTCTAGTGAGGTCGGGTGAGGGTCAGCGTCAAATCATTGATCTCCGAAGCAACATAGCCAGGACCCGAGGAGGTGACGAGCAATATTATCCAAGATGTTCGAGGGGTGGCCCACGGCAATCTACTAAACGAAGAAGCGAAAATAAAATAGCCAACAAGACGTAAGGGCTCAAAGCGGGAAGAGAAGAGGGAAGCAGTGAAACCGTACTAGAGCAAAACAAAGGTGAGGCTTATGGAATGGCGGGAGAAAAAAGGAATTAAAACTAAGAGCAACGCATTGATCTGGATGGCAGAACGGGGCCGGTGATGGGGGGGTTGGAGAGACAGGGGTGAGAATGAAATTACCGGCAATGCAATACCCGGGGTTGTGCCAGAAGCCAGCGGCTGGCGGATGGCGGATGGCGGATGGTGGCGGATGGAATTGTGTCGCGTCTTGGATGGGTCACCAGGGTCTGGTTTGTGTACCTCGCTCCAACAGTGTCAAAGGTCCCAATCAAAATAGGGAAGTGTCGAAGAGGGAGCCAAAAAAGAAACGGCGCTGTTGCGACCACAAAGTTCGACTTGATTTAATGTCTGCAGAACTGCGTGCGTTTGAGATCCAAAGGAGGGGAAAAGGCGAGGCAAAGATATGGAAAATGCGAGACAGAAATCCAAGTTTTACTCAGTCTCCTCTACTGCTCTGGCTTCTTATTCCTGTAACAATTCAGAGTTGAACGTTCAGGTTGAATGAGGTGACGCCCCTAGGCAGAGAGGCGGACTAGTCGAGAGGCTCAGGGGCCAACAACTGACCCAGAACGCAAATGCGATTGGTGGTGCCTCTGTCAAGATCGCATTGGGGGTTATGGTTGAGTTGGGGATATTCTTGCAGGGGCAAAGGGTATTTCGGGTTCTCTTCTATCGATGCGAGAGCCACAGTCGGGGGCTTGGTGGTGATCGCGGGGCCTCGGCCGCTAGGTTCGCTTCGACGCTCGATACCCAAAGGGGGAATGACTGAGTATGTTAGTATGTATATCTGGATCGAAAAGGATCCACCCAGGAGGAAAAGATGCTCAGCTCTCCAACTTGACGCCTGGTAACTTGACGCCTGGTAAAAGACCAGAGGCTGAGGCGTACGGGGCGAAGAGGGGAGCTTCGGATCTTTTTGTGTGCCCAGGCGAATGAGCGGGAGATAGGCAACCACGATGAAATGCACTATTGGCAACAACACGATTCGTGGAGGAGTGAAGCTTGGAGAGCTAAGGGCTGGTTTACCTTGACACAAAGCGAGACAGCGACGAGCAAGCGTCGTTCTTGGAAGTGACAGAGACGAGTGTCGAAGCTTGTCGAGGGCAAGTTGGCAAGACGGTTGGAAGTGGTGGGTTCGGTGGACGGGGATTGGCTGGTCCGAGTGTCTTGGTTTTGGCAAGGGGTCGGTAGGGTGGTGCTGGGAGGAGGGGAGTGAGTTGAGGTCAGCCACACATGGGGGAAACATGAGGAAAGGAGCAGAGGGGCCTGGTAGCCCTGGCAAGGCATAGGGGCGACGAGCAGATGCGGAAACAGAGAGGAAAGTGACAGGGGGAAGAAGGGCGATATCAAACGCAAACTCACCACGCGTACTTACCTACCTGTGAAGAAGGATTGGTCTCTCAATGGCCTTGGAGAGTGTCGTGCAATGCATCCACGAATAGATCAATAGAACTATGGATAGATGTTTCTGTGATGAGGGGAAGTTTACTGATAATAGATCCATTGACTGTTCGGTTGACGCTAGCCCATGCCAGGCCTCAACTCCATCCATCCCCTCCACCTGGCCCTGTACGTACCTTTGACGTGCACTCAACTGATTGTTGGTTTGATAATAATAGTGTTTGGCCACACTGTGAAATCGGAAACATGGCGCTGACCCACAGCATCGAACGGAACCGGGCCAGCGCAACGATTCATCCAGCGAGTCCCTAATTGATTTGAACTTGGACGGATCAATTCCATTGAGTCCGATATAAATGAATTGTTGGTAGTGGCCTTAGTGGCCTCGGGTTCTATCTGAACTTTCTGGTAGCTTCTCAGTCGTGGGTTTCTAGTCAGAAGGGCTGCAACGGGTCTGAATTGATGTTTACATTAGAGCTACTGCCGGGCGTGAAGCAATTAAATGCCCTACACTGCGCTTGTCGCGCTGGATATTGATCCAAGCCTCTTCTTCGGCTCTCTAACCTGAGATATAGAGAGGATGAAATAGAAGCACTCGCAGTGGCACTGGCGGGGGGAAGGGCTGTCCCCTAAAGTCCATAATAGACCTAGGCCTATGCAGTCTTGTCTAGTCTTGTCGTTGAGCTTGTTTCACACGGGCAGGAGAACAGCTGGAGAGCTTTGGGGCCATCTCAAGCGTGACGACAACGGCCAAGCTCTTGGGCCACAACCCGGTCCTAATTCCAGCCTTGATTTCAATCTACCGCTTAATCTGAGTGCCCTAGCCAATACCTCGAGAATCGTCCACTTGGTGAGTTCCGCCGCACAGTGGCGAGAACAGCGAATGTCGCTATGGCTTCGTCCCGGGTGGGCAGGTGACACTAAACAATGCAAATTAATTGGTCGGCATTCCTGCTCTTGTCGCCCCGCCGTGCTCTCTCATCTCGCACAGAAGGGAGGGGCCTTCAGCTCAATCCAATCCCCCTTTTATCTAGCTTGGCCATCCCTTCTACGAAGTATGTTCTTCTAAGCATTATTCGTGAACTCGATGTAATAATACAAGTACCGTACGTTTTCAAGGTTTCTGTGTGCCAGCAAACCCAATGGGTCGATCAAACCTGCCGGGAGCGACGTGTCGAGGAGAAGAGCAGAAACTCGGGAAGCTAGATTGAAGTTCGGTGCCCACTAGAAACGGCTGAACGGCAGCTTTACCTGTTGCTGTGCTTGTGCCCTTTGGGCACCAACCGTCGTCATTCACTGCTTGGTGACAGCCGTGGCTGGCTAGCTTGTGTTTCGAACCCACTAAAGGAAGGGCCAGCCAACACCCGTCCCCATAATCACACCCTGCGAATAAACAAAAAATTCAAAAATCTATTAAAAACAATTGAACGAAAGCCAGTCCATAGGAATGGGGCGCTAATCCCACCACAGCGGTCCCACCCACTCGTACCTGCATCGCCAGTTCCCGAGAGCTGGTGTGGTGCCACTGCTGACGGCTGGCAGAATTTTCCATGCATCTTCTCTGCTAGGCGACGCCGCTCAGCCTTGTCTCTCGCTCGACATCTTGAGCGTGATTGAAAGTCAGCTCTATTCACAAGGGAACTATCAGGAATCGATTTAACCCTTGCGGTCTCTTAACATCCGTTTACCTTATCTTCTCCCACTCTCCCGAGGTGCCTCCCTCACTATGCTTGACTAGGGCACCCTTGTTTCTTTCCCTCGGAGGCAAGCTGCTGTGGATGGGAGCAACACTAGAATAGGCGGTGCCTCAGCCCTTCCCAGTTAGGGGCCCATTTCTTTATTAGCTATCGAAATTTGCAAGATGGACGCTCAAAGCGATATGATGGACGGGGACACCTCCAACACGGAGGATTATTTCGACGACAGCGACCCGGAACTTGGAGGACCCAGCATGACCCTCCAAGAGGATGAGACTCGCGCCATGGCCGAGGTGGGGGACGATGTTGAAGAGGTCGAAGAGGAGGGGGTGCGCCAAGATATGTCGTGCCCCCTCGGGCAATGGGCGCCGTAGAAGTCCCCATGATCGTCGCCGATATTGATCGCGCGACTAAGGCGTTTGGTAACATTACCACCTATAAACCGGTGGGTAGATTTCCGCGGCCTGAGCCACGAAGCTGGTGGCCATGATTGTAGCAATATTCAGGCCCGACTAACCCCCAAGTGCTAGTTCCTCGATCCCAACAGGAATTCACTTCCCTTGTATATGGACCCTGAGAACGCATTTTGTCCATCTATCCTATCCCACAATGCTTCAACGCACAACGTGCTCCTCAAAGTAACAGTTCCGAGACGGACAGGGAGGAAGAGGAAGCGCGGGACTGGCGAGCCATGGGAAGGAGAGGTGTCGGCAAGCGGCACCGCCGCGCCCCAAGCAAGCGGTTTGCGTGACCAGGTCGCTTCCCAGAAACGGGCAGACCATCCTAAAACGGTCCTTCGAAAGCTTCAAGACAACCCCGAGAGCTACCAAGTTGAGACGGTGGGAGTGATTAAGCATACACATCGATACAGAGGTTGGTCTCCACCCTACACTCTCTCCTTTTCCCTTATTTATCCATTATCAATCACGATTATTCGGTGTCTTAGATCTAACCTTTACACACGGCAGGTCTTATGGATTTCCAAGTTGATCTCGGCAGGTCCGAATTCGCCTCTAACTTTGTCGACAAGATTCTTTCTAGAGATGGTATGACATAGCGCGATCCTCTCCCCGGCCCCTGACCTCCTCTAAGCGCCGACCTAACCTTTCCCTGGCAGTGAGCAAGTTTAAGCAGTTCAAGATTGGCAGAGACATTGACTCAGGGCCCAAATCCGACATCATGCCTCCCCCAAATTCACGCACATGACCCTGCCCTTCAACTACGCCTACGAGCAGAACCCCTTTGTTCACGCCATAAAGGGCGACGAGGGTGAGGAGCAGGTCGTCAATACCACCGCCCCAGCCCTCGTTGGTTGCTTTATCGCCGCCACGGATCCCACTCCTCCTGCGCCCAACCGCCTGCCTAACCTCCTTGATCCCCTGACAGCCGAAGTCATCACCGCCGTCGAGGAGGCATTCGAGGTCCGGCCTATTTGGACCCGCCGCTCCCTCCTCAACTACCTCGGCCCCCGCCTCAAGAACTGGGGCCCGCTCAAGCGTTTCCTCGGCTACGCTGCCTACCAATTCAAAGGTGGGCCCTGGCGTGATGCCCTCATGCCCTATGGCCTCGACCCCGCTCTGACCCAAAGTACCGTGTGTACCAGACGCTTTCCTTCAAGCTTCCCTCTATCAAAAATGCCGTCACAGCCCAAGGTGGCAACGCCAAGAAGAAATCATGGAAAAACTTCCGCCGCGCCCGCGACGCCGACCCCTACAAGTTTGAGGAGGACACGGCAGAGAGCCACATCTTCAACGGTGACACCTACTACTCTAACGGCAAAGTTTGGCAGGTTTGCGACATCACGGACCCCACACTCGCCCGCATGTTCGCCGAGGCTAGCGTCCGCCCCAGCTGCGACGTCGAGAGTAGCGGCTGGTACCATCAGGGCCTGTGGGGCAAGGCCAAGGCCGTGATGAAGTGTAAGCTCGTCGCTGTGCTCTTCAACCGTACCCTACCACCCAACGCCTTTGATCACCTCCTCCACGATGCTAGCCTCCCCCACCGAGGATGCTGAGAGGGCTACCAGCAGCCCCCGTACACTGCGACGGCCGATGACATCGATGAAGCAGATCAGCAGCAGCAGCAGCAGCAGCAACAGCAGCAACAGCAACAACAGCAACAACAGCAACAACGCCAACTACAATACCAGCGCTCCACCTCTCTTACCCCGCCTCCCGGCGCTATTGTTTCCCTCCGTCTCCCCGACTTGCAGCTAACCAATGAGGAAGTGCGATTCCTAAAGGGAAGGCGAATCCGCTCCACGGGTAGGCGTAAGACGGAGAAGAAAAATTCATGTCCGTACAACTCAGCCGCAGGCCCAATCGGCCTTCTGCAGTACCCAAGGCGAAGAGTGGCGGTGGCAGCAGAAGCAGTGGCACCGGCGCCGGTGGTGATGGTGATGGTGCTGGTGGCGAGGGCGATGGCGATGGAAATAGTGGCAGTGTTAACAGCGGCGGTGCTGGCGCCGGAGGGGATACGGGTGCTGGCATCTCCGGCGATGGGACTACAGGTAGCGCGCCCCGTGGTGGACGTTCCCGCGCGGCAGCTGCCGGGCCCGGTCGGGATGCCCCGTGCCTGAAACGAAACTTACGGCCCGAACAGCCAAAGGCGGAGACGCCAAGGTGACGGCCCGGCCTCATGGAAGCGAGGCGTACGACGATGAGATGGATGTTGAAAATGATGATGACCTCGACGAAGTTGAAGACCGGGCCAGAGTAGAGGGCGATGCCGAGGAGGAAGACGAAGAGGATGAGGAAGAAGAGTACGATGAAGAAGAAGGTCAGGCAGAGTCGTACAGCGATGACCCCTATGCCTTCCTCGATGACGACGACGGTGTTGAATACATTTATGACGATTAGAACGAAGTCCCGACAACAGAGCAGTGGATATCCGGCGTATACAGAGGAGAATAGGCTTTAAACTAGCACAAGTCTATAGCGTTCTACTCTACGTTTAAACACAGAAGCGCCGCACACCCCCATTGTTCCTAAACTCCTTCCGACTACTGCGTCCCTCCCGTACCGTGGACTCGCCTTTGCCCCAGTCCATTCTCACCATTCGAGCTCGACCTTGGTCCAGGAATCACTCAGTTCACTTGACTCCGCGTATGAACTTCCATCCTGAGACTCTCGACTAGCGACGGCGGGGCCTCCGTCCGAGCTTTCAAAGTGGCGGGCGGCCTCGCTAGAAACGGTGTACCGCGTTGTATAATCGGCGTGGACGCCGTCAACCTTGGCCAGACCCGCGGTAAGATGATTAACGAAGGCGGGGAACCCTTCGGTCCTTCGAAGGCCACATCGGATCGACTGCGACTCGGCGTGCTGAGTCAAGGCCGTGGCCGTCTTAAAAATCGAAAGCAACGAGGGCACTGAAAGTACTTAGGCTTGTAGTGAACGGACGATTCGAGATGATCGATGAATTTACACGCCGTGGGAAAACGTTCCCCGCTAAAATTATTGACTGTCAGTACGAAGATCACAGAAAACGATGGTTCGCCCCTTTTTCTTTTCTTTTTTTTTTTTTTTTTTTTTTTTTGGGGGGGCAAGGGCGCATTAAGAAGTTTAGCCACTTACACACAACCGGTCTTGGGACAGTGGTAATAGCCCGTGTACTCCGAAAAGTATTTCGACAAAACGAAATCATGATGGCGGGGATTATTGGGAGACATGGGCCGACCGAAGTCTTCGTCCAAGAAGACGCCGTCCGACTGATCTCCGAATGAATCATTCTTCGAGCCTTCGTCCCAGGTGCATGCCTCGGGCCCATCGTAGCCCCCTGGCTGCACTCCGACCAAAGGCCTCCTTCCGCCGAAGCGGACTTCAAGCTAACCCAGCCCGTCTTTTCTTCCGCGGGTCCACTACCGATAACCCTAGGGCGGTTACGGAGGTGGGGAGGGAGCTGAGCCTCCCTGGACCGTTCCTCCGTATTCGAAAGTCCACGGGCGATAGTGTCAACATGGCCAGCGGGACCTGAAGCCTGATCGCGACCATCATCCGAGCCCCGCCATTTCCCATGGGGTAGCCATGTCCAACCTTCGACTTCAGGCGAAGGTGCTCGTTTACCTTCTTGAACAAAGGTTGTCGTGTTCTCGGCACGTTTCTCCCTCTCCTTCTTCTCGTCGATCGCCTTCCACATGGCAGAAGCGTGCTTGAGGGATGGGAATGGGCATTCCTTGGGGGCTTCTTCATGGCTCTTGGCTTGGGCGCCATGGGCCCGGTCCATGCCAAGATAGTCGGCGGACGTTTCCTTTGCGACGGACAGAGTCTCGCCCGGCGCTTGTTCCAAGCGAGCCGCCATGGATAGCCTCTCCTTGCGGAGGGCGTCGAGTTGGGCCTTGGAGATGAGGCAGCGGTTCTTCTCAATGTGACCGATCAGCCCTCCCACACGATGAAAGATGCCGTGGCAGCCAGGACATTCCAGGTCTTGTTCGGCACTATGTGACTATGATTGGTCGAGGAAGGTTAGCGTGGCGAAACGGAACCATGCGGCACGCTCTCGGAGAGAAGATGGGGGAAAGGCCAGCGACATACCTGGTAATAATGGAGTTTGACAGTGTCGGGATGTGAAAACATCATGCCACACACGGAACAATGATGGTGGCCCTCGCCTTCTATCATCTTTTGGCACTTGTGGGCCATTAATGAGTCGAAGTTCGGGTATACCTCGTGACACTCTTCGCAAGGGAGCGAAGCGTCCTCCATGGCTCAAGGATGAGGAGTTCTGTGAGAGGACGAAAGCGTTTCTCTGACGGGGAGCGTCAAGGTCTGAGTGATGTTCGATGGTCCTAGAAGAGAGGATGCTACTTCAATATTTTGTGTCTTCTACTCACCGGGCAGGATCTTGGGTTAGCTAGGCTCAAGCGGCACCAGAGCCGAAGTCACGGAGATGAAAGGGGACGTCGGGAGCGGGTACCATACAAGTGTTTCGATGCTTCTTGAAAGATTCGATGCCGAGTTGGGACTGGTCCTGAGATGAAGATCTAAGTGATGAGAAGAAAGAGAGGGACGAAGGACGAGGTGAGTCTGTGAAATATATAGACGAGTGACGATGGAGACAATCAGTAACAGGACCTCTAGCAGGTAGGTGCAAAAAACGAATCACTGCTCCAGTCGAATAATAAATACATCAATAATAAACCTGAACGTATTTTACTGTACATGTTACTCTTTTCTTGCTCCAGTTCAGATATGGTCTTGAGAATCGTCCATAGCCCCTTCCCTTTTATATCGTTACTCTCTATCTGTAGCTATATTGTCAAAGGCGCTGCTCCAGTCTGTTCATTTTAGGGGTTCCTTCCTTTTATGATACGAGAAATATGTAGATGAAGATTTTCTAGTTTTTCCTCCTTCCTCCAGTCGATGCCCCATTTCACCAATATGAGATATTGGCAGATGTACAGAGCTTAGTTGTAGAGAATTTGAGGAGGCATTGGGAGTCTTGAGTAGAGAGAGGATGTTTTCAATTTAGCTAGATATCGAGCTGCAATCCTCACATATTCTCGTAGATTTGCCTTGAATCGTGACGGCCGGCCATATCCACCACAGGGAACCTCGATATGCTAGATCTGATGCTACAAGTGTTTTGGATTCATGTCCCGTCTGGGTGCAATTTCAGCAAACAAGAACCCAGAGAATTCCAGTCTTTCACCCTGTTCTCATCGATGCTTCTCGTGCCCCCAAGCACCGCGTCCTCACGGCACCAAGGCCGGAGGAAACCTCTGACCATCCTCCGACTCGGGTGCGGCTCAAAAGGCCGGAGTCAGAGAGGCCGTACCGCACGTGCGCGACCCGCTAAACATCAAACCTTACGCTTCATTGCAAGAGACTTGAGTGGATGGATCAGCTTCGCTGCCATGCTCCCCTCTCTCTCTCTCTTCAAGACAGCTCAACACAGGCCGAACACGGAAGGCCAAGCGTCCTCTGCCCCCGAGAAGACGTCAAAGCACCAACCAACCCTTAGCACAAGAGCGCAGGCAAAGCAATCTCGTCGTCGCCAGGCGCTCCTTCGGTGAGCGTTGCCTTTCGGTAGGGATGGAATAGATGGAATGCTAAAGGGCCGGCTAGGATCAGCTCTACTGTACGCCAAGGGCAATAGTTCGCCGTCAACGTAGGCAGGCGTGACTACGAGCAGCAGTCTCGGCGGCGGCCCTCGCCGCATGCGTACGTCTCGCGTCTCACGTCTTTCACATCACACCCCTCTCCTTCCCCTCCCCGACGAGAATGGGCCGAACGTCCGCTGTGTCGTTTCCCCAAGAGGCTGTTCCGGGAGTGTCCTAAGGTTCCCTGTGGGAGCTTCTATAAACGAGCAAGTGGTATATTTTTAGGCACTTATGGATCTATGTGCATGGCCTCTCTATTTAGGGCCAGCCGACACATCAATATCTGCGAGCGTCATCCTCCGGCGCTTCCTTGTTGCACTCTCGTAGCCCAACACGATCGGGTGGTGGTAGCTTGGCACTGCTGTCTGTGGAGTCTGATAAATGCCTGTTTTTTTGCTCCCCTTTTCAGGGAATCGACCCGTCGCTCTAAGAGAACATGGAAGGAAGGAAATCCAAGGCGGGCGGGATGAATACACACGAGCGAGGGCTTCCCCACACTCTCTCCTGCGGACTTTGCTCACCACCGTGACAGCCGCTCGGGATATCGTCCCTTACGCCCGCTTGATCTTGCCTTTTCCCTCTCCCCCTTTTCCCCCTATTTCTACGCCCTTTTCTACTCCCTTTCCTCCCCACTCTCTAGGCTCTGCATTGGCCCGCGCTGCAAGCAGTGGTCACAAGATATTGCGCAGTTTGGCGAAAGCAGTGCCAGCACAGGCCCTCCCCTCCCCGCCTCCTCTGATGGTAGGAAGATAGCCCCGTTCAGGTGAAGAGGTTGGGGCAATGGCCTGTTCCGCAACAAGCGCTATAATAATAATACTGGGTTCTCTCATAATACGATATCAAATAACTTGGCGGTAGGAGCGCCGACGCCACTCGTCGCCAATAATCGAGAGACTTGGGGTCGCTAGTAGGCCGAGCAAAGCGCCAGCACTTGTCCTAACCTAGGCGATGCTTCAATAAATCCGCCACACGTGAAGCGCCCCCATCGGAAGGGCGAAAGCCCGGGGAAGAGGACGTGGAGGAAACCAGAAGAGGGAACCCAGAAAAAAAAAAAAAAAAAAAAGAGCTTGCCCATAATACATTGTGGCCCTACGCGGCCCCACGATGCACCTGGGGAGTTGGGAGGGTTGTGGTCGGCTCGGGTCTTTGCCGGCTTCTCTTTGCGAGCTGTGTCGTCTCACTCATTCATTCTTCAGGTTTTCTACGTTTTTCTTTTTCTTTTCTCTTGCTTTTTTGCTTCCCCTTCCTCTTCTCTTTTTCCCCCGTTGCCTCTGGTCGGCTTCGCTCTGCGCCCGCCCAAAACGGCCCAGGTTCGAAAATATGGTTCGTTAAAAAAGCAAGGTGCGTCCGGCCTAGCTTTGCATTGTCGAACGTCGACGTCGATGTCGACGCCGCAAGATGCGCTAGAGAGTTGGGGTAAGCCAGCTCGACGGAAGTAAACGAGCAAAGGGGGTGCGCGGGGGAGGGAAGGGAAAGAGGGCATGCTTGACGGATCTTGCTCCCCAACGAGAGAGACCGGGCCATCAGCCGAACGACTCCCCTCTGACCTCAATGTCGAGGGCGGGGGCCGGGCCTGCCCAAGAGGAGGATGGTCTGAAACAGCAAGAGTAGACAGACACCTCCGGACTGAGCCTGGTGCCGACGCAACATTAATGACAGCCAGCATGGGCATGCCCCACGGGAGCGAGGGACGGCCCTCGCTTCCACCAAGGAAGACGATCTCCCCAATTCCGTCCCGCTGGTACGCTGATCTCCTTTGACGGGGACACTGGGCCTCGTAGCTTCCTTCTCGTTGCATCGTCTTGTTTCCTTTTCTTTTCTTTTGCTTCATTCTTTTTGGACTTGATCTCCGGGCATCATCCTTGGCGCACCCTTTAGTTCACGCCGCTCATGCCAACAAGCAGAGGAATATAGATGGATGCTCGCCGCTTTTTCTGCACAAGTCTCCAAGCACGGCATCAGCATGCCCCCTCTTCCTCCCCCCCCCCATCCCATCCCATCCCATCCCATCCCATCCCATCCCATCCCATCCCATCAACCCGAGAAAGGCAACGATCGAGATGGGAGTTTTTGAAAATCATCGTGACACATCGCTCGAGGAAAATCTTGGCCCCAACTATCTCTCTCTGCATTCCGTCTTCCCTGATCCTGGCTGGCCCCTCCTCATTTATCCCCGCCCGGATCCGAGGCGAGCGCGCGCTGTCTGCTGAGTCGCCCTTCTCTCTCTCCCGATTGTGAGTTGTGACCAAAAAAGGCTGCTTCATGTCGTGAATTCCCAGGCTCGTTCTACCCGTTGAGGAAGAGCAGGCCCGGGTGCGACTCCACGTTCATCGCCCACGCCCCCCCAAGGCCCCAAGATCCCAAAGCCCGAGCCCATGCCGATATGCGCACAACTTCGACCATACCATCACCACCACCACACTACCACGACCACTACCACATTCACATCCACATATACACGCATCCACGCCTTTGACGCACGCCCCCAGATCTCGTCGAGCCAATTCTCGCAGAAGCAGAGGCACCCACGACCCGCAAACAAGTCTGCAATTGGGCGGCCGCAGCTCTCTCGCGTTGCTTCCCTCAGTTTCACCACAAAGTCTTTCGCCCGTAAAAGGGAAGTGGGCTATCTGCGGCCCAATACGTGTTTTGCAGTAAACCCCCTCCCTCTTCTTCCCCGCGCACGAAATCCGAGCATACATCCGCATCTTGGTTGCTCTAGATCCATTGAGCATCAAAAGCCTTTCCCCAATGGACGGGCCCACGATGCACCTCTCCGTCCCCTTTTCTTTTTTTTTTTTTTTTTTTTTTTTCTTTCATAACCACTCTTGTCATCCATTCCGTTCCCCCATCCTTCACCCCACACTCCATCTCCAGCCAGAAACCAGTGAGCATGAGGCTTTCTCCCTCACCCACCCACGCACACGCTCTTTCTCTGTTCTCCCTCTCTTCCTCAGCTACTTGATCGATGCACACGAGGGGTGCTGGGATATAGCACCACACCCCCTACGCTTAGGGATCCGCGTGGCAACTCTTTGATCGGGGCCTGATTACCCCATCCCACCCAGAGGGGGCTGAGAAAAGAACAGAAAAAGAATCCAATGAATCAGCAAAGGAAAGAAAAGTAAAAGAAAAAGAGGGGAGGAAGAAAAGAAAAACCAAAAAGGGCCCTCACACCCTCCAGCGAGCCAAGAGCCAGCTCACGAACATCACGACTCTTAACCACATCCGGACTCGCTTACATGGGGTTTGCCTCGTGCCTCCCGCCCTAAACTACCCAGTATGATCATTCTTCCAGGACGATTCCTTCCTATTCTTACTTGTACTCCAAAAATCCTCATACGCGGCAAGCAGATGGACCCATCCAAGCGGCAAGGCAGCGAGCTAGACAGGACGCGGCCGAGCGAACCGCCGTACGGCCCTTCCACCCCTCCCCTCGTAGTCCCTCCTCCTGCCCTCGCTTTCCTTCCATTCTCC